AGTCGTATCTTTAAAATTGTGCCTTCCACATTTTCTTCCTTTGTGGAGGCGGAAGGGGACGGGGCGAAATTTTGAAATACACTTATAGCGCTTGATATAACATAAGTCTGGAAACCAAATTTGTTTGCTCTAGGTCTTACAGTCTCTGAGATCTAGGCGCTCATCAAGACGGACGGACGGTCAGACAGACATGAATATATCGACTCGGCTATTGATGGTGATCAAGAATATATAAATGAAAGGGGTCGGAAACGTTTCCTGCTCTGTCGCACACATCCACTTTTACCATAAATACAATATACCCCTCTAACTCTTTTTGAGTACGGGTATAAAAAAACAAATAAAAATGTCAGTGGCAGGGAGCATTCCCAACCAGTGGAAGGCAGCGGCCCGATCAACTGCAGGTAGTCGTAGTCAAAACTGATATGGGGTGCCAGCTAATCAACACTGCGGCTGCCCGCGGCCAAACAGACCCAGAGAGACTACATCCCACCCGCCCAAGCGTAATAGGCCAGACGCTATTATAATTGCCACTACAGGAGACCTGTCTTACAGCGACATTCTCAGGATGGTGACCAGGAGGGATGACGGCAAGCTGAAGGAAGTCTGCAACAATGTCGACAGAGTCCGACGGACAGCACAGGGAGAGCTCTTGCCAGAGCTGAATGGTGCGCTAAAGGAGAACACAGCCCAGCTAACGGAGGATATAAGCCAGGTGCTTGGCACTCAGGCAGGCATCCGGGCGGTGGTAAGCGAAGCGTTTGTCGAGATCCGCGACATCGACGACCTAGCCACGAAGGAAGAGATCGCCGAGGCAATGTCTGCCCAATTGGAGCATCCGGTGGGTGTAGGAAGCATCAGGGCCCTGCGCCCGGGATACGGAAGTTCGCAGGTGGCTGTCGTTGGACTCGCGTACCCATTGGCGAAGCGTCTCACTGAGGTGGGCAAAATAAAGATTGGCTGGACGAGATGCAGGATCGTAGAACGATCAGGCCAGAGGCGCTGCTTTAAATGCCTAGAGTTCGGGCACATTGCAGCTAGGTGTACGAGCAACATCGACCGCAGCAACTGCTGCTACAAGTGTGGAAAGAGTGGCCACAAAGTAGCCGGATGCACGGACGAGCCAAGGTGCTTTCTCTGTGCAGAAAAGCATCCTGCAGCGACTGACCACATGGCTGGCAGCAAGAGATGCCCGGGTAGACGAGCAGAGACTAAGAAACGGATAGCAAAGTGAGGTTTCTGCAGCTAAACCTGAACCACTGCGAAGCTGCGCAGAATCTACTCTGCCAGCTAGTCAGAGAAACTACAGTGGATGTGGCAGTTCTCTCCGAACCATACCGCAGAACCAGCAACACCAACTTCATTCTTGATAGCACGAAAACGGCAGCGATATGGGTATGCGGGCACTCCACCCCCCAAGCTGAGTCTGTTCGCAGGGGAAACGGCTACGTAAGAGCCAAGGTTGGCCAGTTTTGGCTGTACAGCTGCTACCTGGCACCACGCCTATCTATCCAGGAGTTCGGAGCCATTCTCGATGAGATAGCAGACGACGCTAGGGGACGGCCAAACATCATCATGGCCGGCGACTTTAACTCTTGGTCAGAGGAATGGGGATCGAGGTCCACCAACGCTAGAGGTCGCACTCTCATGGAAGCCTTTGCCACTCTAGAGCTACAACTTCTCAACACCGGATCAGAGCACACCTTCTCCCGAGCTGGGTTGGGATCTATCATCGACCTTACCTTCTGCAGCACCGCTCTCTTTGGGAGAACAGCGTGGGGACTCAGCAGCGCATACACGGCTAGTGACCACAACGCTATCATCTGCAGCATCGAGGCCCACCCACAAGGGACAGCTCTCCAACCAAGGACGACCTTCAATGCCAGAACCCTCAGGCCGGATATCTTCTTGTCAGAGCGGAGCATTCCCGAGGCCCCGGGAACCGCAGAGGACTGCGCAACGAACCTCATCGGCGCATTGACAACGGCATGTAGGGCAAGCACAAGTCAGCAAAGAAGCCACTCTCGTCTTTTGGTGGAGCATGGAGATTTCCGAGGCTCGCACCGAATGCATTCGTGCTAGAAGACGCCAAACTCGCGCGAGGGGATCCCAAGTCTTCCCATTGATGTCCCAGTAGTACGCAGCGAAACGCCGTGCTCTTAAAAGGCTTATCAGAGGAAGCAAGAGGAATTGCTTCCTTGAGCTGTGTGACTCAGCGGAGAACGACCCCTGGGGCCTCGCCTACAAGGTGATAGTCAAGAAGCTTAACGCGGTGAAGACCCTTACCACGGCTGACCCCGTTAAAATGAAAACCATCGTCGAAAGCCTCTTCCCTACCGTCGACCCAGCTGTCAGCCCGTCGCGAACTCCTTATCGCCACATCGGATGGAGCGACATAACGGCGAGCGAAATCCTGGAAATCGCTGGAGCAACCCCAACCGGCAAGGCGCCAGGCCCGGATGGCATCCCTGACACCGCAGTCAAGCTGGCAATGACCGCGCACCCGTCGGATTTCGCGCAGGCTTTCAACATGTGCCTCCGTGAAGAAGTCTTCCCAACGCCTTGGAAGCTCCAGAAGCTAGTCCTGCTGCCGAAACCTCAAAAGCCTCCCGAGGACCCCTCGTCGTACAGGCCCATCTGCCTAATCGACAACGTGGGCAAAGCACTGGAGCGCTGCATTTGCAGGAAGCTCCAAGCCGAAATTGCGCAGGCAGGTGACCTGTCCCCCATGCAGTTCGGTTTCAGGAAGGCAAGATCGACAACTGACGCGATCCGCATAGTGACGGACATCGCGGCAAAAGCCATAGAGGGCACCAGGTGGCTTGGAGGGCGGAAGCAGTACTGCCTCGTTGTCACATTGGATGTCAAAAACGCATTCAATTCGGCGAGGTGGGACGTCATCCTCAGGTCCCTCAAGCGGCTGGTAATCCCAGACTACCTGGTGGCCATTATCGAGGACTACTTTCGAAGCCGGAGGCTGCTGTACGACACCGACTGCGGCACCGTGGAGTACCAGGTCACATGCAGCGTTCCCCAAGGCTCTGTCCTCGGCTCGACCCTCTGGAACGTAATGTACGATGCTATCTTCAAGCTACACCTCCCTGCCGATACTCGGACAATAGGCTTTGCAGACGACGTCGCGTTGGTAGTGGTTGCCAAGCACCTCGGAGAAGTGGAGGCCAGGTGCAACCAAGCGGTGGCCGTGATCCAAGAGTGGCTGACATCAGTAGGCCTAAGGCTGGCTGATCACAAGACGGAAGCGGTGTTGATTTCCAGCCGCAAGAAAGTGGAGGTTGCGACGGTGCGAGTCGGCTCCGTCGACTCGCATCCTCGCGAGCAATCCGCTACCTTGGGGTACTGCTGGACACTCGCCTCTCCTTCCGCGAGCACCTCGAAGCAGCCAGCAAGAAGGCAGCAGTCCTAGGCAGGGCCCTGTCACGCATGATGCTGAACACGAGGGGACCCAAACAAGGCCGCAGACTCCTGCTTCAGTCAGTCCGAAAGGCGGTCATGATGTACGCAGCCCCAATCTGGGCTAAGGCGGCGAGGATCAAGTCCTACAGGAAGGGGCTAGATGCGACGCACCGGTTGGGAGCCCTGCGAGTTTGCTGCGGCTTTCGAACCATCTCGGAAGATGCGGCCCTAGTCATCGCCGGAATGCTCCCAGTGGTGGACCTAGCCGAGGAAGCTAGGGAAATCTCGTTGGAGCTCGACGTTCCCGCTCAACATCGTTCCCCGGCAGATAGGAGACGTATAAAGACGGCAGCGAGGGAAAGAAGCCTAGCTAGGTGGCAGAACCGCTGGGCCACATCACAAAAGGGAAGATGGACTCATACCCTAATTCCGGACATCAGGAGGTGGGTCAACAGGAGGCATGGAGAAGTCAACTTTTGGCTAACACAACTCCTAAGCGGGCACGGCTGCTTTAGAAGCTACCTCCATAGATTCGGGCACGACGACGACGCAAACTGCCCAAGGTTCGCAGAGCAGCGGTTGAACATAGGTGGAGACTCGCTTAGCGCGGGTGCCCTCACGAGCGAGATGCTTCGCAGCGAAGACTACTGGTCCCGAGTATCTGAGTAAGCATCAGAGGTCATGCGGAAGCTGAGAGAGCTGGAGCGGCTGCGCAACGGCAACGAAGGAGGGGTCTAAATCGACCCGCCAGTCCCCTGCGAAGCTAAGCTTCGCGGCAGTCCCGCAGGTTTCTGGCACCACCCCCCTTTTTCCACCCTTAGTTATAATCTACTGTTACCCTACTGTTACCCAATAATAAATTATATAAAAAAAAAAAAAAAAAAGTCTGCAAGGATATGGGATGTTTCCAGGGCAATGTAAGATTGATCGCATGCAAAGACGAGCGCGGTATCGCAGATCGCTGCAGTGGACAGGGCAAGGTGCCCAGCAGACCTAGGGCTCTGCTATGGGTGCCAGCTCTATCAAGGAGCCGAAGCGCATTCTCAAAAGGTTGCAAAGATGAAACCCTCAATTACCAACCAATGACTAGAAGGCAGTCAAAGTTAAGGCGACAACGGGACCGATCCTCCAGTGATCTCGCTCGCAAGATAGCCAGCAACAGCGAGAGGTTGAACAAAGGCCTAATAATAGGATGCAAGGCCAACGTTCACCACACCCAATGGTCGAACACGGACACAAATGCAAGGGGTGAATCACTTTTTGGCTTCATCCTTAACTCAATATACTCGAACTCGGGATATTCATGCGGACGACGGACGGAGTCGCGGAATGGAAAAGATTTTGAGCTGAATGGAGTTCAAGAAAGATCCCGCGTTGCAAGCTAGGTCCAGCAAATCGTAGGGTAGTAGCTTGATAATGATCTGGTTCGAAGGAACAAAAGTTTTGGTGGACAGGCCTTTTCTTCTCCGTGGAAGCGTGCTTAAAAACCAAGGTGTCTGCCGGTCGCCCGAAATAAAACATCAACAACTTATTTAGATAGAGATCTTCCATAACGACTGGAGGATATTAAATTTAAAACAAATTAATATGTTTTTCATGTTTATTAAAATAGTTTTCGAAATTAAAATGACAGAAATGTAATTATTCAAAAACTATTCTTCTTCTTCATATTCGTCATCATAGCTGTCGCCGCCTGTCGGACCGACAGTCTCATCAACAGTAGCGTTCAATTCTATGGTTGGTTCCTGATCTTCTATTGGTGTGGTTGGTTCTTCAATAAGTGGTTCATTGATTTCTCCTTCAACTTTTTGAATTGCCTGAAGCTCCAGAGCTGCAATTTCAGCTTCTTGGCGACCTATCTCAGCCAGTTCTGCGGCCTGCCGTGCGAGATCACCCTCGCTTTCCTCTTCAGCTTGCCTTTCAATTTCTGCTAACCGGTTGAGTTCATGCTCTCGTGAACGCTGCTCTTCTTCCAAAAGCGCTTCTTTAGCTAACCGCTCATCCTCTGCCTTACGTGCAGCTTCTTCAATCAAACGAGATTCTTCAGCAGCCTTTTGTGCAGCTTCTTCTGCAGCCTTCTCTTCTGCCAAAAGCGCTTCTTTGGCTAGCCGTTCATCCTCTGCCTTACGTGCAGCTTCTTCAATCAAACGAGATTCTTCAGCAGCCTTTTGTGCAGCTTCTTCTGCAGCCTTCTCTTCTGCCAAAAGCGCTTCTTTGGCTAGCCGTTCATCCTCTGCCTTACGTGCAGCTTCTTCAATCAAACGAGATTCTTCAGCAGCCTTTTGGGCAGCTTCTTCTGCAGCCTTCTCTTCTGCCAAAAGCGCTTCTTTGGCTAACCGCTCATCCTCTGCCTTACGTGCAGCTTCTTCAATCAAACGAGATTCTTCTGCGGCCTGCTGCGCGGCAGCTAAACGTTTCTTTTCCTCCTTAACAGCTCTAAGGTGCGAAATATAATATATTTATTGATGAAAATTATTCAAATTACCACTTCTCACTTCTCTTCACGACGTTTCTCTTCGCTTGCATTTTGAGCCCGCTTTTTCTCAACTTCCACTTCATCCAAGGCTTCTTCGTTTACTGTTAGCAATCGCTCTTGACGCAGACGCTGCTTCTCTTTCGACTCCAGATCGACCGGATCCTCTAAGGGCCTAGGAGCAGAAAATTTTCTAGTTGGACGATTGGGATCCAAATCGGCATCTGCAAGTAAACTTGTCATCAATATTTTGCACAAAATAATTGGATAATTTATATTAAAATGAATATATTGATTAAATATATGTTTGAGCAGCCTTGTGGATTACTCAATAATTTACATATTAGTTTACACTAATACTTACTATTCCGAATTATTTGTATTGTTGCCCATAGACGGGGCACGGTAAAATTGCAGATAAAGTAGACGCCAATTATTTTAGGGTAATCGTATGGCATTAATGAGAATCAAAAAAATCAGGATGTGTACAATTTAACCAAAATGGGATTAATGTGTTAAGCAAAAATTTATATGGGCATATGCATGTATATACATCTCAAAATACAAAATATTATAGACTTCAAGGCGGGCTCTGTAATTCCCATTTATTCAGGACTTACATATGTATGTATGTATGAAATCAAACATAATATAAGGTAAAGGTTAAGAAAAACAGCGTTAGGAAACGCAAGTTTAACCAAATGCATTTTTCCATGAAAAATCATACATTTTACATAATTTCTCAATTATTTGTTTTACTGAGGTAATTTGAATCCTTGGTTGAAAATATTCTGCGAAGACTAAATCTTGATTGTGGAACACAAATTGTATATTAATGTTCTTACTACTCGTATGTAAAGCAACACAGCACGAATTGTAAAATTAAAATTTTTGACAATAGCATTGGTAAATTCAATGTACATATTCCACATTAATTCCTACCTCATTTATTAGTTCCTCACAGCTAAACTTGTATTATGTATTTTTTTCATTTTTGTGTGCTCGTATTTTTTTGGAAAAATTAATCCTTTAAATAATTTAGTTTTCTTTTGATTTTATTGTATATAGATTTAAACTATTTATTTTGTATGTTTTATTTGTTGTTTAATGTATATAAATATTTTTTATTGTATGTATATGTTTTAGAAATTTGTTTAAATAGGTATGTAAGTTTTTACCTTTATTTGTATGCATTTTTGTTTTAACAATTTAAATGAAAAATAAAAATAGGTAACATTCAAATAGATCGAATGAAATGTTAGTATCACAAATGATGCGATGACGTTGTTTATTATGTTTGAATATTATTTTAATCTTCTCTAATCTGGCTTGTATAAATTAGTATGAGTAGTGAAAGCGCCAGGGTTTGCCAAGATCATTTGCTCATCTTGTACGACATTGGCTGATTTTCTACCACGCAAAAGAAAGTCTTTTACATTTTTTTTATTTAAATAATAGAAGTGTATGTCCATACAAAAAATCAGGCATGTTATCATTTAGGCCTCAACTTCAACAGCTTCAACTGGAAAGAGTCAATCAATCATAAAACATATAAAGTTAGTGAAGTACAATGAACGTAACAAATCAAAATGCAGCAATCAAATGTATTTGTTAGTTACAAGTGAGCAATATAGATCTCCTATTTGATTTGTTTACCATTATAAGGTATATTTCGCTTTTAAACAGTACTTGCAATGTACTGAAAAAGTATCTAGAACCCTATAAAATATATTCTATATTATTATACGAAATGTACAGCTAAGTCAATAGAGTCATGTCATGTCTGCCTGCCTTTTTAATATCCAATTTGGACATTTCGAAAATATCACTTCATAACACTCTTTTCATTACACTACCCGACACCATTTTTCCGCTTCGAACCAAACCAACGTTTTTTTATAGTTTTTGTAACCTTGCTTAGTAATATTTATTTTTTGTGTCGGAACTTTTTTTTTTAAATAAAAAAAAATGGTATTTTTATTATGCTTCTATGTATAAGAGGTAGCACTTCTCGACTAACTCGACTTGTAGACCTATGTTGTGATGGTTCAAAATTAAGGTAACATAAAACTGAATATATGTACTTCATTTGAAACTAAGATAAGCTTAAAGAGACAGCATATGCATATTTTTAAATAGATTTAGACGCAACTTGGGTAGATAATGATGAATTATTTAAAAAAATATTTGTGACTTCGCATAAATTAATGAAACCATTCATCATTAATTTATGCGAAGTAATAAAATGGTATTTTTATTATGCTTCTATGTATAAGAGGTAGCACTTCTTTTTTCACATAACTTACATCTGGTTGTTATGCATTTTTCCATTCTAAATGCAAAATTTATGTGCAGTATTTTTTTTTTAATGTTTACTTTAAAAACTCAGGAAAAGTAAAAAAAAAAAAGATATCTAAATTAGACGTCGTTTAAACTATTGTTCATCAAAATCTATGGAGAAACGGCTGAGCTGAAAATTGGTTGAGCAACCCTCAAAAAATCACCTTTTAACGCTTGGAGCGTTAGGAATTCTGCTTTTGACATTTTGGAATTTTACATGTAGCAAACTTGGAATTAATTACCAAGTAAAGTAGCATATCTTTGTGTTATTTAAAATTGGGTACACATACTAAAAAAATCGTACTGTTTGCATTCTTTAAAAATTTTTATCTTATTTTGTTAAGAATAGATGCCGCTAAAAAGTTCATGTCTAAAAACAAAACCATACCCTCGAAAATTTTTTTTACATGGCCAAAGTTTCGGAAACTGTAAAAATTATAGAAAATCTTTACGTTGATTCACTATATCTTAAGGTATTCTATCACCACGAATCAAAAATCCTGTGAAAGGTGGTACAATTTACTTGTCAAAATTATATTTTCTGATGACCTATGAACTTTAGATTTTGAGTAAAAATTATGAAAGGGCCCATAGCGTTGGGTCAGCATCGTTTTGAAGGGTTGTCAAACGATTTTAGATCCTTAAAAAACGCCTAATGAATGCACCTATACATAAAAAATATCAGGACACAGGATATAATTTATGTTTGACTATTTCTGAGTTTTTAAAGAAAATTTTGAAAAAAATAACGCACAAAAATCATAAATTTTGCATTTGAAACCTTAATATTCCCAGACGGAAAAGTGTTCAGGTCTACTTTATAGATTCATCTATTAGCTTTTTAGAATGGCAAAGTCCATTACAACCAGATGTAAGATACGTAAGTTATGTGGAAAAAAGAAGCGATACCTCTTAAAAGCTTCCAATCTATCAGAAAAAGTCGGTTTGTCAGTTAAATTTTGTCGAGTAGTGTTATCTAATATATATAAGAACCATATTATAACCTACAGACATAACTTTTGGGTTTAATAACAGCAAGAAAATGAAACGTCATTTAAGTAAAAAATAGTTTCCAACTAATATTTATTAAATTAATTTTTAATTAATAACTAATTTAATGGCAATAATTGTGTTTTTGGAATTTTGTGAAGACAAGATTTATTTTTACACAGAGAAAAGGTGTACAGCTCCTATAAAACGACAGAAAAACTAAACACATGCGGATTTTAATTGTTAATTTGATCAAAATGGGAATATGATTAGTGTACTGCTTTTCTACCACATAAATTATTCACGTCTCTTCTGGTAAAGTAACTCTGTTCAATGCCCTGACTATGGACTGCTAATCTTCGAATAAATTCACCCTATTAATAGAAAATTCTGACAGCTGAGAAAAAATGACTTTGGTCTAGTGCTGTATGTACTAAATAATGATTTCCTAAATTGATTTTTGCGGCGCTAAATATCTTTTTACGAGAATGTATTTAATTTGTAGAACAATGATCTTTTGCAGCAACATCGAATACATATGTATGTATATGTATAAGCAAGGTTGCTTTATGTACAGTTGTTATATACAAGCGGCATGTATTAGGATTTATCAGTACTTACCTTCCTTCTGAGAAGCAAGAGATTGCTTATCATTCTTCCAGGTCGGATGTCTAAGGTACCAGGACAAGAGGTTAATATCATTTCGAACTTTGTCTGAATCGTACATTGGCCTTCTAACATTATAGGCCTTGTCACCACAAATCCTTACTGATGCAAGATGACTTTGACCTTTTTTTTTTAATTTTTTAAATAATAAATAATAATACAATATCTAACCAACATTTTGCAATGTACATATACAGTATAAAGTACATAAGTATCATAGGCAACAAAAACTTACCAACGTATTTTACCGCAGGCCTCGGATAGTGCGATATATTGTGCACTTCTTTTGCAATATGGCGAACAGGGTTTGTTACACGGGCTACATACGCATCTAGGGCCAATTGGGATGTCGGTTCATACGTGTAGCTACATACAAAATAAAATGAAATATTAATAAAAACTGTCTTATTTATACGACACCGAAAAAGTTGTTGTGGGGTAAAAATTGTTTTTTATAAAGATGATCTAACCAAACATTCTCATGGGCTATACGTAACTCGCCTCGAATATAGTAATATATTTATGTACTCTAAAAGTGACGGGGAAATAACCGTGGGTTGTACGTTTTGCTTACCCAGTTACTGGAAATGGTGTACAACTACGTGCCCGACGCACCACAGGAGTATGCAAGTCACGCATCAGAGATTGTGCGCGATTGCGAATCCGGCTTGTTTCCTCAGAAAAAGTCTAGAATTTGGATGGATTATTTTCAATTATTAAAACTAAAATAAGGCCAGCAAAGCACTGAACTAAAATCAATCACTTTAATTGGGGATGCGATGTGTAAAAACTTACGGTAAAGGGTTCAGTATTGAGGTAGTTAGTTAGGGCCCGTGCACCATATCCAGGAGGTAGCCTCTTCAAATACGAAGGTACTGGTCGAACGGAAGATGAAGTTATCCTCACCGGTGAAACCGAGCGGGCGTACACACGAGTAATTGTTGTAGGATTGTAGTGATACGATGGTGTGTACGTTGTGTACGTTGTTGGGATATATCTCGAAGTGTAAGATGATAGAAGGGATGGGCTGTGGTAGGTCGTTGGCGTGGTATATGAATACGTGGTTCTCTCCGGAGATGAAATAACACGAGTTGTTGTGCGGACAACACGAACAGGCGATGGAGATTGTATAATGCGGGACACCACCCTTGTGGGGGAGGTGACAACTCGGATTGGCGATGTAACCAGACGGGATCCAGTAACGATACGCCTAGGTATTGAGTAACTCGAGTAGATGGGGTAACTCGACTTGTAGACCTATGTTGTGATGGTTCAAAATTAAGGTAACATAAAACTGAATATACGTACTTCATTTGAAACTAAGATAAGCTTAATGAGACAGCATATGCATATTTTTAAATAGATTTAGACGCAACTTGGGTAGATAATGATGAATTATTTAAAAAAATATTTGTGACTTCGCATAAATTAATGAAACCATTCATCATTAATTTATGCGAAGTAATAAATAGTATATTTGATCGAGCTCCACAGAGTAAATTTAAAATGAGTCTGTTTTAATATGGATGAGTTTTAACATGGATTCTATGAGGGGCTACACCCGTAGAGGGACTATTTTCATTTGATCTTCAAGGGAATTTGAATTCGTTAGCAGTGCCAGCATCACTTTCCCTAACGTTCTTTTACGGATTTGATTCTTTCCATAATCCAAAGGTGTATCCTCATGCTATTTACTTATCCAGTCACGGTATCATTTAGTTTCACTCCATAAAGAGGGAACTAACATCATTTCTGAAACTTTATTATTGATTTGGATACTACAGTACTAAATATCGGGTTTGACTTGCATCAATTCAATATTCAATTTTATACAATATAACGACCGTTTTAAATCGCTTCTTAAATTCGATATTCTGCTTTCTTCTTGCATCGTGTATATAGTATTCTAAGAAAAAAAAAGACGACTTCCGTTGGAGGTATGAAAAACAAGTTAAAAGTAGAGAAGTAACATACAATACATGATTATGTACATATGTATATCTTAGTAACTGAAATCTTACTTAAACGAGACGGCGTCCAGTGACGATGACGTGATAGAGGTGATTAAGCAGTGTGATAAAAGTCAAATTAAATGAAAAGTAAAACTATAGAAACATGAATAAGACGCGGTTTATGCAAACATTTTTTAAAGCACATACTTACACGAGTTACTTTCTGAATGGACGGATACTGCAAAAAATATATAACACCATTTTGTTTATTGCAGTTATTTTAAATAAAAGTCTTCTAGTTAACTTTTGAACTTAACGGTACAGTCTTGCTAGTAAAAACCTTCTATGTAATACAATCAATAATAGCCTAACACAATGGCGGTTAGCGTTTACGCAGTACTAACTCACAAGATCCTTGTCAGTTTTGTTCTAACCTTACACGTTGAGATAAACCTCTTTTTCACCATTGTCCATGTCTACAACAGTATGAATATCGTATCAAACATTTTAAAAGTAAAATAATGCTGTTTTTTTAACGAAGGGCATGTTTTTTTATTGTATCACAAATATGTTTTAGTTATAAGTGTTTAAGATGGGAAAATACATAAACAATTGTTGATCATTAGTAATAGTTAGTCCGAGTCAATAATTACATAAATGTACATCAAATCGAAAACAAGCACCAAAAAATATCATTAACAGAGAAAGGTACATACATACATAGTTAGACGGTTATTCTGATTATTTAGAGATTTGAATTTTAGATGTGTTAGTGTGTTTGCAGCTGTGAAGAACTTGTCCATTATTGTAACATCAGCAGCTTAGACATGATAAGAGAAGTGGCGGTACTTGGTGCCACCTGGTAAGTTTCCAGAAGTGGTGGAGGAATAGCTGTAACCGCCGGGCCCAGCACCAGTCGTACTAGTCCGCTCTGTGCTATAGTTGTATGAGCCACCAGGTCCGCTACGCGATGTATTCTCCACTGTAGACGAATAGGTTGAGCGCTCCGGCCTGGAGTATGGGTTGCTCGAGTCGTAACTGCTATTTTGAACAGTTGATTTCGCATTGTACGAGTAGTCCGATGAGGCGCGGCTGCGGTGCGAACCAGGTCTGTCCGTGCACAGGTCTAAGCGAGGAGTCTATAAATTCCGATTTGTATATTTAAAAATAAAAAAATATTGGCAACACAAGCAATCATTATAAAAATGTTAATATTCATTTCGTTTCAGAAACTTCTAATGTTTATTGTTTCCATATGCATGATATCAGAGATTATTTATGCTATAATTTTATAACTGCATATTAACATGGGCAGAAGGCCTAAGTGGATGTTGACTCACTACGCTTAGTTAGATAAGTTGTGTTGTACCCTTTAAGATACACTTTTAAGATATGTCCACTTAAACGAAATTGAAACATGTTCGAGCTGAATAGACTTAATTGAATTCTCTAGTTACATACAAGTAGAAATAACCATCATTGCATAAGTGCTTGTGATGTACAATAGTAAAACTATAAAAGTTTGGATACATGTCAATGTACATTTCGAAACAAAATAATCTTTTAAAAATGTTTAGTTGGTTAATATAAGGACAAGTTCACATTAGACTATTCTACAAGTCCTATTGGTATTTTATGAAAATGATCTATGTATGTATTTTTTTAGTAGTCTTTGATGTGGTTCAGGACATTTTTTTTTGTTCATTAGAAATAGTACTTTGTGCACATTGCGCCCGACTTTTCATTTCGATACGTTTCCCTTCGCACCGGAATACTTTCCGAGGCAGCTCTGTGCAATCGTGGCAGCTGACTGTCCAGACTATCGCGGGAGGTGCGTGCAGCCGTATTTCCACCGGCTTCAACGGTGTCGATATGTTGTCGCACCAAGCTTAAAATCCGAGTACGATTCTTATCGCGGGCAGACACATACGGCTCAATGGGCTCATATGCAATTTTATAATTCGGCTTTATTGCCGCTTTATTAATTGGGTCAAGTATGAATCTCTTTCGCTGCTCATGTTCTGCCCTTCGAACTCCGAAAGCTGTCACCGGATCGGAGATGAGTGAAGGCCGAGGCACAAATGGAACTTTCTCCCAGTCAATTGGTGTTCTGTTTGTTCTCTGTAATGCCCAAAATTCCACAAATCGTTTATATTTTTCTAAGACAGCCAAGCCAAGGTTAGAGCATTGTGCATTGAATATTTGACGGTATTCAGCAGGTAATGACAAAAACATCTTATCAGTAAGGCTCATACATATGTGCGAGTTACATGCCTGTTGTGGGTGATATTAATATATGTACAAGTGGGCGTATGCATTTTCAGTAAAGTAGAGTATCCACAATTGAAACACTACGTACATACATAGCATAATAGATTGTGTCTTGATACGATATAAAATGGTAGTAAATAATAGGATCCAATAGGATGTATTCGTTAAGTTTTCGGCGCAGTGTTTAAATGGGTAAGATAACAAACATACATTTACGAGTATATATTTAAATAGGACATACCTACAAAAAATTCATTTTCGTCTGCCCCTATCTATGTGCATACAAAAATATGCAAGTGTGTATATCAATATGTACATGATATTGCTTAAATATGTCTTTAAAAATCAAGGATGTCATATCCTAATGAGTAATGCAATTTATAAACTCGTACATATGTACATACATACATAAATATGTACATAACCGTATGACTAATGTGTGGCTATATGCAGACATGTAAATTATGAAAAGTTTATTGCTACTGTTTGATTTCTAGCTCCTCCAATGGTTTTGGCTTATATGTATGTATATTGTGGAAATCAGAAAGATATTTTTAGGTCTAACGAAAATCGAAATGCGCGCGCATCTAGTATTACACATACAAATAGCAAAAAAATAAGGCGGCAGCGTACCAAAACAATCGAGAGAATTTTGTTTGTACATATATGTAGATTCATCAAATATTTGAGTGTGTTTGGAATTCCACTCGCCTATTTTCTGCACATTAACAGGCACAATAATAAAATCTTGGCCTCCAAATTCTTAAAATGTGTTTGATCGTTAAATTTAAAACATGAGTAAGGGACGGATCACGAAAAAAGGCATACATAGATACATATGTACATCTGTAGATACATATTTTCATACACATTTCTTCTTGATTAATGATTAATATATACAGAGTATTCTTAATTCATTATAGAAATGTTGTAGAATGTACCTAGGAAAATATTTTATAAACTCTAGAAATCGAATTTTAGGCGAAATACTAGATTTTTTTTTTAAAGTAAATATAAGTTTGCATATAGTAAATATTTACAAGCCACCTTGTCGTTAAATAGTGGTAGTATGTACATTTTTCAGAAATTAAGACAAGGTAAAAAATTAGTAAAACTGGAATAGGATTGTTCCATAAGTAAATTTGTAGATACGATATTCATATTTTTGCGACACTTTAAAGTGGCGACTGAATTTATATTCAAACGTGTTTCAATTTCTTAAGTAAAAAAGCTTCTCAATATGAAAACATAGACTACAATAAGTGGGACACAAGCGTTTAAAAAATTATTTTTTCAGATACATATTCGGTTGTGTAGCTGAATGTATTAAAACTAGCCAAATTTATCCGCAGCGTTTTCTAAATATTTTTTGGAAAATCTAACAAATATGGTCATACAAATTGAGTTTAAAATCTTACGCACAGAATATTTTACAGCTTTTATTGAATAGAACTACACAACCGAATGTTAAGTAATCTTTTTCTTTGTTTAAATCGAATGGCTTACCGTAACGGCGTAAGAAGTTGTCACCGGTCTCGAGGAGTAAGTTCTGCGCGTTGTAAATCCACTTTCGTAAACCATTTTGTTTTTTTTAATGAAATTTTATTGTAAAAATTGTTCGTTGATTTTAGTTCGAATTTATCGTAGTTTCGTCTTGTTCACTTGACGCCCGCTCGAGTTGCTCTGACCGAAAATTTCATGAATCAGTTGCTTATAATTTTTCGTTTTCGTAAATCTTTATAGCCTTCAATATTTTTCTCAGTCTATATCTCTTTTTCTATTTATCTCACGAAAAATTATTTTTGGCATTTAAAAAAATCTCTGGCCGCAAAGAGCGCGCAGTCTAAACAATTAACCATGTGTTAGTGTACTCGAACACATACATGTACATGCTTGTACATGTCTATGTTTTTTCAGGGATTACACTCCACTCGAAATAGGCTTAACAACATTTAGTTAAATTAATCAATAATAAATTTAACTAAATGTCCTGACTAATTCCTCTTTTATCAATTATCTGCTTACCTACTTGTTAAAATATTCAATACACAAAATGTAATGACATTGGTTTCTTATGTTAGTGGCTTTCTACGAATCGAAAATAGCATACATATGGATGTGTAGTACACATTTACAAGAGCTTACCGCATATGCATATACTCATATGTCTATTATATTCAATGCTTTTCTTTAATTATTCAGTATTACGATCATGGCTGTTAAATAAACTCAGATAACATTTTCAATATATGTACATAAATTTCAAGGAAAATTCGCTTGTTATAGCGCTAGTTTTTTTTTACTAGCTTACATTTTTGCTATATTTTGTTCCTAGCGTTGATAAATATTACAACTCTGTGAAACCACCCACCCATACCATAGTCACTAAGAACTAGATAAATCATATTATCATGAATTGATTACACTACCCGACACCATTTTTCCGCTTCAAACCAAACCATTGTTTTTATAGATTTGGGGTTTTAAATATACTTAATGATAATCTATTTTTTCTATGACAGAACTTTTTTTTAAGAATTTTAATACATTGGAATTTTTTGTTTATGCTTTTTTCAGAGGAGAAAAAGGAGCTTTTTTAACATAGATTATACCTATCTTACATCTGGTTTTAATACATTTTGCCATTCTTAAAAGCTGATAAATGCAGCTAAAAACTGGACCTGAACACTTTTTACGGTCTCAGAAATATTAAGCTTTCAAATGCAAAAATGATTCAATAACTCAAAAGAAGTATGAGTTTTCAAACTCAGAAGTCGAAACAAATTAATTCCCTTATAATTATATTTTTTGTGTATAGGTGCAATAATTAGGCGTCGTTTAAAGCATTGTTTATTAAAATCGATGGAGAAACGGCTGAGCTAAAATTGGTTAACCAACACTCCGATAATCACATTTTATCGTTTGGAACGTTTCACAGCCTTCGGTCACTTCAGCCTGCTAAATTAATAACTTCTGAGAGAATCAAGATATCTTCCTATAAAAACTGCATTTAAAAGAAAAATCATCAAAAATGTGTGCTGCAAGATAAAATGGTGCTACAATATTAATAAAAAATTAATACACCTAGTAAAAGATACCAAAAACAGAATCATACCTCACAGAAATTACTTTTTATTCTACCTGAAAATTGCAGTTGTCAATAAAAGTTATATACATTTTTCACACGGAAATAATTTTCAATTTTTGTATGCTCATATCTTCTATACAAAAAATAGTATTTTCTTAAAATTTTTGATTTTTAAAACCTCTGGAAATTTTTCTGTCGAATTCGTGTATTCATTTTATCCAAAGCGTTCAACAAATTCATTGACTTTTGCCACTTTGCAGCTGATGTTATTTGAAAAAAGAAACGCTACCTGTTAAAAAAAGCATAAGCAAAAAAAAAAGAATTTTAATAATATTTATTAAAAAAAAGTTTTGCCACAAAAAACTATCATTAAGCATGCTTAAAGCTCCAAATGTATAAAAAAAAAAGTTGGTTTGGTTCGAAGGGGAAAAAAGAGACTTTACCTTTCTGTATCTTTAAGTTACAAACAGATACAAAATATGACCTTTATTTTAGAGTTAATAGCCCTGGATATACAATAGCAACAGTATCAACAAAATATTCTGGTTCGAAATTCCCTGGCTGCCATTACTATAGAAGTATATTCTTGATTAGCCTTAATCGAGTCTGTTTGGCCCATTTAATTTGGTGTCTGTCTAAGAGTCACCTGGATCTTTATACTCGTAAGTGCTAGAGCAATCAAATTGTGTGAGTAAGCATTTGTGAATCCGACACAGAATACACACAGATGCTTTTGAATCTCTCTCAAACTATTATTTTTCTCATGGAAAGCTGCCATATCTTTTATAAAATACACAGGCAAATGCATGTACAAATATGTACGTACGAATATGTGCATATGTATATATGTATGCATACGAAATTTGTACAAAAATAAATGCCTTCAAAATTTCTGTTTTGCTTTGTACATATGTACATGAACTTAAACTTTTTTTACAAAAATATATGTACATGAACTTAGTACAGATCCTCGAAAAAGCTAGACTTTTTTGTGGCTATTTACTTCCTAAATGATAGTGATATTTATATCTTTTATCGTAAATAAAATGGTAAACGACCGTGTAAGTAACAAGTATTTTTTAGTTTTTAATTTTAATTGGATGGTGCCCTAAATGTTACTGAATATAATTTTAAACAGTTTTCTAATGTTTTATTTTTGGGCAGTATTTAAAAAACTTAGTTAATAATTACTAGAAGCACTTGCTTCTCAACTTTTCGAACTTTACGACAGATTGCTTGGTCTTGGTTCCATAGAAGAATTCTAATGGATTACGGTCAATATTATTTCGATTCTGCTGATCAGCTGATAAAGACTATAAATAATTTGTTGTGTGTATTCCAAAAATCAGGTTAAAATCATAGGGCACCTCAGGGCATAAACTGCAAATTTGCTACCAATATGTACATATGTATGTATACCTGCTAACTAATTATTTAAAAAATACACATATGTATGTTTGTATTTGCATATGTACATGCCTGAAAATGGGATAAAAATACATTTTGTTTTCCAACAAAATTGAGCAAATTTTTACTCATACACACTAATAATAAAATGACATGTATTTGTGAATAAACAATATGTATACTCACAAAATTCAATGGCATGTGTGGGTGTTTCAGGCATTTCAATACAAAAATCCACGGGAAAACTAAAAAGCAGAAAATTCTTTATGACATTAACCTTAAAAAGAGCCAATGAATGACTCGTAATGCAAGGTTACAAAAATAATGCTAATTTAGCCACTGAAAGCAGAATAGATGCTTTTCAGACCTTATCAGATCATGTGCTTATGTGTAGTGTAGGGTCTCAAAACATTCTATTTTGCTTTCAATGTTTTTTTTTGTATCTTTTCTTAAGCCCTTTTCACGAAATTTTATTTTGAAACGATAATTTTTATGGGTTAAATAGTTTTATTTTCTAACCTACATATGTTAATTATATGTGCACTGATTGCACCGCAATTAAAGGTTGTGGGCAAAAATTTATTGACTAGGTTTCATTATAGAGTTTTAATGCAAGCGTCCGTCGAAAAATAGGTACATAGTAGAAAGGAATTTAGAAACTTCACATAAGTAGACTGGTAAATGAGTAATGCGCCTAGTATATGCATATGCATTTTAAAACAAATGTTTTGGTAACTCAATAATTTTAAATATTTATTCTCATTTTAGCATTAAAGTATACATGTATATATTATGTTCCAAAATTTCCGCAACAAGGTGTGCCAGTCACAGCATTGAGACAACATGGAGAGCACATCCTACAGTTGTTTCGTGGACAGCAATGAAAGCTATAAAGAAAAGCACATATAATACAAAATTTTCTTTAAATTGACCTGCATATATACAATCTGGAAAGATCTCGTTGCTCCAGTTGGGTACGAAGGATATCACACGGCCGAACTTCATCGCAGCGACTAGGCCTGAGAAAACTCTGCATGTATAACTCAGATCTACTTGAGGGCCCGTCCATCTGAATGTTTTTCGACCCCTTGATACCAAACCGTACCCCGGACTTGCTTTCAACCTTTGTACTAAAGGCACTTTGTCTGGAAGAGCGCCTTTTCTTCTTTTTATGAAAATTGCTGATATTAGGAGTGGATCCTCCATGTTTCTTTCTGTCACTACCTACACCCTTTCTTTTTAAAACTGACTCTCTCCCTGCACTTGATTCATTTAGTCCATCTGATTTACTCTTATTTAATTTTTTTGCATCATCTCCGCTATAAGAGCCGTCTTTTTTCTTAGAGCCACCTTTGTCAACTATGCTATTAATTACATTTTTGTCGATAGATTTTTCTTCGATATCCTCAGAGGTGTCCTTTTTAGATTTCGAATCTTCAGCCCCTTTTCCAAGGGGTTTCCCTTTAGATTTTTCATTTTTCATTTTCTTGCCGCCAGTCTCATTATTATCAACTTCGTCATCGAGCTTGTACTCCCCCTTCTTTGACTTCGATTTTACGTCCTTGCTGTAACTGCTCCGATCTTTCTCACCTTGGTCTTTCTTTGAGTTACTAGCAGACTGATTATTATCGTCGTCGTTAATATGAGCTTTTCCCTTTTTAGAATCTTTATCTTTTCTGGACTTTCTCGATTCAGTGCTATCGTCATTATCTTTATTACCTATCCTGTTGTCTTTATCGGATTTCCTGGATTCATTTTTACCTGTTTGTTTCCGGGATATTTTGGCCTCATCTCCATCTATATTACCACTTTCCTTATCGTCATCTTTACCCCGCTTATCTTTCCGGGATTTTCCAGATTCAGTTATATCTGTATCTTTATTGTCAGTGTCGCCTTTATCTTTTGCACCTCGGCTCTTATTGTTCTGAGATTTCGTTTTTCCATTTGTACGCTTATCTTTGTTGCCTTTAATGTGTTCGCCCTCATTTTCTTCTTTCACAGATTTTTTGGAGTCATCTTTATCGGTATTGCCATTTTCCTTATCTTTTCGGCCTTTCTCTTTTCGTGATTTTTTGGATATAATACTTGCATCTGTATCTTGACTGGGCTTGTCACTATTTTCGGTTCGATCTTCACTTTTCCCTTTGGCAGATAGCTGTTTTTTTTTATTCGATCCTTTCTTTGAAATCTTTAGGGCCCTAAATTCCTCTTCATTAATACCCTTATCTCTTAATGATTTATTTAAGGGGCCTAAATCAATGGTGGGTTTTAATTTCCTCTCATCAGTTCCTTCTCGCCGACAATCCTTCCTAATTTTTCCTTCGCTACGTCTCTTCTGCCAACCCAAATCCTTCAACGAACCTAAATTGCAAAAATTGAACAGGAAATAATATTAAAAAAAAATGTTTGAAGCTAACCTCGCTGATCGATGCGTGCTCGTAGATTTGTACTATTACCTCCATCAAAGACTGAATAATTTTCCCGACACTGTTGACGGCTATGGCTTTTTATTATCTTATGGCAGATCCTTTTCAACAAAGAATAGGTATGATCATTCAAAAATGAAGACGTGCAACAGCGATAACAGCGGCAAGGGCTACATCGATTTTTTATGTTGCAGAATATATTGGTTGAACTTGATGAACTATGACCAAAATAAAATTGAGTAGCTTTAACACAAACAATATTCCTTCTTACTTACCTAGATGCTGCATCACGGCAGATGTGCTCTAGGTCCATAACCATTTTCTTATGTACATCTTTAATAAATCTTAAATTTTGAATCTAAAATTATTGGCAAATTTTTTTTAAATTAGACATTAAACTCATACGCTTTTGAATATCAGATTTTCGGTTTTCTTTAGTAGTAGTTTTTTTTGACACATATTATTTTTACGACATCATCTTAATTCGCATTAATAGGAGAGTCGATCTATTGATTTTCGTCTGTCCTTTTTGACAAACTATTCTCTCATGTTCTCTCTTGCCATAAGCAAGTCCTTGTTGGGTGATTCTATAAAATTTAGTAAAAACTAGCAACGGTTAAGGGAATAACAGGTAAAGACTGTATGAATATTTGGGAAAAGACGTGCAATCACGTCAGTGACTTAATACCAGAAATCATTTGGTCGGGTGCCTCTAATAATGGCTGACAAGCTTTTCAGGTGCACACACTTCCATATGTCTCTGACCCCAAACTCCGATTGCGACACAAAGCAAAATTTTATTTTAAATGCATGGGTGCTCAACTTATCCGCCCACATAGCATGGCTGTTAGTAAGTGTTTTTGTCGCTTCTGTGGCTGTGATAATTTTGTTAAATAATTGAGTATGCAATATACAGTCGCATTTAACTTACAGATACTTAATACATACAAACAAACTTCGTACTGTGATGTGCCGGCCCAGAGATATATGTCCATATGTAGGTACCACCATAAATATTTGAACACTATGTTCATATGAAAGTAACTGTATGGGGCCTATATAAGTACATTCATATGTATGTACTGTGTTCATTCGTTGTGGTAGAATGATTTTCTTTCCTCACTTTTCATAAGTACGTAAATAATATGCACATCATAGCGCTTGCTTGACAAATTGTAAAATGAACAAATTGCATGATTTCTTTAGCAGAGTATATAAATAGTAGAGATCGTCTCTCTGGAAACATTAGTTTGAAGCAGAGCTTACAACAGATTGTAACCACCGACGAAACGAGAAATCACTAAAGGATACCCTTCAAGAGCATTATGAATGTAAACTGCGTTATAATTCTTCAGATCCTGTGCATGATGGTTATACTTAGTAATACGAACGCCATACCCAAGTATGATGAAGGTCAAAAGTAAGTTAAATTCTTTGTGTAAATTGATTTATCATAATAGTGTGTCCTTCGAGCCCAAAGATAAACATTTTCATACTCTTCTAGATTCCATTCTGAAAAGGTTCTGCGAAATCGATCATACTACAACGATAACAAGACACAGCTAAATGAGCCGCAGACAGCCTCAACCAAAGATAGGCTTGAACGGTTGGGATACACGACAGGCTACGGCTCTTTAAATGTATGTAGACAATTATCACACCATCATAAAATATAGTATCGAAGCTTAGAAGCTTAGTAAGTTTTCAAAAATAATAGTCTCATACCAAACCACAGCTGGTATAGTTTTATTTTCGGCTACCTGGCTATTCATGGTAATTATTGGATAGAAGTCAGATCTATATAACTAAATCAAGTTTCTGTTTTTAGAATAGAAAGTAATCGGAAAAGCTTGTGTACATATATAATACCTATTTATACACGTTTATGTACCTTCTGAACCGGTATAAAACTTTAAATTCTGCATATATAACAGTCATCTTAATTTTATAAAGGGATACCCTGGTGGTACAGGACTGTCTGCGTATAATCCCATCAAACTGGATCTGGGCGGCGTAGTTCTGGGCACGCTTGTCGGAATCGGTGCTATTATACTAATTCCAAAAATTCTGTCGGCTTTTCATGGTGGTTACGGAGGATATGGGCGAAGTAAGTGGAAAATTTGTTGTCTCCAAAGCAAGATTAAGTTTGAAGTTCATTCTCGTTTTTTTTACAGGTGAGGATAATGATCTTAATTCTATCAGCACAATGATAAACAAAATTGACGATGTACTGAGTCAGAACAATATTGACTCTACCAGCTGCATGCAGCGCACAGTTTGCGGATATGTTCGGTCAACTGAATATAACATGAAGGGTGGATCCTCGGACCAGATGGACGAATTTATTCATATGCTCTCAGAGTAAGTAATAGCTTAGGTGCTAAGCTAAGGTCAGAAAAGTATTACATTTAATTCGACTCGGAGTAGTTAATAATAACACAACAAAATCAGCATATTGGAAATATTCTAATTTTTAGAAATGTATTGGTGGACTACCTTTTGGATGGGACGGCTATAAAAGAGGCATTGGAAATTGGAAAGCGCGAAAACGATAAGCCATGCGAAGAAGTGTACTCCAATTGCCCTTTGGACAGTAAATCCGCATCAAATATTCTTTTGAAACTTCTTCCAAAAAAAAACACACAAGGAAAGAGGGCATCGACTGCGATTTTCGGAGAAAAGAAAGCTTAGCCAATTTCATTGGATGTCAATAAGTTTTTTATTTGTAGCGTGTTACAGGATTCATTACAATATATTATTCCATAAATAAAATAAACATATTATTTTGGTTTTTATTTAATTTTTGTCATGAAGAATTCGAAATATTTTATATTCTTACCGGTCTCTTTCAGAACAATTTAGGCAAGAGGTAAAACTAAAGGAAAGGTGGTTTTCGGATGGTTGGTCAACCAATTTTAGTTCATCCGTTTCTCCTTAGATTTGAATGAACAATACTTTAAGCGACGTGTAATTATTGCATCTATACACAAAAAATATAAAATTTTTTGTCGAACTTTCCTCTATTTTCTTTAAAAAAAAGTTTTGCAGTAGAAAAAAAAATTTATTACACTACTCGACAAAATTGAACTTTTTATTTAGACTGTGAACCAAAATGACTTTTTCTGATAGATTTCGGGATTTAAAAATTGTTGTAGTACTTTATTTTTTTTTATGGTATCATTTTTTTTTAAGAATTTTTTAAAATCTGGTCCTTTTTTTTTTCATAGGTAGTGCTTCTTTTTTTCACATAACTTAAGTATTTTATATATGGTTGCATAGAACTTTGCAGTTCTGAAAAGCTGACAAACGCAGCTATCCGACCTAGACTTTTTGTATCTGCAGCTTAACGCCTGGAAGATATTAAGCTTTCAAATTCAAATTTCATCATTTTTTGGGGTTTTTTTTCTCGCAATTTTGATTTTAAAAACTCGGGAAAAGTAAAAAAAAATAATTCTAGGCCAACATTTTTGTTTTAGATAGACGCATTAATTGGGCGTCGTTTACGCTATTGCTCATCAGAATCTATGGATAAACGGTCGATTTGGAGCCGTTTGACCAAAACAACTCAAAAATAATTTTACCTGAAATGAATGCTTTTTTTTCACATAACTTAAGTATCTTACATCTGGTTGCATAGAACTTTACAGTTCTGTAAAGCTGCCCAATGCAACTCATACCCAGACACTTTCAAATTCAAATTTCATCATTTTTTTGCGGTATTTTTCCCAAATTGTTGACTGAAAACTCGGGAAAAGTCGAAAAAAAGTGAAAAAATAGATAAAAAATACTTTTTGGAATGTTGGTGGCCCAACTGCCAATTGGAAACAAAGCAAACGAAAAGGGGTTGAATTTTTGGTAAAAAGTATTTTTTGTCTATTTTTTCACTTTTGAGGTTTGGCTAACGAATTTTAGCTCCACCGTTTATCCATAGATTTTAATGAGCAATACCTTAAACGACGCTTAGCTAATGCGTCTATCTAAAACTAAAAATGCATGCCAAGAATTATTTTTCTCTCAACTTTTCTCGAGTTTTCAAAGTCAAAATTTCAAAAAATAATACCGCAATAATAGGATGAAAATTGAATTTGAAAGCTGAATATCTTCCAGGCGTTAAGCTGCAGATACAAAGTGTCTGGGTATGATTTATAGTTGCATTGGGCAGCTTTTTAGAACTGCAAAGTTCTATGCAACCAGATGTAAGATACTTAAGTTATGTGAAAAAAAAGCATTCATTTCAGGTAAAATTATTTTTGAGTTGTTTTGGTCAAACGGCTCCAAATCGACCGTTTATCCATAGATTCTGATGAGCAATAGCGTAAACGACGCCCAATTAATGCGTCTATCTAAAACAAAAATGTTGGCCTAGAATTATTTTTTTTTTTTACTTTTTCCGAGTTTTTAAAATCCAAATTGCGAGAAAAAAACCCCAAAAAATGATGAAATTTTAATTTGAAAGCTTCCATGCGTTAAGCTGCAGATACAAAAAGTCCAGGTCGGATAGCTGCGTTTGTCAGCTTTTCAGAACTGCAAAGTTCTATGCAACCAGATATAAAATACTTAAGTTATGTGAAAAATAGAAGCACTACCTCTGAAAAAAAAAACAAACAAAAAATACCACATTTAAAAAAATTCTTTTAAAAAAAACTACACCATAAAAAAAGCCATAATTCGTTAAAAAAAATTTTACCCCGAAATATACATATAAGAATCTAAATTTTGGGCCACAGCCGAATTCTAGTGTTGACTAGTGTTATCAAACAATTTTAAAGCCCCACATCTATCAGAAAAGGTGGGTTGGTTCTATGAGGAAAAATGGTGTTGGGAAGTGTTACATAGAAATTAAACAAAACAATAATTACCTTTAAAAGAAATTGTTTTTACTGAGATTTTTTTTTCAACATTTTTAATTAAAAATCTGTTTAAAATGTTTTGTGTAACGGCCCTTAGCTTTTATCACACTATATACTTTCGGGCATACTTTCGACTAAATCTGATATGTGTTTAGCAGATATCATGCGCCACTTAGTCTGCACGGACCCAAAGCATATCCAATGCAGACTCTTTTCCAATCGTTTTTTAAGCAGAGTCCATTGATTTTCAATATGATTTGCATCTGGGCTTTGGGCAGACCCTGCATTAAGGGAAAAGTCCCATTATTGAGCCAGTTTATTACGATTTTAGACATGTCTTGCTGAAAAGTGATCTTCGATAAGGCGCAAGCACATTTACATTTTTTTTTTTAATTTAAAAATTGGCAAATTGGTCTTCAAAATATGAAACTAATATTGTTTATTCATCATTCTATCGATTGAATAGGATCCGCCTGTTGCGTCGCGTCTTTAATTTTTCAATCGGCACAAGAAATATAGCATGGAAGATTGGAAGATGGTAATTTGGTCAGCTTAGACCAAAATAATTCGTTTTCAGGCTGATGACAAGGAATATTACTGCGAACCCCCCAAAAAAGGCTGAAAAAGCAATAGGTCAAGTAAAAAACGATTAATGGTGGAGAGATTCTGATGGCTTGGGGTTACTTCCCTTGGTAGAAATAGAACAATCAAAGAATATATGAAAAACGAGAAGGAACGTGCGAGTCGCTTCTGGGGAAAATTACAAAATTACATTACATGTTACATTTTACATTTTTTTGCTACATCTGTTATCTACATATATTATGTATATTCTACATCTAACATGTAGATTATACATGTACCATTTAGATTCTACATCTCCTCCGCTAGGGGTTGCTCGCGCACTGAACGCGTCAGAGTGTGCGAGCGAGAAGGAAAATGAGTTGCCTTGTCGTTGGCAGGAGGGGGCAGGGGAAGCGACTGAAAATTAATTTCTTCATTCTGGCTATAATTATGATCCGATCTGATTCAGATTCGGCAGTCTGGTAGATATGGGCATTCTCTACGATAATGCGTTTTTAGTTTTATCGTATCTTGAAAAATGTGCCTGCCACAGATTTTCGTTCTTTGTGGGGTCGGAAATGGGCGGGGCGAAATTTTGAAATACACTTGTAGCAGTGGAGCCCTAGCTCTTATAGTCTCTGAGATATAGGCGCTCATCGGGACGGACAGACAGACGGACAGACAGACAGACGGACAGACAGACATGGCTATATCGACTCGGCTATTGATGCTGATCAAGAATATATATACTTTATGGGGTCGGAAACGTTGCCTTCTCTGCGTTATACACATCCACTTTTACCACAAATCTAATATACCCCTTAACTCTTTTTTGAGTACGGGTATAAAAAAAACTCCAAGCATTGACTAATTTTGTAAGACTTTACATGGCGTCGCCACTGGCTATTTTAAAAAAAGAAGAATGTATATCGATAGAAGAGCCATAGATAGAGGAAAAGATATGAGGAAGTCGATACCGGAGGCACCAAGAAACGTCGGCGTTGAAGGTCATCTATGGTTCTAATAAATCTACGAATTGTAAGATCGTCAACATATATCAATAACTCAGAATATTTAATACTGAAATACACAGAAAGAAAAGTACTAAGAGCATTCCCCTGCATTCCATCCCTTTCCCTCTGGTAAGCAAAGGTTAAAGGTATATTCTTGACCAACATCAATATTCGAATGGATATGACGATGTATTTCGGTCCGTCCATATCATCACACCTTGGTTTGGCTGGGCACGTATCGACAGAAAACAGTCGAACTGCGATTACTGTGCATCCAGGGATCAATTAATCAGGGAATCAAATGTGTGTGTGTGAGTTAGAGAAAGAAGAAGAAAGAGGCACAGAAAATAAAATATCGGGTGGCAACTGAAACAAACCAAAAAACTTTTTATTTAATAGAGAATTACGTCCCTGCTTTACTAATAACGACTTCTAATAACATTACAAGGATGACAGTATCAATGGGAATGGTATCAACTTGTTTGTTGCCTGAGCAATTCGTATTCGTAGCATCCATTTCAGTATCAATGCAAAGGGGCGCTGTGCCCAGGGGGCTTATATCTCTCTATTATATAAAATAATAGGTGTTTTTTGGATCACCGCCCGATATTTTATTTTTTGTGGTAGAATGGGTGTGTTAGAGAATGAGGAAGAAGAAAAGGCACATAAAATAAAATATCGAGCGGAATGTCACTGCTGTACTAAGGCGCAGTGATTAGAATAATGGTTTTGTTTGCGAGCGAAGAGAGCGAGCCGGAGGTTGGCGTTCGAGCGAAGCGGGTGCGCAGGGGGCTTGCCCCCTAGTATAAATATATGTTCTTAATGGTTGGCTAACTAGTAAAAATCGACCAAAAATATTCCTCATTCAGGAGTAACATAACTAGATTCAGGCGTGCTCAAAATGAGTTTTAATTGCTTCTCTTGTTGGTCAATGATTGGCAACCAATGCTCAGAGGGGGGCTTGAAATTGCTAGACTTGAATTTTGTAATTTGACAAAAATTAGTCAAACGCGTAGCTTGATGCAAACTATTGCCCAGCATTATCTGTTCAAGTTTATCTACTAATTGGTTTGACTCATTTATTAAGTCATCAATGGACTGCAGCAATGCATACCAATCAATTTTCATGCTTCCAATAACTGAATTGCCCCTCAAGTGAAAAGGAACAGGTGCGAAACTGCGCCACGGATGGTAAGACTCTATAGTATAAGGTATAAAATGTCGGTCAGATTCCATTTCAGCTGGATCATCATCGAAATTCCACGAGTCTAGCGTAGGTGTTAGGTTTAGACCGATGCGGCCTGTGCCTACCGCATGTCTTTGTAATTGTGACTCGTCGTCAAAATACAACTTTCGTATTCTCGAAATTGTATCATCGAGACCCGTCTCCAAATTTGAAATAATGCCATTTTCATTTTCATCACATTTTGGTAAGTATCTGTTTATGACGTCCTTATTATATGCTTTGGGGAGAAGCGTTTGTGTATAACGAGAAACTGTAGCAACGCTTTCGGTCATTTGTGACATGGAATAGGTCAAAACATCTGAAAAGGTTTCGATAAAATGATTCAAGTGCAGTTCTACAAAGTAAATTTTCTTACACTGCTGATAGCCATCCTTCTTCCTACAATATTGTCCATCGGTAAGTATCCCAATATCTTTGTGCAAAATTAAATCCTTTTGTACATCCACGCTCGCTTCTTTCATAAGCTTAGTCGGCACGAAGTCCGTTTGTAGACCTACATTTGCTTTTCCAGCTCTTAATCGTCTAAAGGGGCAAGAACCATTGCGTAATTTTTTAATTTATAGAGTAATATGATTCATATTAATTACCTTGATGCATCAAGTAATTTAGCCCGAAGCAATGCACTCTTGTCAGGCTTTGTAAGGGTTGAAACGCTAACTGCGCGCCATGGTGGTCGTTTAGATTCATTTTCCTTTTCTGCAGCCAGTTCCTTCATACGTTTCCAACTATTCTTGGCTCTACTTAATGAGAAGCTTAATGTAAACTTATACACATATTGAAAATCATTTTAAAAACAATGACCGCGCACCTTACCTACTCAATGATAAACTACGATTGTTAGATAGTAAAACTGTTTGATGGTCTTCTACACTTTGAGTCTCGCTAGTCTCCGAAGATGTGCCACTGTTATTGGCGCTATTATTTGACTTCAGCTTGTTCATGATACCGAATTTTGACTTTTTTCAATTTTAAATGTGTATAGGTGTAAGAACTTGGCCAAGTGCTTTTATTAGCAGTCAATACATCGATGCATAAACAAATTAGTGCATCACTGTTGCTATGGTATCACCATCGAATAAAGAAGTTAGAACTACGTACATACAGATGTATGTATGTATGTATGGACATTAGGCTGGACCCAAATTTAATGAAAAAGCGGACACCCCCTTATTCTGTTTTTTGTTAGTAAATAAAATTATACAATTTTTTTCCAAATTATTAGTTTGGGGGGAAAATACACTTTTTTGGTTAAATATACATTAAAGCAAAATTGAATTCGTCGGTTTTTTAAATAATATTGATAATAAGGTATTTTTAATTGTTTTTTAGGTACAGTTAAAAAATTAACGTTTGGTGAAAATCAGGAAGTTCAGCTGAGGTTGATTTATTTAGTTAACTTGTTCGCAAAAACTTGTGCACGATTTTTACTGCCAATAACTGACTAATGACGATATTAATAGTATCAATATACATACATACATATATGCAATAGATCTCACCGCATTATCCAATTCACTCAATAAAAAAAAATGCTTTTAATTTGCTTGCTAACAACTTTTTGTAAAATTCGGTAGCAAACTCAATACAAACTAATAAAACTAAATACTATAATATATACAAGCCCAACATAACAAAATTAGGGGTGTCCCGTTTAAATCAAAAAATTTTTTGGCACAACCTAATGTACATGCATATGTGTGTACATATATATTTACACTGAAATTATAAACTCTGCGACTACTGTCATTGCAATATAACTTGCGCGTAGTTCGCTTCAAAAGGTTACTTTTGGTTTTTCCGAATTTTAATTTTTTTTTTTTTTGGCTTTGTATTAACACGAACACAGCAACAACAAAATAACTAGTACTGACAAAGAACCGGAAACTAAAATGTCATAACATATGTACTAGAATAATCGAATCAGGCATCGCTCAGAGTTTCATCCAAATAAATTCTTAAACACTTGTTAAACTAATTATCTCTCATTTCAATACGTCAGTAAGAACATAACAGTTCGGAAGACATTCATGCACTGAAGTTAAGGGTTAAAGGTTAAAAAGAAATTTACAAAATCAAGTTGAATGGATCAAGCAAGAAGTAATTGATCAGAAATAATTATGTCTTCCAACAACAGAAAGTGTACAATGGGTTTTATCTGTCATGACCGATTTTTTTATTAGCTTAATGCCGCCTGTATGAATAATACCGACAACAATTAAGCATATAGTCATTATGGAAGGGAAAAATGGGTTTGTGTTTAAAACTTTATTTTAATTAGTTTAGGAGCTACAATAAAATGCATTAAGTATGCGGAAGATTTCTCCATTGTAATTTTCTAAGTGCGGCCTCCCTGCTTCGTAACCGCATTTGGAAAAAAGTTCGTAACTATCCCTATGGAACCAAAAGTTTTTTAAAGTGTTCTTTGAACTAATATCAAGAGTATTCAGCTGGAGCACACCAAAGTGAAATGTCCTGCCGTCGGTCTGAACACTTTGTACAACGATGGGTTTCGAAAGATCTCCTCCGGAGGCGCCATGCAAATGCTTGGCCCGTGCTGCAGCGACTACAAACGCTTTCAACATTGTTCGCGCATGAAATTGAGAAATTGTGACCTCGGATCCGTGAGTGTTTACCAAATTTGTATCAAAGAAAGAAAAAACAGTGTGGGGATGAGAGCAGCTAGCCTCTGTCCGAAACGCTGAAAATATGATTTCTTTAAATTTGAATTCTTTATAATTCTAATTACTTACGATAGAAGTTGCCATTATTAAGAACATGCTTTTTTGGTATTGAAATTGTACATTTCATTGGGTAAAGATCAGGCAAATCTCCGTTAAACTTTAATTTAACACCATCAATCGCACGATGAGAGCAAACTAATTTATTTGCATTGATCGCAAATCCGATCTGATCACTGTCTTTACACAACGTGGCTCTGAATAAAGCATTATCAAACAGCTTTCGGCGTACTGTGAGCGAACGACCAGCCAATTTTTCAATTTCATGCAATATTCTGTTGACTAGCAGTCGACTAAAAATAAATTCATATTATTATTCTGTGTACCATCAATTGAGCTGTTTGTGACTGTTACTTGATTCTTTCGTGGGAAATTCCATAATTGCGAGGCAAGTTAAAGGCAGGTCGCTCAATTAACTTAACCTTAGGCAATTTAACTTGTTCAGCATCAAGCACGTGTGCAGATAATATAGCGTTTCGAATATTTCTATCAATACCGTTTGGCAACTTCTGGTTAGCAATAGCTTCTTCGATTTTGGGAGGAAACGTTTTAACCTCTATTGTATTTGTCAATACTTGGGCTTGGGGTAATCCACCGATTAGCAGACTGTTATCATCATACGAATGGCAAGCAGTAGAAGCCGACTTTAGATGCCCATTGTCCTCGGAAATCGGTATTTGACCTGTTCCAATGAAGTCTAACCTATTTTTTAATGAATCATAAAAATATATGCATATGTATTTATAAACGTTCGTACTCACATACGTCTCTCTCCTTTCGGATTTAATAAGTCATTAGGAGTCCTGACCTGAACTGCCAGCCTTAACAACTCAGCGGCAGCGCCAGTTTCACGCGGCACACGCTTGCCCTGAATTAACCAATGCTTCTTAAAATGCCACCCAATATGCTGAGCGCATAACTGATTAGTAAGCCGCATTTAAAATAAGTTATAACAGTCTCTTTTCGTAAAGAAAATTTAACAAACAGGCAGTGTTATGAAATATTGCCGACAGCGTGACCGTGACGATAAATTCGGCCAACAAGTAAATACCATTAAATACCATTTCAGTTTCGAGAAATACCTTTTAAATGCCATAAATTTAAAACATTAATTTCAAGTGTTTTGTATATTCTATAATTTTGATATTCAGTTTAATATTACTAGCTATTTGTCCCTCTCAGCCCTAAACAAATAATTTTATCCAATTCCAATTATAATCTATGGATTTATCGATCGAATATTCCGTCTGACCCCCATAAATATACCGAAATATACCTTCTCGTTTCTTTAAATATACCGAAAATATACCGAGGAAATAAAACAAAATTTTTGGTCGACCGAATCACGCATTAAAAATGTAAGGACGCACGCTGGCTAGAAAAGTGCAACAATGAAGACAAATTTAATCAAATTAAGGCAGTCGAATGAATACCGATTAATGGATATTATAAGGAGATAAAAAGGTTGTTGATTGCATTTCTGTCCATCAAGATCGGAAATATCCAATATTGCGGTGTGCATTGTCGTCTTCCAGCTCCACAGCGCCCATATATAATTCATTTAAACTTGCTTTTATACAACATTTAAAATTTTAACAGATTTCTGTTTGTAAAGCCTAGTACTCAGATCCAAAAACTGTTTGCTAGCAAACAAATGTCATATATTCTTCTTGTTTAAAGTTAATAAAATGCACTTCTTCGGCTGGGGTCGCTCTTCCCCAGGCATATCCTGGGCTCCCCAATATTTTATTGGAAAGGTAATGTGTCTGACTATCAGCAGGAGCAGATGGCGACGCCTCCCGTGCCTACCACCATGAAGACAAACTGTTTTGAAAGCAATATTTGTTTTATATTTAAATATCCATATAATTATCATTCATATAATACTGCATTAATTAGATTCTATTTGTCTTCATTATTAAAATATTTCATTTGGTTTTTTGTTCTCATATTGCAATTTTTCCTTCGTGTTTGCTGGCAAAATATATGAAATTGATATAAATTTCGAGGGGGTTGAAAGATACCAGCAATATCAGCAAATACATTCAGATACTTTTCTAGTATATAATTACCTTTTTTTTTTGTTGATCTGAGTACTGCCTTCCGTACAGAGCCTAGAAAACAGTTTTTGTCGAAAAAAATATCGTATTGGTTTCATTCGAATATCAACGCTGATTCTATTTGCGAGGTGTTTTTTCGGATCTGAGTACTAGGCTTTAAAGAAACACATAACAGTGTAACCGTAGAGCATACAGCTTGACCAATTTGGTCACACTGGGCGCCGAGCGAAATATATAGCACTTTCAGTCGACGGAAAATTTAGCGCGTCTGAGAACTTAAAGCCGAACGTTCGATTGTCATAATTTTTTGGTGAATATAGAGAAAACCGAGAAGGAACGTGTTGGTTTTGTGAACGCGACTCTACTTTTATACTCGTACTAAGTCAGTATATACATTTTTTAGCTTATGATTTATGAAGAATTTTAAAAACTGTTACACTTTACATTTTTTTTGCTACATCTGTTACCAACATCTACTATGTCGATTAAATATCTAAAATGTAGTGCACAGGTTAGAGTGTGTGCGAGCGAAAAAGAGAACGTCTCGCACTGGAGGAGGTGGGGGAAGCGAGGGAAAATTAATTTCTTTATTCTGGTTATAAAGTACGCAAGGAAGCGAAGGATGTAGGGCCTCCAATGTTCAACAAGAGCAAGCAATGATATAAGCATTCGTCTTGGCGTGGATGCACTGTGTATATTCATCCGAGGGCATTAGTCGAAAGGACATCAGCGAAGCCAGCAACAGCGTCACCTCTCTTCCGGCGTTAAAACTTCTTTGATGCAGCGTTTATGTGTAATAGCGTGACATTTCCTAATAGAGTAAACTCCTTGCAAACAGATCGCGCTCACATGTCGAAAATAAATTTTTTAATGTAGTCGATGGTGATCGTTCTGCTCTTTGCGCTGCATTTGCGTCCGTAAACTACACACGCTCTCCGTTCTCCAAGTGAACTGCCAAATGCACGACAGTCGGGTGACGTTCATAGTTTGGGAATGAAAACAGCAGCCAGATTGCTTCGTTACAACTCACATAACGTCCAAGATGAAATTTCGTCACCTCGTCGTTTGCATTTGGACCGGCAATGCCAAACACCGCCATGTCCTCCCTTTGTCGACATATTTGCAAACGTATTTGATGGATTTGATGGAGTTGCAGTACTCAACATTGCAGTGGTTTGAGAACGTTTTCAACAAAAGCGGACAGTATAGACATCCTTTCCTTTCGGACCATTTCGGATTGCAAGTTAACGTGATGAATAAATCCGGACGTCCGTAATTCCGCATCTGGAGCGTACTAATGCATGTGGCGCGGGCTTCCAACATACGTAGATGGGAGAATGATCAAACAGCCTCTGTTGGCGCCGTTTCCGTCAGTAGCGATGGCGTCACGCAAGTGGATGTACTCTTCTGATCGTAACTTCGACAAATTAAAACGACTTAAATTGAACCGCTTCGTTTCGACCTTTACGTACAATTCGACGCAGTACTGTTGAAACAACCGGCGATATCTCAACAGATAATTGTCAACCGCTTGGCAAATCATCAATCGATACGCCTACAAATACTTTGCACTGACCTTCATATTCGTATCTTCTCCTGAAATATGAATTTATCCAACTTAGTTGCAGAATGAAAAAAAGAAGTATTTACTTTTAAACAAACCTGTCGTTGCATTGACCATCTTTATTTTCAAGTGATATCCATCCTCTCCAGAACATCAATGGGTATTGAATCATATGAGTGAACCAATGAGTCTCGTATACGGTGCAATTGGATTGGATGTTTTGATTGGATAGAGAGAGAAACGAATACAATGGCTCTGGCGGATGAGTCAAAACGGGCAATTTTACCTTTCCACCAGCGCAGCATATGCCGGGGGTTTCCGATTGAAACTTGAATGCATTGCAATGCTGGTATACGACAGACAATGAACCGATATAAACGCAGCGACGATATTGGTAGGCTATTGCGCTATTGCAAAAGTAGCGCGATTCAAGTCTACTGGTCGAATTTGAGGTGGTAATTGTGCAGCGCGAACCTCCATTCATTTACTTTTGCACGTTCCTCTTGCGTTAGATTAATAGAGACATTCCGATTACTTATTTAACGACGTGTACGTCGTAAAAGGTTTGATCGTCTAAAAGCAGGCTTATTATAACTCAATTGATGAATAATATCTCGAGGTTAGAATCTTCGACAATTGGCTCTTCGCCTACTTATCAGACATTAGCCAAGCAAATACCTCAATTGATGAATAATGAACTAAACTTCAACTGTGACAAGTTCCATAGAAGAAATAAATACAAAATCACCTTTTTCGCGATCGAGGGTTAGTTTCTCCAAAATTTTCTTTCGTAGCAACATTATCTTGGTAAAAAAGAACAACTAAACAAAATTTGAGCCAAATCTGCCCAGCCGTTCTAAAGATTAATTTTTTTTGCGATAGATGATTTTTCTTACCTAGAAACATTTTTCTTGCAAATACGATCGACTGAATACAAATTCAAACCAAATCTGCTCAGCCGTTCTCACATGATGATGCACTATACATTTTAATCTCTCCATTTTTATATATCAAGATTTTGTTTCGAAATTTGAATATTTCATTAATTTTCTTAACACATATTCGTACGAATGTAACTTAACGCCAGAATGAGGTTCCCATATATATACTATATACATACTATATACTGACTGAGTACCAGGTGTAAAAGTAAAAGTGCAGGCTCGTTACCTTTTGGAGTTATAATTCGGTTTGTTGTATAAAACGCCGTTTCATTTCTATGAGAAAAATGGTTCCGCTTCGAAAACGGGAGCACACACTTTTTTTCTTTTTCAGAGGTAAATCGGAAAATTTTTTCGAAAGTGAAAACCGTTGCCTTCCCTTATACTTGCCTTTGCTAGTACTCAGAAAAGATACGAATTTCACTAGGAGTAGAGTGTTAGCTGTGTTGTGCTTACTATTTTATTCTTTTGAACAGTAAAATTAAAAGGAATATAAGTGTAACTATGTGAAAATAAGAATGGTCGAGGACTGTCCTAATTATGGGATTGCTTATATTATGGCGCTGAAAAATCTGGATAAACCAATCTGCGCGAAAACGACAAATAAACATTCCCTCTGTGAGGTTTATACTGTACATACGTTTATACGAATTGTACATACGTTTTAAAAAGGTCGATTTTTTTCTTCCTTAAAAACAACCGGAATTTTTTCAAACGTAGTTTCCATTCCACTACTATTTTTTAGCAGGCACCTGCCCAAAAATAAAGTATCGAATGTAGGCTTAAAAAATGTTTTTACCGTTGCTCTATCCTAGGACTAACAACAACAAAATTCTAGCCATAGATAGGATATTGAGTAATGTTGATGGTAAGGCGCAAGGCACACTTTTATTTTTTAAGTCCGTAGAATCAGTTTCGAGTTTTTGACAACCAAAATTAAAAGATGCATTTAATAAGCTATACGATAAAAAATAAAATATAAAATATAAAAAATAAAAAATACTAAGCATTTTAATAGTTTTGACAAGTAAGACCTGGTAGCACTTTAAACAATTAAATTTGGCATCGCAATAAGATATTAAGTATTTTCCTAATGTTGGAATTTACAATTGCAAGGTTAACTGGGAGTGAAGACATGTAAATGTGGGACTTACTTTTTCAATTCGTTGTACTATTACAATAATCGACAAAATTGAAAATTTTCTTCCCGCTGTCGACCAAAATTACTTTTTCTGATAGATTTCGGGATTTTAAAATTTGTATAGTATTATGTTTTTTTTTATGATTTAGTTTTTTTTTTAATTTTTGAAATTTGGTAATTTTTCCATGTTTTTCAGAGGTAGTGCTTCCATTTTTCACATAACTTAAATATCTTATATCTGGTTGCAAAGAACTTTGCAGTTTTGAAAAGCTGACAAATGCAGCTATAAATCCGACCCAGATTTGAAGCTGCAGCTTAACGTCTGGAAGATATTAAGCTTTCAAATTCAAATTTGATAATTTTGTTGCGTTATTTTTTACCGAAATTTTGACTTTACAAACTCAGGAAAAGTCGACAAAAAATATTTCTTGGCATGAATTTTTGGTTTTAGATAGACGCATTAATGAGGCGTCGTTTGTAAGAATCGGTGGAGAAATGGCCAAGTTGCAGCCGTTTGACCAAAACGACTCAAAACTCATTTCACCTAAAAAAAACCGTCCGGTACGTTGCTGGTCCAACTTCCCATAAGTAGCTGAGATATAGGATTTCATGCTTTAACCCATACAACCATCAGTAATTTTCAGTCTTTTCAGTAAGTTTTATTATAATAAAGAATTTTTTATTTAAGTGTTTTGTTACTACAATATTTTTAAGATTAGTGATGAATTGGGTTTGTTACTGCTTTTTACTAGTTCTAAAATGGTAACTTGGCTGTCTTCCTTTGTCATTAGAATCAGATTCCCTTATGAGAGTCCTCACATAGTCGTCCAACATATTCTCACTCCAAACACCTAGATACCGTCGTTCCATAGCTTTTAATTGTTGAAATCTCTCTCCATGTTCATTACTAACTTCCCCTAGGTTTTTTTGAAAAATGTCTAAGTGGGAGTGCAGGAAATGGATTCAATTTTTTTCATAATTCTCAATTCGGTTGAACGATATTAATGTAATCATCAACCAGTCGGAATGAGTTCCAGGCTTCTTTTTTATTCGTAGATAAACTATTTACAAATCCATCATCTTTTAGTAGTTTTCGTATTTGGGGTACATTAAATACGCCTTCTTTAACTTTTGCCAGCGACAGACGTGGAAAATCAGTTTTTAGGTAACTCGTTGATTCACCTTCCTGATCCAGTGCTTTAACAAAATTTTTCATTAGTCCCAGACTAATGTGTAATGGTGGTAATTTTGTATGTTGTGTCTTTCCAATGTATTTTCCTCCCGTTTTGGCCAGAGTTTTCTTGATTAATGCTCAGTTCTAGCTCTACTATCCAATAGACACAGGAAGTAGCAGCATTTTGTGTAACCACCTTGCAATCCCGTTAAAATGGCTACGACTTTTAAGTCACACGCGGTGTTCTTTATATTTTGTGATTTCAAACAATTTAGCCATTGTTTGATATGTTTTCTTCATATTAACAGCATGGGCGATGGGAACAGACGGCTTTTGTAGCATTATGTGGCAAAACAGCCTTTAAACTTTCCTTGCTGTTGTCAACAAATAACCTCCAATTTGTTGGGGCGTAAGCTTCACCCAGTTCCTTGAATAAACCATAATGTCGTGGCAAACGCACGTCATATAAATTTGTGCGTGAACCAAATGACGCGTCCGAAAATTAGTTACTTTGACCTCTTCCTTCAATAAAAGGGCATCCTTTAAAAAAGATCCAAGAAGCTCGGTTCTACTTTTAGGAAGATCCAGGATCCTCGCCAAATCGTTCAATTGTTCCTGTGAAAGAGGCTTGCAATATTTATATTCTCCTGATTGGTCAATACTTGAAACCGTAAAAATAAAATTGTAAGAAAAAAGTAATGTTCAGTATTTTTTGTACACTTAATAGCTTGTGATTTATGGTAACTTACTTTTCGTCTTTATTAAATGCTGTTAAGTTCAATTTACACAATTAGCATATACAGCTTGGAGCCCACTCTTCGCCAATACTTTTGGCCCTGATTTTAAAGTTTTCTTCACACTGTTCTTGCAACTTTTCGGTAAAAACGAATTTTTCTTCCTTGCTGGTCATATAATTTCCACCTATGTAGCAAAATGAGTCTGCTTTCCATCCATTTCAATTGCTTTCACTTAGAAACAAGTAGTATTTCTTAACACACGATCGTATTCTGATGGAAGTCAGAACTACACTGAGGCAGGGATACTATAGGTACGGAGTTATATATCATTTTCTATGAATAGCTAGAAGGGAAAAAGGTATAATTTGTGCGGGACCAGCATCTGTGAAGGAAAAAAGGTCAACATTTGACCATAACACAGGTTGTTTGAGATGCCAAGCTTTTTTGGCACCTATATCTATCCAAAATCAGCTAAAAGACTTTCGATTTACAGCGTTATAATGTTTATTTATACAGGCTGCTAGCTGAAGCCAATTGCTTGCTCTTTTGCCCAGCCAGATAAATGTGCACAAGCGGGGGTTCGATATGCAACCTATGCGGCGAGAGATTAGCATAGAACTACTTGGGCCACGACGGCCGATCAATGCAAGAGCCGAAGCGGCAGGTGCAGAGCGCCCTTTAACAGGGAGAGCACAGCAGCACTGCCGAACATACATAAGTTTAGGTTTCGATACTCTTATACAAGTAGTAGACAGCTACATTTAATATTATGATAGACGCTTAAATAGCCGCTGGCCCGAACACAGGCATTTATGTATATCTATCCACATCAAGGCTTAGGTATAAGGAATAAAAGTAACTGTCCACAACATTTACATGCCGAATGGACATAAACAGGTAAGGTATATATCCAAGATATATCCATATCTAGGACTCGGTAAAACCAAAATTACAGGTAAAATGAGTTTTGAGTCGTTTTGGTCAAACGGCTGCAACTTGGCCGTTTATTCACCAATTCTTACAAACGACGCCAAATTAATGCGTCTATATAAAATCAAAGATTCATGCCAAGAAATATTTGTTTGTCGACTTTTCCTGAGTTTTTTGAGTCAACATTTCTGGAATAATACCGAAAAAAAAGATCAAATTTGAAAGCTTAATATCTTCCGGACGTTGAGCTGCAGCTACAAAGTGTCTGGGCTGCATTTGTCAGCTTTTCAGAACTGCAAAGTTCTATGCAACCAGATATAAAATACTTAAGTTATGTGAAAAATAGTACCAAATTTTTAAGAACTTCTTAAAAAAAAACTAAGCCATAAAAAACCATAATTCGTTAAAAAATTGTAAATTCTGAAACCTATCAGAAAAAGTCATTTTGGGGCACAGCGGAAATGTCGTGTCGACTAGTCTTATCGGACAAAAAAATATACCTTTAAAGTGAAAACACGTTTTTATTTTTTCCAGCCAAGGGTGTGCTCGATGCACAATTTATTATGTGAGGATTGAGGTGCTACTGTACAACTTTTCTTAGAAGGATTTTTGAATAATAATTTAACAGGCGCACAAGTGTAAAAATATGTAAACTAACAAAAGATACTCTCTAAACTTAGAAGACGACGCAACACAAATTCGTTGCACACTTCGCACTGGAATACATCTTACGTCTAGTCATTGTTTCATAATTGTAAGAAGTTTAGCATATGGACTACGTGTTCGTTATGATGGAAGTTAACGCATGCGATACGTGTTAGACTCTTGAATTTCGGATAGCTCTCCCTTGAAATGTATGTCAATAACAAAGTCCAAATCCCGATTGTTTCGATCGTTGGGTTTCATTTGGAACGTGCCTGTTATTTCTTCATTTTTTTTAGCTGTCATATGATCATCTAGATAAAACACAGTTTGCTTCCAATGAGTGTAGGTGGAATCTGGCGATGTGCTAAAACCTAGACGCTTATGGCACTTGGTAAATTCGATGTTAAAATATGTGACTAACGCTTGCACAAAGTCATTTCGTTTGATTGTTAGATTGAACTTGGACGAAAAGTTCAGATCTGCCTTCTGCACCGTATACAGATCCACTTCTTTAACCAAACAGGCTGTGGATACCACTTGTTTAGGGTCAACCACATCCACAAGTGGCTCAGTGACAGCAACTTTGCGTATACAACTCATATCAAAGCCGTAAACATCGTCCCACCAGTTTATCTTTTCGTCCTTGTACTGACGATCTTCGATAGCTGTAATGTAAAGGGTGCCTCTGTCTGGGAACATCATCCCATTGGGCTTCAGCCACTTATCTCGCGCATACAATACTGTGTCAAGCATAGACTCATAAAAAAGGCAGTATCTGAAACGAACGTAATTTTTACATTATAATAAGCCGATGAAAAGAGAAGTGTGGAGCATACCCCATCCATTCAGAGATTATAATGTCTACGCCTTGAATACCATTTGGCAACTCGATCTCTTCGATTTTTCCTTTAACGACCTTTATAATGTCCTGCAAATTATTGTCTATGACAACTTGTCTTGCGAACTCTATGATATTCGAACAGTCTACGGCTATAACCTGGGCCGCCCCGGCTTTTGCAGCAAACATTGAAAGTATACCGGTGCCACATCCAACATCTAGTACAATCTGTAAAGAATTCAATTTTAAATGATAATTGAACAAAAATGCATTTGATTGAGTCTTTAACAAATCGTACTTTGCCTTGGAACAGATGCTTATTGTGATACATAGCGTTCCGGTATGTCACGGTGCGCACTTCGTCCTTAAGCATTTCTTCGTGAATACCAAAGTGGGCGTACGAGTCAAAGTAATAGTCCCTCGACGTCATTTCATCAGCATGGGCATTCGATTCATCGGGGGATGCTGCGGCCCCAGCTCCGCTTTGGGATAACTTTTTAAGCACATTGTTTGATTTAGGTGTGAGGCCGGTCGCACTTTCGATGGCGGATTCCATGGGTATATCTGTAGTGGACTGCGGAATGTCGTTGATTACCTTTCTTTTTTATGGCAAGGTACAAATCTAAACATATACAACGTACCATTTTAGTTTTATTTATTATTTCACTTTCTACGCCGAAAAAAATGAAGTTCTAGCGTTTGTAAGTACAAAGTGAACGTCGAAAACTACTCAATACGCACGCTGCTTTATAAAACGAATTTTACAGCACTGTTTCTAGAGATGGGCTTTTAATAAAGCAATATATATGTGCAAAATTTGAGGTAACATTAGTGGTACTCCTGAAAGTGATTAATAGTTATGTTCGCAAAGTTATAGTTGCCAATATATGTTTTTTTTTTACCGTATTAAATTGTATCCCAATATTGAGCTGTTTGTATATAAGTATATTATAGCCATTCAAATGTTGAACGCATGTTGAGGTGAAATCCAAAGATAGATAATTATTATTCGAGTACAATCAAATCGCCAATTTTTTATTGCCATCAGCTGTTTTTAGATGTATGGGCATTGGTGCTGGTGGGAAGCGGAGAAAATTCCCTATGTGCTCCGTGAGTAAAGGCTATGTTTAAAATTTTGACCACTGAAGCTTGCACCTTTGACCGACAATATCGATCCACGGGAGAAGCTGAGCGCAACAAGGTGAGATCTAGCGTTATGTGTTACAATCTGTTTTACTAAACTACTATTTAATATATTTGTATGTATATAAAGTTGTGACGATCTATCAGCTGCTGGCCCAGACAGACATCGTGCTCTAGCTGTCAGGGGAATGGTGCATAGCAGCCTTGTATGGCATAATGGCCGTTATTCTTTTAACGCTAGAGAGCTTCTTCGATTTTTATTTTCTGAGAAAATGAAATATGAAGAATAATTGGTTTAAAAAATATTAAAAATACTAGAAATATTTAAAGTATCACATATCGCTTTTTAAAATACTAAAAACAAAATAAATATCGCTTTCCCGATACTATCTTGTTTAGTACAATTTGGCGGCAAAAATTATCCATCGCGGCATCCAAGTTAAGATTTTGTCAATAGAAAACCGCATTATTTAGCAAGCAAATATAATGGAGGGATTTGATGATGCTGGTGTATTTTTCTCTGATAATTTCGGGAACGATCAGCAGCCTGACGGTGCCCAAATAAATTTGCAAGCAGTCAAGAAAAGGTACAAGGAGTTTATTCGAACATTCAACGAGGACAACTTTTTTTATAAATACCGGTAAGCTATAAAGAAATCCTACATACACATAGATGGAAGGTTTAAGTAGTAAAGTCTTTTGTAGTGACACATTGAAACGTAACTACCTTAATGGACGCTATTTTCTGGAAATCGAAATGGAAGATTTGGTGGGATTTGATGAGGCCCTTGCCGATAAAATGAACAAACAGCCAACTGAGCATTTGCAAATTTTTGAAGAGGCTGTTCTGGAAGTGGCTGACGAAATTACAGCTCCACGTCCCGAACATGAGGAACACATGCATGACATCCAAATACTTTTGAGCTCCAATGCCAACCCCACCAATATACGTGGACTAAAATCAGAGTGCGTGTCGCGTTTGGTTAAAATTGCAGGAATAATTGTATCTGCATCTGGCATAAGTGCAAAGGCAACGAAAATGTCCATTATGTGCTTGTCGTGCAGCACTGTTATACCAAATCTCAGAGTGAATCCCGGACTAGAAGGCTACGCCCTGCCACGAAAATGCACAACCGAACAGGCGGGAAGACCAAAGTGCCCCCTAGATCCATTCTTCGTAATGCCAGACAAGTGCAAGTGCGTGGATTTTCAAACTCTAAAATTGCAAGAGCTACCAGACTTTGTACCTCAAGGAGAGATTCCTCGGCATTTGCAGCTATTTTGTGACCGCTCACTGTGCGAACGTGTTGTGCCAGGAAATCGTGTGCTCATACAAGGTATTTATTCAATTCGAAAAGTGGGTAAACCCTCTCGTCAAGATGGTCGAGAGAAGGCCGTTGTGGGCGTTCGCGCGCCCTATATGCGGGTGGTGGGCATAACAGTGGACACAGAGGGATCCGGTGCCATTTCTCGCTATAGCAACATAACCACCGATGAGGAGGACAACTTCCGACGCATGGCTGCCTCTGGAGATATATATGAACGCCTTTCTCAATCATTGGCGCCTAGTATATTCGGCTCTCGGGACATTAAAAAGGCGATCACTTGTATGCTTTTTGGTGGGTCCCGCAAGCGGCTGCCAGATGGGTTGTGTCGGCGTGGCGACATTAACGTACTGCTTCTGGGGGATCCTGGTACGGCAAAGTCGCAACTACTCAAATTTGTTGAGAAAGTAGCCCCGATTGCCGTGTACACGTCAGGAAAGGGATCTAGCGCGGCTGGTCTCACAGCGTCGGTTATGAAAGATCCTCAAACGGTAAGTACGTTTGCATATTAGATGAAAAATCATTTTATTTTAGCTGATAATCTTATCCGCATAGCGCAATTTCGTCATGGAAGGAGGTGCCATGGTATTGGCCGACGGTGGTGTCGTTTGCATTGACGAATTTGACAAAATGCGTGAAGATGACCGGGTGGCCATACACGAGGCAATGGAACAGCAAACCATCTCTATTGCAAAAGCCGGCATTACTACCACATTGAACTCTCGTTGTTCGGTTTTAGCAGCTGCTAATTCTATTTTTGGTCGGTGGGATGATACAAAGGGCGAGGAAAATATTGATTTCATGCCCACAATATTATCTCGTTTTGACATGATTTTTATTGTTAAGGACGTACATGATGAGACACGTGATATTACACTCGCAAAGCACATCATAAACGTGCATCTTAGTTCAAATAAATCCGGACCCACTGAGCCAGCCGAAGGTGAAATATCATTGTCCACGTTTAAAAAGTACATACACTACTGTCGCACCCATTGTGGGCCACGATTAAGTGAAGCTGCTGGCGAGAAGCTTAAGAGCCGCTATGTACTGATGCGAAGTGGTGCCGGGCAGCAGGAAAAAAACGCAGACAAACGACTAAGTATTCCGATTACAGTGCGCCAGCTAGAGGCTGTGATTCGAATATCAGAGTCATTAGCAAAAATACGCTTGCTTCCCTTTGTCATCGATGAACATGTCAACGAAGCCCTTCGACTTTTCCAAGTATCTACTCTTGACGCAGCTATGACTGGAAGCCTGGCCGGGGCTGAGGGATTCACCACAGAGGAAGACCAGGAAACTCTTAACCGTATTGAAAAACAATTAAAACGTCGTTTTGCTATCGGATCTCAAGTCTCTGAGCAGAATATCTTGCAGGTAATAATTCGTTTGTACAGATAAATGAATTTGATTTAAACTTTTTCTTACGTTTTTCAGGACTTTTTACGTCAAAAGTACGAAGAGCGCACTGTAGTAAAAGTCATTCACACGATGATTCGACGTGGTGAACTTCAGCATAGAATGCAACGCAAGATGCTATACCGCATATGCTAGCTACTTTTTACCTTCACTAATAGTTACTAATATGGTCAATATTTTATCATCCTAAATCATAAGCAAACTTTTGCACCCTATTCTTACAATATAAAAATATTTCAATAAAGTCAAAAGCTTCGCATATACAAATGGAGCAAATAAAAGGGCTGCTATGCATTATATTAATTTACATACTGGGAGGGTTACGTGTTTTAAAATTTCCATACTAATGACAATGTCCAATTATAAATAAAAATTGTTGTGTGCTGCGTGAGGAGGGGCATGCTTGCTATTGGCAGATTTATGTTTGTACGTACGTCATACAAAATATTATTCGTTATGTGCATCATATATTCTAAAATTAGAAAAGTACAAAGAATGTTATTGAAATTTTGGGTATGCAGTTTTATTTGTGGAGCAAATAAATAAAAAATTATTAAATAAGTTAACTAAGTGTACAAATAAACTTAAATTTTAAGTAGTCATAGTAAATATTTATTCGAACAATGTCAAAATAGTTCAAAATATATTATAACTGAATAAGACGGAATGGCATGACCCAGCGATTTAAGGTTTGTTATTCTCCCATTCCTATTTCCTAGCTGTCTCAAACTGTCTTCTGCTTATGAAATCTTTTGAGAGGTTACAACAAAGATTCTCAATGGGATTCTGGACAGTTCAATACAGTTTGCTTTTCTGCCTGCACAGAAGTTTTTTGTTACCGATACATGACGTACTATGTATCTTTCATACAAATTATTTATCTCTAAATACTATAAATGAAATTATTTTAAAAAGTAGCTTGAGTATATTTTGCCCAGTAACTTCAAAAAAATTGTACCGAGTAATAAAACTTGATTGCCTTTTCGAGTCTTCCTCGTACCAACATACATATGTACATATGTATGTATGAATTCTGATCTTATTGGTGACAATATCATATCCTATACTAAAGCATCTATTCTATTAAATTTTGCCTGTATTGAACTGGTATTTTTTGGTCGATCATTCCAAAAAGTACATTATTGTATGATTGAATTTGCTTTTTCAAAAGTAAAATGCATGATTTAAAACCTATATACATACATATAAGTATTAGTTCGAATAAACCACAAAATCGACATTGTTGGTTTACATACATAGTATTCCTACGTCATTCGAGAAATCCACAAAACCAATATTTTCTATTGGCTGCGAGCCAATTTAAAAAAATATTTTTTCTTCTGTGCGAGAACGTTTATTACTTCCTCTTATACAAAACTCAATTAGTACATTTGCGTATGAATAGCTTCATATGGATGTACATATATGTATATGCATGAACTATATAGACACATGAACATGTGTACAAACATATGTATATATGCTCGCATATATATTTTCAAATATAGTGTATGTATGGGCGTGTATTTTCACGTTAAGGCATTCGAGTAGACATTTTTCGTAGCATAATGTACACTCTATTCAGCGGAATGTGCTAAATGCATGGAATTCACTTTGCCGCGTTGATGCTCTACGGTCACTTGAAGACTATTTTACTGGTACATATTGTATATACATATATGTATGATATAATGGTCCGATCGTGGTTCCGACTTACAATACATATACATATATACACATGTATATACTTACATAGAAATATAGCGGAAGACGAGCGGACAGGAAAGTTTGTTTATGTTTACTAGCCGTTTTTGCCGGCCTGTTGACTAAGCCGGCCAAACAAAAACCCATCTAAAATTTATTTGAGGGTACGGAAAATTTAAAGAAAATGTTTTTTATACATTTTTTGTTCCATTTTACACACATTTTTAAGAAGTAGGAATTAGAATCTTTCAATTAAATTATATTTGTATGTGTTTGAGAGCTAAATGGGGCTCGGCAGGAATAGTACAAAATGTTGTTGTTTGTTAGCTCAAGCTCATTTTGTCTTTGAGAAGATCTACATATTTTTTATTCGATATTGATATTATCTAGTCATCAATGTTTGTATGCATTTGTATGCTTGTATTTTAATGGTTTATTAATAAATTGATACGTTGCCCTTTGCACCGAATCCAGGGTCTCTAGCTAATTTAATTTGAATTCATATTTCTACGTATGTACATACATATGTATATGCATTTTCATATACAAATACTGTGCATATGAATGTAACAACAAGCATACATTTGTGTGTACGTATGTTTGTACGTATTTTTCAATTACCGCTGACTGTTGATTGATGATAGGGAATAATAATGCGCATGATGTCCACTTCTATTTTTACATACATATGACAAACAGAAATAGGCGGACTTGCAGTGAGGTATATGTATACATATGTAAGTATTTAGCAGTGTTTTCAATTGAACAATCCCCCATCCACGAATTTTTCAAATATGAATATGGTAGCAATAACGTTAAAATCGAGTGCCTCGACAATGATATACCCGGTGCTCAGTGGAGGCCTTTCCCATCCTACATGAGCATTTGAATTTATTATTTGGACTAAATGCAAATGCCTAGAAATCTGAACCACAGGAAATTATTGACTTTTTTCTTTAATGTTATGTTGTGTTTTTGGTGAATAATAAAATATTTATTGGTGCTTCAGTTGGAGTTGTAAATCTTTTGAACATTGACTATGTAGAAAGGGGGATGAAAACAAATATGATTCGTTCAGCTCGTATTGTTTATTGTATATTTTTTAAATACTGCTCTGACAGATCGACAAATTGGCACGAATAGAACCTTTCCTTGTATGCTACTACTGGGTATCAAGAACCTAAAAAAGGCTGTACATGCAGCTGCAAGGTTGTCATCTGCATATCTGCTTTTTATTGACCAGTAAAACTGCTGACGTAAACAAAAAATTACTCTTACCCTAACAATAATATTGTTTAGGTCACGAATTAAGTACAAAGAGCGATAACCATGCCCAAATAATATGCACGGTTCTAAATCATACTCACTTAATCCAATAAAGGGCCGAAAAGGACAACCAAATAACTTTAAGACTAAGAATAACTTCGATGGCAATAACCAGAAAAATGGACATGTTGATCAAGAATACATATATTGATAACCTTTGCAAAGACAGAGAGTCTTTACCGTTCGTGTTTCACACTTGTTCTCTAAATTTGAATACTCTCTGCAAGGGTATAAAGTCGATCTATGAGTTCTAGATATGTAAATACGACTACATGTGTATGTACATACATTTTTACAAATAAACAAAAAGGGGTATATATATATGTATGTACATATGTGCATAAAGATACATTTGTATATAAATGCAGGAAAAGTTTACGTACATACGTAAATGAATACATACATATATGAATATGGACCATACGGGAGAACGCAAGTAGGTGTGTGCGATGGCAGAAACGCTGAGTGGGGCCTTTGTTTTGTGAATGAAAATGAAAAATCTCATTGTACATTCGGCGAACCCGCGCCTTTTGCATGTCAGTACAATTTTAGATTTCGACCGAGCACGTTCGGGCCTCGAACCAATTTGTATATTGGTGGCATTAAACCGCGTCTAAATTTACCCAATTTACTGGCGCAGTGCTGTTGAAGATCATGTACATTTATCCAAGCTCCCCGGAATCATCATCGTCCTTGCAGTCTGAAGAAAGTGCAGCCATAAAGATACAAGCAGGATTCCGTGGCTACCGTGTTCGCAAGCAGGTTCACCAGTCAACTAAGGCCGTTAATAGCAACAGATTCGGAAACCGCTTTTCAAATTCACATAGCAAACGGAACCCAAACCAGCGCCAGCGCTCCAATAACAACGCCCATAAAGAAAACCAAATGAGTTCCACCCGTTATGAAGACGTCGCTCATCATGTTGAGATTTCAGCAAACGAGGAAAACGCTGCGAAATCAGTTGAAGATCGCTGTGCTACCAAAATTCAAGCCGGATTTCGAGGATTTCTCGTAAGAAAGAAACAAAAAATGGCCACAGAAGCAGCTGTGAAAATTCAGGCTGGCTTTCGAGGCTTTAGAGCTCGCAAGGAATTGAAGCAGATATAAGGCCACTACGAGTATTTAGTTGACTTGTGTTATTTAATAGATTTCATGTATAGTAGTATGTACGTACTACTACAAACTATGTAGTTCGAGTTTTATGATGTAAATTAGTTTAAGTTATATGCATAAATTACATAAGCTATGCATAAATTATATACATTGTAAATAGTTATAAATTAACTTATACTTAGCATCCAGAAAAAATAAATCACTATTAGTCAACTAGTCTTGAAAGCTATAAATTTACTTGGTTATTTGTTGTACACATTTCGGTTTCCAAACCACAATAATGCTTGTAAATATATACACATATGTACATATATAATATGTACGAGATGTAAAAAAAATTACCCGTACAATCTCCAAATTGGTTGACAATAGATGAAATTATTAAGAAAAAAGAATTGCTAGAGGTGCGGGGTTCCGAAAATTTTTTAGTTACATGCATATATTAAAATAAAGGAAATTTCAGTTTGGTGGAATAGATTCCGGATAAAACTGTTAACGTATATTTATTAAGAATATTTGAAACCAATGATATGTTTTTCGATTGATCGTTTCTGATAATTTTGGCAGCTTTATGAAATAATAATCATAATGATGCGATCTTGACGAGTTCGAAATGTATTTTCATTTGTACATGCATACGAAATGCCTATAGCGACTCGGAACTCGGAGTTTGGTGAGACTAAATATAGCAACTGGAAATACATACACATATGTATGTATTCTCTAACTTGGCTTTGCAGTCAATCTGGTAACAGCGGAATAACAGAGAAGCAGCAGAGCCGTCAGCCATTGCTCCTGGTTCCTGGATACGGAGGACTACGAGCGAACCGTCACCCGCAGTAACTAAACACACCGGTGGAAGTGCGACTATACTCTCCTCCGGTCAAGTCTCTCCACGGATGCTGGCTAATTGTAGTCGGGTGCCAAGAAGAAAACCCTCAGTGAAATTACCTCCATTCTAGGTGAAACAGTATATGCTGATGCCTGGTCGAGGGGGTTTTCGGTCGAGAGTGTGCGAAATCTGGATACCTTCTGAGCTCCAGTCTTCGCGGGCAGGCGGTTACCCCTTCCCGCCTACTCGTGGGACCAAACATGTCAAATATTTTAAATATAAAATCAAAAACCGCAAAGGAGCTCGGTACTCCTTCTAAAGTACCGAAGGGACAAGCCAATTCTTCTACATCAACGCCTGAGAAGCCAGGTCTTTAGAAAAAGGGGACGGAGACTAATTCGGTCTACCAACCGCTGCGAGGAGGGCTCCGATAAGCCAAACCACGTCGGGGGGCACCGGGAGCATACCGGTTATTGGGAAGGCTGCCAAGCAGAGCGTTATCGCGGCTGGTAAGCGCCTTGTTACCGGGGAACTTCCTTCAACCTCGGCGGTAGTACTCCTCACATCAGGGAGCCGTCGTATTAGGACAAGAGGCATGTGGCCTTCATTCTGTCAAACGACGACCCGGATTTCAAGTCGTCGCCAAAAAGGAACGAGCAGATGCTCTGGGCCAGCTCAATTATCCCGGACTTCCAGCCAAAGCTGGAAAGTTCGCAGTCAAGGCCCCCAACAAGCGGCAACGCTGAGCTGAGAATCCCGCTACACAGCCGATCCAAGTCTGTCCTTAACAAGGGCGCCAAGGACGGTTATGTCCCTTGGAATAAATTGCATGTGGTTGAAGCCGAGCTCCAGGACAGGTTCCTCGAGAAACTAGCAGATAATGGTGGGCCACCACCAAAATGTAAGGACGCCGGGTGGCCATCAAGGCACGGTAAAAGCCATCGCCTGTCAAGATGCAGCACTCATGGAGGTTTACCTAGGAGCCAAGCTGGAGGCCGTAAAATGGGAGGATATACCCAGCGGACCGAGCGTGGGTCTCGGTAAAACCTGCTGAGCCGGAGAAGATTTTAAAGGTTCTGCAAGTCTGCAATCCCCCTTCCTACAGCCGATTGGAAGGTGGCCAAGGTGGGCGATTCTGGAAAATTGGGAGAAGTCGGCCGAAGCAGTGGCTTCGAACTTGGCGTCTGTGGTGTCAGATTACTTCCAGGACGGCTACGTGTCCGATGAGAGCGACCTTGCTAGGGGTCTCAGGCTGAGTGAGGTCGGGGAGGAGCTGGAGTCCCCCGACAGTGACGCCGACACGACCATGGTGGAGGCGAGTCTCAGGAATGTCCCTGATAATCCTGGAGATAAATCTCCACCATTTTAAAGCAGCATGAGCTTTACTGCTTCACCTAGCCCCGTCCTCATTAAGAAGCCCTGAATACTTAGAAAAAATACGCTCTGAGGACTCAAGACTATAATCTACACATAGCTGATACCACGGTTAAGCCCGTACCTGCATCCTTGAAAAAAGGGAGTTGCACTTACTTTTGCTCCCAAATTTCAGCGATGAGAATCACAGGTGAGCCTCGGTGGAGCCACAGGTGAGCCTCGAAGGCCAAGAGAGCTTACTGAGGATATGCTCCACATACATGGGTCACATGGGTCGCCCCTATGGGCGCTCATCGCAGACTGCGAGGCCAAGGACTTCGCATAATTGTTGGATGCGACACCAACGCACACCACAGTCAGTGCGAAAGCACTGACACCAATGAACGGGGTGAGTTCCTTTTCAGCTATTTACTGACCACCCAGCTGGTCATATTAAACAGGTGGGATTATCCCACCTTTACTGGTTTCAGAAGATAACACGCAGTACCAACGTATCGTCTGGCGAAAGGAGGAGACTGCTACACTCGATCATTACCGACTGCTGACCGTGATGTATGGTAAAGCTTCTTCACCGTTCTTGGCTGTTCGAGTTCACAATTAATCGCTCAAGATCATGCCGTTATGTATCCGAATGCTGCTGCGGTGCTTCTAAGGGACGCGTACGTGAATGATATTCCTACTGGCTGCGATAATATCGACGATTTCATTGCACTCAAGGATGAAATGCTTTCGCTATTGAGCCGTGCTCAATTTAAACTTCATAAATGGAGTTCTAAAGGCTCTCTTTTAAGATAAATTTAAAGCTCGGTCGAATGGAACGAACCACTATCCCCACAGTGTTGTTCACGTGGGCAATCTTATCCTATATTCACCACCTCAAGCAACGGAGTTGCATTGATTTGCCGATGTGTTGTCTTATGCATATGTTTGTCTGGACGTTGATATGCAATGACTACACCATCAAGTGGCCCATGCGACACCAAGCCGAAGCCTGTTACGCGCGGAACCCAGGCAGAAACGCAGCCCCTCCTCCCGCCCAACCTTACCGATGGGCGCAGCCGCATGACGCGCGACGCGTGTTACCGAACCGATCGCGAGCATGCAGGAAAGATAGGTGTTAGACTGAAATTCGAGGAAAATTAGAGCTAAACACAGCTCAAAGAGCTAAACATGCAAAGATAGCTAAGAAATATAACTAATTACCGGAAAAGGTATGTTAGTATTAGTTATTAAAGAAGAGGACGGGAATTAGTAGTAGATATTATATGGTAGAGGGAATCGAAGTCCGAGCATAGGACCCTAAATGGTTCGTGCAAGGAAAAATTTGATCTACAAGCGGAAGGAACAAACGAATAAAGTTTCTAGTAGGTCTAACAGGAATCGTAAAGTTTATGTGGCTCAACAAGTCAGGGCTATCTACGTCACCCTTGATCAGGTTGTGCATAAAAATCATACCAAGCATTTTTCTACGACTAACTAAGGTTGGATAGTTTATTAAAAGCAATCTACGAGGGTAAGATGGCAGTCTCACACCTGCATCCCAGTTAAGGCAGGGCAAAAATAAAAAGTTTTTCTGGACTGATTCTATACGGTCCTGGTGTACTTTGTACTGGGGGCACCATACACAAGAGCCGTAGAGAGTCTTCGTCAAATTCCTTTGACCACCTCTTTATAAACCCAAGAACGCCCATGTCCTTATTTACCATGGTAGAAATGTGTTCAGAAAACTTTAACTTTGGGTCTAATTTAACACCAAGATCATCAACCAAGGTAATTCTCTCAAGAGAACCACCGCAGAGGCTATAAGGAGCCAAAATGGGGCTGGAGCGATGAAATGTCATTACTTTGCATTTCGAGGCACTTTAGGTGTAACATATTTGCACAACACCATGACTGAAAGATATTGAGATCGGATTGCAAGCGAGAGTGAAATTAAATGTCCTTATACTGGACACAGAGTTTATCATCATCCGCATACATGAGTACTCGAGAGTTTGTTAATACTAAAGGCAGGTCATTAATAAAGAGTGTGAATAGTAGGGGGCCTAGATGGCTGCCCTGTGGTACTCCAGAAGTAACCTTAACAGGTGAAGAGAAGGGAGTTTTTGAAGAGGACTCTTTGAGACCTAGAACGAAGGTAGCTAGAAATCCATCTCTAAAGATTAGGCGGAAACCCTGAAAGGTCAAGTTTTTGTGCTAAAAGGGAATGGTTTACAGAATCGAATGCTTTACTGAAATCAAAGTAAATGAAAGAGGTAAACTCTTATAAATTTGTGGTTGTTGATCGTCGCCTTAAAAATCCTGGCTGTTAAAATTGTTTCAAACATTTTAGGAATAGCGGATAACTTAGATATGCCTCCAAAAATTATTTTCATCAGACTTGGTACCTTTCTTATGGAGCGGAATAATAAAAGATTTCTTCCAGATGGGGGGAAGCATGAAGAGTTAATGGATAGGGTGAATAGTTTAAGGGGTGCACACAAAGCGTCGGCACAGTACCTGAGTACACAGCCGGGAACTCCGTCGGGACCTGGTGAAAACACCGGCTTAACTAGTCGAAGATCATAAAGCAGTGAGCTTTCATTTAACAAGGGGCTGAAAATGCCATTCGACCTTGGTAAACTGTATAGATACGGCTGACCAGAGTAGCTTTCATGAGAATATGTTGTTTGGAAAAATTTGGCAAAAAGATCGGCAATTGCCTGATCATTGTTTGCTGACATATTGACAAATGAAAGCGAGGATGGATGTTCGGACGTTCTACGTTTAATATTTACGAAGCTGTAAAACTGTTTAGGGTCCTGTGAAAATAGTATCCTTCATCGAGATAGGTAGTTTTTATAGCATTGAGCGTTAAGAACGGAGAAATTTGACCGAGCTATTACATAGCGAGAAAGAGAAGAGGGAGAACCAACTTCTCAAAATTTTTTATAAAGTCTTGATTTTAAGTTTTTTAGACTGGATAACTCTTTGGTAAGCCAAGGAGGCTTTCCAGATCTAACCGGACAAGCATGTGGGACACGAGAATTAAAAAATGTGTCAGTGCATTGTAAAAAATGTTTGTGCCTTTCATAACGTCAGTGCACAAGTACAGAGCGGACCAATCAAAATCCCTAATTAGGTTTTTAAGCTTCGTAAACTCGGCTTAATGAAAGCAGCGGACACGTTCAGATAGACTACCCGTTCGATCCAAAACAGTAGGCCCAATATCGACCAACACTTCGAATGTAGGATGGTAGGAGTCTTTAGGTATAGTGAGCGGATGGGCTCGGGTTAGCAACGCTATGGTCGGATCCGAGACACCTGACACCGGGACACAGATCAAGCAATCGACCCAAGGAATTTTTCACATGGTTGAGAGAGGGATAGGTCTAGCAAGCCATCGATAAAGTCATGTCGTGACATGGGCACAAGATTACCGTTTACCGAAAACCAAACAGTACCTGGCAAATTGAAATCACCAAGAACTATCATATTGTCTTTATCTGATAGCGAGGAAGAAACAGTTTTTAAAGCGGACAGGTGATGCTCGACTATTAAGATATCCGACGAAGGTGGAATATACGAACAAATAATGAAAATGGAAAAGCCTCGGAAAATCAGTTTTACGCACAGGAATTCCAGGTCTTGTTGAACCTGGACCATGAAATGTTCCGACGTGAAGTTTGAGTCCACTGCAATGAGGACCCCACCTCCACGTCGAGACGAACGCTGTTATTTACAGTCGCGTGAAATTCAATAATGACTATGTTGTCAGGCAAAAACCCGTGTTGCGCACATCATCACACCATTCCGCGGCTCGAATTGAATGCAGCCCATCTTCGTGTTGGTCTGACTCAGAAATTGTACTGCATTGGCTCTCATCGCCACCTCGGTCTTGGAACCCTTATGATTGCAATCGGACTGCTGAGATTCTGGATGCTTGTCTACGTAGCTGCTGGCATCACATTCGCACCGCGGACAATCCCGCGGACTTTTACCGAGGGATCTTGTGGTGGAATGGACCACCGAGGCTTTCCCAATCACGTCTCACTTGGGCACCTGCTAAGCCAAAATTCGCCTGTCATCGCTTTTTAATCGTCATGGGAGCTTCAATATGCACGCTCTAGGATAATCAAACACGTTAAGATGGAGTTCTTCCAAGTGGAAGAGCACTGAACGACCACTTTCTCAAAAATCCAAGCAGTTTCGCTACGCTCTATTTACTGACGACCAAGCAATAATGCGCGTAGGAGGACAAACCAAGGGCAACTTACGATGCAAAAAATCCCATACTTCTTTCAAAGGAATCACCAGTCGCTGTTTTACTAGCTAGACACCTGCACGTCACATCGCTACACGCTGGAGTTGAATTTATGTTCCACACTTTGGAATTATATTCTCGGTCCCCACAACATAGTACGGAAAATTGTATCGTATTGGTCTCGATGTGGTCCTATATCCGATTTATACTCCGACAATAGCACAACATTCCATTAAGCCAGAAAGGAACTAACGGAAATTCAACGGATGGCTGTATCTCAAAGTCAAGACGAGGAAATTGCAAGTTTTCTGAGTAAGGAAATCAACTGGCACTTCATTCCGCCGTCAGCCCCGCATTTTGGAGGTATTTGGGAGACTGGCGTTCGATTAATTAAGCAGTGCATTCATTTTCGAAGAATATTCAACCATTTTAACCCAGATTGAAGGTCTTCTTAACTCTCGCCAACTGTGCGCTCCCAGCGATCACAGCCAAGATTCAAGGCTTCTGGAAACGTTGGAATCTGGAATACCTTGCTTCCTTGCAACATAACAGTGCATACTCTTGTGGTACTGAAGGAGCAGAATGAACCGCCGAGCTAGCGGCTGCTTGGCCGAATCAAAGAAGTTCATCCTGGTCAAGACGAGAGAGTTCGAGTGGTCACCGTGACAACTGCCAGAGAAGTGTACAAGAGACATATCACCGAAATTTGTGTGCCTCCCTTTAACTAAGCAGTCGTTCAGAAGGGCCGGTTTGTTGAGAAATTAGTCGCTTAGATTTAGTTCGATATTCATTCATATTACAGTTGCCCTATTCATATGCTCATTATTATATTGCCCCGCTGTATAATAAGAATGTTGCTTGTGTCCAAAACCAAACTGTAACGTTCTCACACGTAAAGCCAAAACCAGCCGCTGCACACGTATACATATGTATATGTGCACCTTTTTTTTGTATTGGAGCGTCGTAGCGCGTGATCTTCCAATTCCCTTTTGGGCTCGACTTCTTTTGTGGAGTTCAGTCAGTACAAAATTATATTTGAGACGAACCGCACGCGTATGTATTATTATTAAGTATAAATAAAATCAAAATACATAAAATTAATATTTATTTAATAAAATTAAGATTAATAGATTTTTCAGCAACAAGGCCCATATTCCCGATGATTTCTGGAAGATTCTGTTGCAGAATGCTTAAATATTATTCCTTGCGCATTATTCCGTCGATTAACACCAAAGGACCAACTTAATTTTTATAAATACATCCCCAAACCATAATCGAACCGGTGCCCCTATTCTCCACCCTCTTCTTCTTCTACCTCTAGCTCCTTTTGGCCACTTATAGTTTGGCCACGCTACCCCCTTTCCAACACTGCAGGGCTACTCATTCCCTCTCCCGCTCACACACTCTGCGAAGGAGAACGAGTTAGAACGGCGTGTTGGTGTGGTCTTGGGCTTTGATTTTAAATTATCTCATCTGAGTACGTTGAACTTGGAAGGACGTGAAGTGTTTGTCTGAAATTACCTGAAAGGAATTGGAATTGTTGACCATTTACCGCAGCATTGTGAGCTATTTCATTTGCTCCGGACGATGTCATTTAGATGAATGAATTGAATGCGCGAATGCCCTTCAGGAGCACGTTTGAATGTGGATCCTTGCCGATAAGCAACCGGTTGCTTCAGGTTGTTGCACTTTTTCTGATGCGCAACACAAACTATCTGACATGAAAATTTTGTTGGTCTTCGTCACCCATCAGCACTTTCGGATGAGCGGCTGGCTCATACTCGAATGGGAGACAAAGATGTAAATACATACTCGATGAATGTATGCGTTGTCTGACATTCTCTGAGAGCTATGAATGTACCAGCGCGCTTTTATCCGTTCCCAGCCGAATTCAAATTCGGTTGGTAAGTTTTCGTTGTATGAACTAAAAAATCAATACAGAACTGACCTGCTACATTCCTGAGAAAAATAAGAACACGGCGATTTTAACGATTTTATGGACGGGTATAATAAAAGATTTCTACCAAATAGTAGGAAATATTCCTGATATAGTTCAAATAAATTTTAAAAAAATGTAAGAGCGTAAAATTCTAAATTGCACCAGAAAAAAATGAAAACAGATAAAATATTTTAAAATTCGACATAATCATAAAGATCGTCCATAAGTATGTACTGACTGAGTCCCGGGTATAAAAGTAGAGTTGCGGAAACTGCATCTACGCGATTGGCGAATGTGCATTAGTGGTCAACACGAGTAATGTCATCACCGCTCATGAAATATACTTGTATAAACGTATGTGCTTCTTTTCGCAATGACAGCAATGAGCCCATGCTGTGGTACTCTTGCCCTTTGATTTTAAATTATCTCATCTGAGTACGCATCTCTACATTTCTTATCCATACAACCACAATGAGCCGAGGCGCAAAGTGGCCATGTCGCTACTAAAATTTATATACATATATGTATGTCTGTTTTCAACATAATTACCAATATTGTAGTGGTTCCCATACCACTCTGTTTTATGTTCTTCTCTCTTTCTTTCTCTTTTCACCAAAAATATACCATCCGTCCTTACTACGCTAAAAGACGTCACACTTGTCAAGGAAGAGAGCGTTCTCGAGGAATTCAAAAGATTTCTGAATAATACAATAATAATGAAAAAATAATTATATTGAAGATTGATGATTTATTTTAACATAGTTAAGCATAAATATGGGTAACGCTATTTAAATGTTATTTTCTTATACTCTGCGCTCTTTATACGTTTTTTTTGGTGCTTTGGAATAACTCTTAAAATATTGCAATCAATTTGTACTGGCATTGAGTTCTGCCTTAATGTCAACCATTTCAGTTCCATGTCAGTTTTAAATTTGACTCCATCACCTGTTAAAAATATGAAACACAATTTAAAGAGAATTAAAGACAAGGTTTTTTCTATTAAGAGGCAAGACGTAAACTACATAGTATGTAAAGTAATGAAAAAAATATAATTTTTTGTTGGGCTTCAGATAAACAAATGAAGCAACACAAATATTTTATGTGACAAATTTTATTTGATTAGTTTTTAAAATTTTCGTTAGGATTTATCAAAAAATGTGTCTCTAGATGGGTTTATTTCTGGCTCTTGACTAGTGTAGTAAAAAATATGAACATCCTCCCTCTCAAAAAATTGTTTCTCACAAAATCATGCTTTGACCTTGATTATTCTTTTGATAGCTATGTTTATGATTATGCGGTGCGATTTACGACTTGAAGTGCGAGGGGTCAGGGCACAGTTTCAGCTTGAAGGCTTCAAAACTGATGGACTATCTTGTATAGAAACTAACAGACATCCTGAAAGGGTAATAAAATCGTAAATAAACTCTCTTAGATACAAATTTAATTATAACTTAATGCAAACCTTAGGAGTACATATATGTATGTTCTAAACATAAACCTTACCCTTTTCTTTGTTTCGTTGTGACTTTGAATGTTTTTGTGTATGTCCACCATTGGTAAGAGAAATGTTATCATCTTCAGGCGTTGAGTCATTTCGAAGCGCGTCTCCGCGCTGCAATTTTTGACGCCTGGCGGCTAAATTGCTTTCTAAACTAATACCTTCCATTTTTCGATTGTGTCCTTTACGTTTTCTTGTGTGTATACGATATGCGGATTGTATTTTTTTCGCAGCTTCTTCCTCAATGAGTCGTTCAAACGATTCGCTTATTGCAGCGTTTCCAAAGGATGCCTTTGTCTCTTGCGTTGAGGACTTAGTACCAGCACTAGCGCGTCGCATTCGTCGCCTGGTAAGAAACCCACGAGCTCCCGCTTGTATTTTCGTGGCCGCCGATACAATTGTAGATTCAGTTTCAGTAGATGTGCCCAAAGTATCCATAGCCATAGCCGTGTCTATATCAAAGTTCTCTTTGTTAATATTTCTTGGGTCAATGCAGTCTGAATCCGTTTCAGATAGCGAAAAGGCCATAATTTTCTTGCGAATGTTTTCCGAAATCTCGTCGTCTAAAAATAAACTGTTAGTGCTGATGATGCTAGAAGCCGTCATAAGATCTTTGGTACCAATTTCTATATCATTAATCGTATCTTCACGGGTGACAGACCTAAAAATGCTTCGGGCATTGTCTCCAGCGATTGTGTAATGGCGTATAAGCGGTGCCCTTGCAGATTCTTCTTCGCTGTTACAATCTTTAATTTGGAATATTTCTGACTTAACATCACCGAAAACCACAGAGTCACTTTGGGCAGAACTTTCTCTCGTTTCATTTCGTTGCAACTGATTGTACACAATAATCTCACCTTCTTCAAGGTCATCGCTGACTTGTTCTTGCAAAGAACCTATAGTCCGTATTACTGGCTCATCATGAGAGCTCAAAACTAATTGATTTGAAATTTGTTCAACAGCGTCGTTCGCTCTGGATGACTTAGGTGTTACCTTGTCTAGTTTTATCCCTGACATTGTCTCTAAGCCAATAGTTTCATATGTTTCTCTTTCCGTCTTATCGAGCTCATCTGATGAAAATTGATTTTTCGTTTCGCATTCATTCGTATTTATATACGAATTTTTTTTAATACAAGGCTCTTCTATTGTTTCGTTTTGCTTGTTGCCAAACAGTTCTATCTCAGTATTAGATTGAATCTCTTTTAGTGGAGTGTTGTTTACTTGCTCTTGGGTTGATACGACTTCTGCAGCTTTGTTACAATTAAATAATACATTTTTTGTCATATATTTTACAGTAAGAATCAAATCAACTTACCATGATATGAAGCGTCTGATAATAACAATATTCCTGGATCCCCAACTGAACCAACCACATCATTAGATTCATTTAGTATTAAACCTGATAAACCATTAGATACTTCAATATCATTACTTGAATCTCATCAATCTAAGAATTTCTGATACGAAAAGTTAAATAGTATGTACGAGAGCCATGCGTTTTATCAACTGCAATTTGATCTACTTTGCGTGCTTTTATTGAGCTCAATTTTATGTGCAATTTTAGTTTGATCATAATCGGTTATGAAGACCAACTGACTCGGTATTATGCGTGGTCATCATACAAACCACTTGGATTTAATTTGCCTTTTTTCCAAGATGCCCGAGATCCCTCCGTTTTCGGAACTTTACATTCTACACCCGTTAATTTGGTTGAATATGTAATGCTAGTATATCAAGAAAATTCTGGAAAATATCATAAGTTCTGTTAATCTCCTTTTTTTAATTACTTTACTGTGTTCTGTCCCACCCAATTCCTTTCCCTTTACTTTCCATATTCATTGAGGATTTTCTTCTGAGAGCCCCATGGGTTTTTCATTCTGCTCGGCTTGGTTACATTTCTTCTGTTCTGTTTCTTCCAAAAACTTGGCTTTTAAAATACTTTTAAAATGTTCAAAATTGATTCGATGATAATAACGCCAAAAGGCCTAAAGTATACGAGTATTTACATTTTTTAGACTTAAATACACTGATTTACTTTCCGTAGGTTTCTGGACAAGTCTATGCCTTTTGAATTTACTCATCTGCCTTGCTTTCGTTCAAATTTAGTAGCTTGGGAAGTTTTTTTAAACTTTACATATAAAGTTCTTAATTAATAACAATAGCTTTTTATTGGCCACATTGCTCTTACTATAGTCGAGCACATTTTTTTCTGAGAACAATTTAAAAGTTTAGAAATTTCATTATTATGTATGGATAATATTTCATATGAGTTTTTTTAGTTCCTAATGGCGCTTCCCTGACGACTTTGGTTCTACTAAGACCTGGCAAGAGGTCCCCCGTAAATATTATCATCATTCATTAAGTCATATTCTTTTGTACCAACTATATCTGTCTTACCTAATTTAAGTTTTGTAACTCTGTTATCAGTTATGAGATCATTTTCATTAAGTTCAAGTATAGTTTGCAGCTTGGATACTCCTGGTTGTTGTTGGTAATCCGGATCTGCCGTTGGAATTTCTGTGTCTTTATCTTCATTAATTATCAAATGTGGGCCCAACGAATTAGAGCGTGAACTATCGTCCAAAGGAATTTGTTTGTTGATTTGAACGTGTGCATTTGTTTTGAATAAAAGCTTCTTTGGTACTTTGTACTTGCGATTTTCATTATCCGATTTATCGAATGAAATAAAATATGAAATTGCTCTCTTAACTTTAGTTACATCAGTTTCTGTGGTTTCTGTGCTCATAAAGTAAGATGACTCTTTTCCAAGGTCCTTAATGGTAACTTCTTTTGTGTTGTTTAATACGCCTGTTTGTGCATCTGCGTAAGCCGATGATGGATTCACCTCGAAATCATTATTAATTTCGTACCAGGTGCCTTTGTCGGTGAGATTTTTGAATGACTTAAGCTGCAGCTCAGCAACAGGTCTAGGCATAAAACGACTTTTCTGAATGGCACTTACAATTTCATTGTGTTTGATCTTAGGGATAGGCAACTTATTTGTTTTTTTATTTGTAATCACAGTAGTGACGTTGTGAAAATTGTGGGTGCCAAATAATTGATTAGATACAAGCAATGTAGAACCTTTCTGCTAATTTAAAAAAAAAATTAAAACATATATGCGTTATTAACTCTTACCAGTATTTACATCCGGTCTATATTGAACAGACTTGCTGCTTTTGTCCAATATAACAGCACCTTTGCGTAAGAAGATTACAAAAGAAAGGAAACGATTGTGTAGAAATAACATTTATAAAAGCTAACGTCGGCATTCCGACATTTTCTTTTAAAGCAATACACTATTAAAGAGAGAGCCATAATAACAAAAAAAAAGCCAAAAAGATAAAAAAATCAGTTTCCCATCGAGCATCGGTAAATGCTTCTAAGATCACAAAAAAATACCAGCGATTTATCAAGAATTTTTTAATGGAGTTTTAAAGTTTAATTTTTGCGACTACTATTTTGGAAAAATTTTTACGAATTAAAATTGTGTGCGCTCCGGTTTTCGTATCTTTTTGCTATGTGTTTCATAGTGTTTCATTCCCAAATTGTTTTACATTTTTTTTTGAAAAAATCTTTTTTTTCTTTGAAAATGGAAGTATTTTAGTTAAATATGCCATTTATTATGGCAATCGCATTATATTATACCAAACAAAAACAAACGAGAAGGAACCTGTGAGTCGCTTCTGGGGACTCTACTTTTATACCCGTACTCAGTCAGTATATAAATTTGTTTGCTACATCTGTTATCTATATCTACAATGTATATTCTACATCTAACATTTAGATTCTTAATGTACCATTTAGATTCTACATCTTCACCGCCAGCGGGCGCTCGAGTACATAACGAGGCAGAGTGTGCGAGCGAGAAAGAGAATGAGTAACGGGTCTCTTGCTGTAGGAGGCGGGGGAAGCCACTGAAAATTAATGTCTTCATTCTGGCTATAAAAACGATCTATGACCCCTCTTCATGTCAAAAGACTGATTCGTCAGAGCAAGAAGGATCCCTTCAAGCCTGCTACTGTGCTCAAAAAAGAGCTTAAAATAAATGCGACGGACCAAACAGTTCGCACATATCTTAGGCAACATAACCTTAAAGCCTGCAGCCCAAGAAAGGTACCACTTTTAAACGCGACACATATAACTAAGCGCATGAAGTTTGCCAGGGATCATGCAAATTGGACATCCCAAAAATGGAGAAATATTTTATGGTCAGATGAGTCCAAAGTGGTTATGTTTGGTGGAAAGTCTCGATCATACGTTAGACGTGCAAAGAATACTGCATGCAAACCCAGAACACCACAAAAATTATTAAGCATGGAGGGTGTAGTGTAATTCTCCTACTATGGAGTAGGTCCAATACATTGGATAAAAACCATCATGGATCAGCACGTGTACGTGAATATCATGGAGACAGTAATGCTACCCTTTGCAGAATATGAAATGCCGCTCGTATGGGTCTTTCAACAGGAGAATGACCCCAAACACACCAGCAAGAAAGCAAAGGAATGGTTCAGGGCAAACTCTGTGAACGTTTTTGAGTGGCCTGCTTAGTCGCCTGACCTGAATCCCATCGAAAATCCGTGGTCAGACGTCAAGGAGGCAGTTGCTGCTTCCAAGCCAACCACTATCGAATCACTTTGGGAAGAAATTAAAGAGTCCTGGTCCAAAATTCCCCTAAAACGATGCCAGGACTTAGTTGATTCCATGCCAAAACGCTGCGCAGCTTTTATTGCCGATAAAGAACACTGTACCAAATATTAAATTATGCATATAGATTTAGTATTAAAAGTTCAAAATGGTTAACGAATAAATTCGTTACATATTGCTTATTTTTTTAAGTTTAAATCCATTTTTGAAAAGTGGTGCTATTTTTTTTCGCCTAATTTTATGAATTTCAATAACTTATAAACGTTGCAAAAAAAATATGATTTTTTGTGTATTCCCAGGTTTGTTAGTCTCCCATTGCCAAAAATGTGCTTAAAGTTTCATTAAAGCTAAAAATGTGAGTTTGGTAATTATTTAAAAACTGCTTGTGGTGGTGGGGCTATTTTTCACAGCTGTAGTTATACTTGTTTTTGGTAGCTCTTGCTGAGGCAAAGAACGTACAATCAACATGTGTGTTTATAAAAATATTCATAAAAATAAAAGATTATAATATCCATATAATTGCCTTTATATAGCTGACTTAATTAGATTCTATTTGTCTTCATTATTTAAATATTTTATTTGGTTTTTTGTTCTCCATTTTGAAATGTTCGCGGAAAGCCTAGTACTCAGTTCCTAAAAAATTGCACTCTAGCAAAATCAAGGTTGATATTCGTATGTTATGTTATGTTATGTTTAACGGAGACATCGATTTTTTCCGATTTTGAGGTTGGTTTAAATAAAAATTATTTATAAGAAGGGCACAAGCTCAATTGCACTGGTAACAGTGTCAGTGCATTAATCAGTCATCTTTTTTTATACCCGTACTCAAAACGAGTTAAGGGGTAAATTAAATTTGTGGTAAAAGTGTAACGCAGAGAAGGAATCGTATCCGACCCCATAAGGATCTATATTCTTGATCAGCATCAATAGCCGAGCTCTGTCTGTCTGCAAGACCAAATTTTGTTTCCAAACTCATGTGATATCACACTGCTACAAGTGTATTTCAAAATTTCAACCCGCCCCCTACCGCCACCACAAAGAACGAAAATCTGTGGCGGCCACAATTTTGAAGATATCAGAAAACTAAAAACGCAGTATTGTAGAGAATAACTACCAGATTGCCGAATCCGAATCAGTTCGGATCATTGTTATAGCCAGAATAAAGAAATTAATTGTCAGTTGCTTTCATTTCGGGGAGGAATTTGTTGCCGTTTTGAAAACGCACAAATTTTTCGATTGACGAATCCGGGAGCGCCTAACTTTCCGTTTTAAAGAGTAAAGCGGAAATTTGTTGCAGATGTAAAAACAGGAACCTGCCTGATAGTTTACTTTTAATTTTACCTGAAGATGCAATATGTGCATAATTTTAGATATATATTTTATTTTTTATATTTATTTTCTTAAAGTTGCAGTTTTGGAAAGCCTTATTGAAAACGCTTACTCAGAAAATGACTTGTGCCAACTCTTTTCGGTTGATGTCCCACATTGTGCTATTTGATTTTGACGGCATGTGAAGTTTTACATACTAAAAAAAATGTAGGCACAATCATGTGAAAACTGACATACTGACCGTAATGACCGTATTTAAGCCCATTGTCGACCGAATCAGGAATGAGCATACCAATTCTCAGTTCAGAAAACAAAAAAAACGATTGAATACTGGAGATTAACCGATTGTATTTCCTCGGCTCAAGTATATAACACTACTCGACAAAATTGAACTTTCGATTTAGGCTGTGAACCAAAATGACTTTTTCTGATAGATTTCGGGATTTAAAAATTTTTGTAGTACTTTATTATTTTTTTATAGTGTCATTTTTTTTAAAGAATTTTTAAAATCTGGTATTTTTTTTCTTGGTTTTTTTCAGAGGTAGTGCTTCTATTTTTCACATAACTTTAGTATCTTATATCTTGTTGCATAGAACTTTGCAGTTCTGAAAAGCTGACAAACGCAGCTATAGAACCGACCCAGACCTGCAGAATCTGCAGCTTAACGCCTGGAAGATATTAAGCTCGAGAACTCGAGAGAAGTCGAGAAAAGTCGAAAAAAGTTGAAAAAAAAATATTTCTTGGCATGCATTTTTAGTTTTAGATAGACGCATTAACTAAGCGTCGTTTAAGGTATTGCTCATTAAAATCTATGGATAAACGGTGGAGCTAAAATTCGTTCACTAAACCTCAAAAGTGAAAAAATAGACAAAAAATACTTTTTACCAAAAATTCAACCACTTTTCGTTTGCTTTGTTTCCAATTGGCAGTTGGGCCCCCAACATTCCAAAAAGTATTTTTTATCTTTTTTTTCACTTTTTTTTCGACTTTTCCCGAGTTTTTAAAGTCAACATTTTGGGAAAAATACCGCAAAAAAATGATGAAATTTGATTTTGAAAGTGTCTGGGTATGATTTATAGTTGCATTGGGCAGCTTTTCAGAACTGCAAAGTTCTATGCAACCAGATGTAAGATACTTAAGTTATGTGAAAAAAAAGCATTTATTTCAGGTAAAATTATTTTTGAGTTGTTTTGGTCAAACGGCTCCAAATTGACCGTTTATCCATAGATTCTGATGAGCAATAACTTAAACGACGCCCAATTCATGCGTCTATCTAAAACCAAAAATGTTGGCCAAGAATTATTTTTTTTTTTTACTTTTCCCGAGTTTTTAAAATCAAAATTGCGAGAAAAAAAACCCCCAAAAAATGATGAAATTTGAAATTGAAAGCTTAATATCTTCCAGGCGTTAAGCTGCAGATACAAAAAGTCTAGGTCGGATAGCTGCGTTTGTCAGCTTTTCAGAACTGCAAAGTTCTATGCAACCATATATAAAATACTTAAGTTATGCGAAAATAGAAGCACTACCTCTGAAAAAAAAAACAAAAAAAAAAATACCAGACCATAATTCGTTAAAAATTTGTAAACCCCGAAATCTATAAGAATCTAAATTTTGGGCCACAGCCTAATTCTAGTGTTGACTAGTGAAATTATTCTTTCTTTCGTCCAAAAAAAGACACATGCATTACACACACATGCTTTAAAAATGAAAGGAAACAAGCAAAACAAGCGCAAGCCAACTACAAAAGTGCAATAATGAAGACAATTAATCTAATAAAGCAGTCGAATGAATACCCATATGGGAATTTCCGCCAAAAGGTCATGTAAATCATGTAAAGTCAATAAAAACAGATTTCCCTATCAGTTTTGCCGGATATTATTTTCAAAATTTATTAAAAGGTAACTGAAATTATTAAAATAAGCAAAAGTTAAGGTTTTTGGTATTTTTATAAAGATGTTTGCTTTTACTGTTATCTCCTAGGAAAAATCTGATTCTTGATAAAAGCTTCCCATCAAAGTCTTTCGAACATATTGAACTACCTAAAAAAATTACCGGAACATTTGTCCAATCTCGGCCAACTATATATTTTTAGGCTTTTATTATCGCGGAATTTGGTAACGTCACGCCAGTAACGTTCGTCAGATGCCTCCGCGGACTTATAGCAAAAGAATCGGAAACGTTTTTAAATTAAATAACTTTGAAAATTAACATTACATATTTCATATATACATACAAAATTCGCAGAGTTTTGCCATTTTGTACCCCAACCTCGAAAACCACTTCTGTTTTATGTAATGCAAGTTTGGGTCATAATTTGGTGAATAGAGGGCTAACCAAATCATATTCAACATTCGAAATTTTAATTATTAATTTTATACTCGGTACTCATTATATATATGTAATAATGTATGTGTATACATATATATATATATATATATCTCCTTATATATATATATTTTATATTTATATATATTTTATCTCCTTATATATATATATATATATATATATATATATATAAGGAGATAAAAACCATGTTGATTGCATTTCTGTCCCGCAGGATCGGATTTATCCAAAACTGCGGTGTATATTGTCGTCCTCCAGTTGCACAGCAATAAGACATTTCTGCTTGCTTCAATATCTATGCTTAAATTCTGTTTGGAAACAAACACAAAACAGTGTAACTGTATAGCATGCACTCTGCCCACTTTGCTTTATAAAAGATATATACGAATGTAAATTATATATATGCATATAAAGTTATTGCTCTAAAAATATCTGAAATTATAGTACTATCTGGATTGAATATGGTAAAATTAGAATTAAATAATCGGGGGGAGCCGATTTCGAAATTTCAAATGAAATTTGTTTAACAAATATTTATATTCCCACAAGAAATGTTTGATTGTAAAAACTTACTGCCATTATCGTCATCTTGCAAATTATCAACTATATCAGTTATACTTCCATCTGTGTTTACATAGATATTATATATAGTGTTTCATACAATCGTAAAAATTACTTACCCGTCAAGTTCGAGACTTCCATGACGCTTTGAATTTCATTGCTCTTCATATTATCTGTATAAATAACCATTAAAAAATACATTTATTTTATATAATTAATTTTAACGTAATATTTTTATGAGCGTGCGAAAATGTATTCCCCTCAAAGTGGGGTGAAAAATTACCATCTAAGTCCTTGGGAGGAGTAGAACTACCAAGAACTTTGCCGTCTTTTTCTTTCCAATAACTTGATCCGGGTTCAGAGAATTCGGAACCAAGTACAATGGATTGTACATCTTTGTTGGGTAAAGCATCGGGTTCTGTCTTATCACCATTATAATTAATTGACTTTTCGACTGAAATTAATAATATAAGGATTCCTACTTCGAAGTTCTTAATAGCAAACACTTACTGGCTTTGTTTTCATCTTCTACATTTAGTTGTATTCCATTGGGTTGCTCCAAAGTATCAGTTATACTTTTTTCTGTATAAAGATATGTATATGTTAGCTATATTTCAGAATATTGTTAAAATTACTTACCCGTCAAATTCGAGACTTCTGAAACGCATTGAATTTCATTCATCTGCAGATCATCTGTAAATTAAAACCATTAAAAATAACATTGATTTACTATAATTAATTTTAAAGAAATATTTCAGAAAGTGTTTTAATGCAGTGATTTTTTATGAGCGTGTGTTCATTCCCCACAACGGGGGACGGTCACCCAAAAATAACAGTCGAAATTAAAACCATTTGTAGCAGAGAATGGAAAATTACCATCTAAGTCCTTGGGAGGATCAGAACTACCAGAAGCTTTGCCGTCTTTTTCGTGCGAAAAACTTTTTCCAGGTTCAGAAATTTCGGACCCAAGTACAATGGATTGTTCATCTTTGTTGGGTAAAACATCGGGTTCTGTCTTATCACCATTATCATTACTTGACTTTTCGGCTGAAATTAATAATATAAGGAATTCCTACTTCGAAATTCTTAATAGCAAACACTTACTGGCTTTGTTTTCATCTTCTAAATTCAGTTGTATTCCATTGGGTTGCTCCGAAGTATCAGTTATACTTGTTTCTGTACAAAGATATGTATATTTTAGCTATATTTCAGAATATTGTTAAAATTACTTACCCGTCAAATTCGAGACTTCTAAAACGCTTTGAATTTCATTCATCTTCAGATCATCTGTAAATTAAAACCATTAAAAATAACATTGATTTACTATAATTAATTTTAAAGAAATATTTCAGAAAGTGTTTTAATGCAGTGATTTTTTATGAGCGTGTGGAAATTCATTCCCCACAAAGTGGGCACCCAAAAATAACAGTCGAAACTAAAACCATTTGTAGTAGAGAATGGAAAATTACCATCTAAGTCCTTGGGAGGATCAGAACTACCAGAAGCTTTGCCGTCTTTTTCGTGCGAAAAACTTTTTCCAGGTGCAGAAATTTCGGACCCAAGTGCAATGGATTGTTCATCTTTGTTGGGTAAAACATCGGGTTCTGTCTTATCACCATTATCATTACTTGACTTTTCAGCTAAAATTAATAATATGAGGAATTCCTACATCGAATTACTTAAAAGCAATCACTTACTGGCTTTGTTTTCATCTTCTACATTTAGTTGTATTCCATTGGGTTGCTCCGAAGTATCAGTTATACTTGTTTCTGTACAAAGATATGTATATTTTAGCTATATTTCAGAATATTGTTAAAATTACTTACCCGTCAAATTCGAGACTTCTAAAACGCTTTGAATTTCATTCATCTTCAGATCATCTGTAAATTAAAACCATTAAAAATAACATTGATTTACTATAATTAATTTTAAAGAAATATTTCAGAAAGTGTTTTAATGCAGTGATTTTTTATGAGCGTGTGGAAATTCATTCCCCACAACGTGGGGACGGTCACCCAAAAATAACAGTCGAAATTAAAACCATTTGTAGCAGAGAATGAAAAATTACCATCTAAGTCCTTGGGAGGATCAGAACTACCAGAAGCTTTGCCGTCTTTTTCGTGCGAAAAACTTTTTCCAGGTGCAGAAATTTCGGACCCAAGTGCAATGGATTGTTCATCTTTGTTGGGTAAAACATCGGGTTCTGTCTTATCACCATTATCATTACTTGACTTTTCAGCTAAAATTAATAATATGAGGAATTCCTACATCGAATTACTTAAAAGCAAACACTTACTGGCTTTGTTTTCATCTTCTACATTTAGTTGTATTCCATTGGGTTGCTCCGAAGTATCAGTTATACTTTTTTCTGTATTAAGATATGTATATGTTAGCTATATTTCAGAATATTGTTAAAATTACTTACCCGTCAAATTCGAGACTTCTAAAACGCTTTGAATTTCATTCATCTTCAGATCATCTGTAAATTAAAACCATTAAAAATAACATTGATTTACTATAATTAATTTTAAAGAAATATTTCAGAAAGTGTTTTAATGCAGTGATTTTTTATGAGCGTGTGGAAATTCATTCCCCACAACGTGGGGACGGTCACCCAAAAATAACAGTCGAAATTAAAACCATTTGTAGCATAGAATGAAAAATTACCATGTAAGTCCTTGGGAGGAGCAGATCCACCAGGAGCTTTGCCGTCTTTTTCTTGCAAAAAACTTTTCCCAGGTTCAGAAATTTCGGACCCAATGGATTGTTCATCTTTGCTGGGTAAAACATCGGGTTCTGTCTTATCACCATTATCATTACTTGACTTTTCAGCTATAATTAATAATATGAGGAATTCCTACATCGAAATACTTAATAGCAAACACTTACTGGCTTTGTTTTCATCTTCTACATTTAGTAGTATTCCATTGGGTTGCTCCGAAGTATCAGTTATACTTGTTTCTGTATAAAGATATGTATATTTTAGCTATATTTCAGAACATTGTTAAAATTATTTACCCGTCAAATTCGAGACTTCTAAAACGCTTCGAATTTTGTTCATCTTCAGATCATCTGTAAAACAAAAACATAAAAAATCACATTTTTTTTTATGTAATAAATTGTAATTTAATATTTCAGAAGGTGTTCTGACGCACCGATTTTTTATAAGCGTGTGGATTTTCATTCCCAACAAAGGTCACCCAAAAATAACAGTCGAAATAAAAACAATTTGTAGCATAGAATGAAAAATTACCATCTAAGTCCTCGGGAGAATCAGAACTACCAGGAGCTTTGCCGTCTTTTTCTTGCAAAAAACTTTTCCCAGGTTCAGAAATTTCGGACCCAATGGATTGTTCATCTTTGCTGGGTAAAACATCGGGTTCTGTCTTATCACCATTATCATTACTTGACTTTTCAGCTATAATTAATAAAATGAGGAATTCCTACATCGAAATACCTAATAGCAAACACTTACTGGCTTTGTTTTCATATTTTACATTTAGTTGTATTCCATTGGGTTGCTCCGAAGTATCAGTTATACTTTTTTCTGTTATAGATATGTATATGTTAGCTATATTTCAGAATGTTGTTAAAATTACTTACTCGTCAAATTCGAGACTTCTAAAACGCTTTGAATTTTATTCATCTTTAGATCATCTGTAAAATAAAAATATAAAAAATTATTATTAGATTTTTTAAAGGCGTGTGAAAATGTATTCCCCACAAAGTGGGGACGATCACCCCAAAATAACAGTCGAAATTTAAATCATTTGTAGCAGAGAATGCTAAAATTACCATCAAAGTCCTTGGGTGGGGCAGAACTACCGGGAGCTTTGCCGTCTTTTTCTTGCGAAAAACTTTTCACAGGTTCAGAAATTTCGGACCCAAGTACAATGGATTGTTCATCTTTGTTGGGTAAAACATCGGGTTCTGTCTTATAACCATTATCATTACTTGACTTTTCAGCTATAATTAATAAAATGAGGAATTCCTACATCGAAATACTTAATAGCAAACACTTACTGGCATTGTTTTCATCTTCTAAATTCAGTTGTATTCCATTGGGTTGCTCCGAAGTATCAGTTATACTTGTTTCTGTATAAAGATATGTATATTTGAGCTATATTTCAGAACATTGTTAAAATTATTTACCCGTCAAATTCGAGACTTCTAAAACGCTTCGAATTTTGTTCATCTTCAGATCATCTGTAAAACAAAAACATAAAAAATCACATTCTTTTAATGTAATAAATTGTAATTTAATATTTCAGAAGGTGTTCTGACGCACTGATTTTTTATAAGCGTGTGGATTTTCATTCCCAAAAAAAAAACAATTTGTAGCATAGAATGAAAAATTACCTTGTAAGTCCTTGGGAGGAGCAGAACTACCAGGAGCTTTTCCGTCTTTTTCTTGCAAAAAACTTTTCCCAGGTTCAGAAATTTCGGACCCAAGTACAATGGATTGTTCATTTTTGTTGGGTAAAACATCGGGTTCTGTCTTATAACCATCATCATTACTTGACTTTTCGGCTGAAACTAATAATATAAGGAATTCCTACATCGAAATACTTAATAGCAAACACTTACTGGCATTGTTTTCATCTTCTAAATTCAGTTGTATTCCATTGGGTTGCTCCGAAGTATCAGTTATACTTGTTTCTGTACAAAGATATGTATATTTTAGCTATATTTCAGAATATTGTTAAAATTACTTACCCGTCAAATTCGAGACTTCTAAAACGCTTTGAATTTCATTCATCTTCAGATCATCTGTACATTAAAACCATTAAAAATAACATTGATTTACTATAATTAATTTTAAAGAAATATTTTAGAAAGTGTTTTAATGCAGTGATTTTTTATGAGCGTGTGGAAATTCATTCCCCACAACGTGGGGACGGTCACCCAAAAATAACAGTCGAAATTAAAACCATTTGTAGCAGAGAATGAAAAATTACCATCTAAGTCCTTGGGAGGATCAGAACTACCAGAAGCTTTGCCGTTATTTTCGTGCGAAAAACTTTCTCCAGGTTCAGAAATTTCGGACCCAAGTACACTGGTTTGTTCATCTTTGTTGGGTAAAGCATCGGGTTCTGTCTTATCACCATTATCATTACTTGACTTTTCGGCTGAAATTAATAATATGAGGAATTCCTACATCGAATTACTTAAAAGCAAACACTTACTGGCTTTGTTTTCATCTTCTACATTTAGTTGTATTCCATTGGGTTGCTCCGAAGTATCAGTTATACTTGTTTCTGTATTAAGATATGTATATGTTAGCTATATTTCAGAATATTGTTAAAATTACTTACCCGTCAAATTCGAGACTTCTAAAACGCTTAGAATTTTATTCATCTTCAGATCATCTGTAAAATAAAAATATAAAAAATTATTATTAGATTTTTTAAAGGCATGTGAAAATTTATTCCCCACAAAGTGGGGACGGTCACCCCAAAATAACAGTCGAAATTTAAATCATTTGTAGCAGAGAATGCAAAAATTACCATCTAAGTCCTTGGGTGGGGCAGAACTACCGGGAGCTTTGCCGTCTTTTTCTTGCAAAAAACTTTTCCCAGGTTCAGAAATTTCGGACCCAAGTACAATGGATTGTTCATTTTTGTTGGGTAAAACATCGGGTTCTGTCTTATAACCATCATCATTACTTGACTTTTCGGCTGAAACTAATAATATAAGGAATTCCTACTTCGAAATTCTTAATAGCAAACACTTACTGGCTTTGTTTTCATCTTCTAAATTCAGTTGTATTCCATTGGGTTGCTCCGAAGTATCAGTTATACTTGTTTCTGTACAAAGATATGTATATTTTAGCTATATTTCAGAATATTGTTAAAATTACTTACCCGTCAAATTCGAGACTTCTAAAACGCTTTGAATTTCATTCATCTTCAGATCATCTGTAAATTAAAACCATTAAAAATAACATTGATTTACTATAATTAATTTTAAAGAAATATTTCAGAAAGTGTTTTAATGCAGTGATTTTTTATGAGCGTGTGGAAATTCATTCCCCACAAAGTGGGCACCCAAAAATAACAGTCGAAACTAAAACCATTTGTAGTAGAGAATGGAAAATTACCATCTAAGTCCTTGGGAGGATCAGAACTACCAGAAGCTTTGCCGTCTTTTTCGTGCGAAAAACTTTTTCCAGGTGCAGAAATTTCGGACCCAAGTGCAATGGATTGTTCATCTTTGTTGGGTAAAACATCGGGTTCTGTCTTATCACCATTATCATTACTTGACTTTTCAGCTAAAATTAATAATATGAGGAATTCCTACATCGAATTACTTAAAAGCAAACACTTACTGGCTTTGTTTTCATCTTCTACATTTAGTTGTATTCCATTGGGTTGCTCCGAAGTATCAGTTATACTTTTTTCTGTATTAAGATATGTATATGTTAGCTATATTTCAGAATATTGTTAAAATTACTTACCCGTCAAATTCGAGACTTCTAAAACGCTTTGAATTTCATTCATCTTCAGATCATCTGTAAATTAAAATCATTAAAAATAACATTGATTTACTATAATTAATTTTAAAGAAATATTTCAGAAAGTGTTTTAATGCAGTGATTTTTTATGAGCGTGTGGAAATTCATTCCCCACAACGTGGGGACGGTCACCCAAAAATAACAGTCGAAATTAAAACCATTTGTAGCAGAGAATGAAAAATTACCATCTAAGTCCTTGGGAGGATCAGAACTACCAGAAGCTTTGCCGTTATTTTCGTGCGAAAAACTTTCTCCAGGTTCAGAAATTTCGGACCCAAGTACACTGGTTTGTTCATCTTTGTTGGGTAAAGCATCGGGTTCTGTCTTATCACCATTATCATTACTTGACTTTTCGGCTGAAATTAATAATATAAGGAATTCCTACTTCGAAATTCTTAATAGCAAACACTTACTGGCTTTATTTTCATTTTCTATATTTATTTCTTTTGCAGTAGGTTGATCAGAAATATCAGTTATACTTCCTTCTATATTTAACTATATATTAGCCATTTTTCATACAATCGTAAATATTAATTACTTACTTGTCGAATTCGAGACTTCTATGACGCTTCGAATTTCTTTGCTATTAAGATCATCTGTAACATAAAACCGTTTAAAATTATATTATTTTTATATAATTAATCTTAACGTAGGTTGTTCTAGTCCAGTGATTTTTTATGAACGTGTGGGAAATTAATTTCCCACAAAGCAGGGATGGCCCTCCCAAAATAACAGTCGAGGGTAAAACTATTTGTAGCTGAGAATGAAAAATTAATATCCAAGTCCTTGGGAGAAACATAGAGAGTTTCGACGTCTATTCTCGTGGAAAACTTTGACCGAAATCAGAAATTTCGGACTTAATTACTATGCATTCTATTATATTATCGTCATGTCCAATTGATAGTTTGGCAGTAATTTCTAATAAGTGTATTTACTACTTTGAAAATCATGTTTGAAAAAACTTACGTAATTAATTTTCTGAATTTTCCATTTGTAGTCCATTGCAAGGTTCAAAAAGCGTTACAATATCGAAATCTCCATCTTCGGAGAATTATTTATCCACTATTTCGGCTATACTCGTACCTGTATGCAAACATACAAGTATGTTGATGTATGCATGTACATAATTTCACATAATTTTAAAACTGCACTTACTGGTCAAATCGAATGATTCTAGAAAACTTAAAATTTCTTTGATTGTATAATCATCTGTAAATCTTACATTTTATTGATTTACTTTGGAAGCTGTCTGATAAATATTTTTAAATTAAGATTTTAATAAACTATACTATCAGACAGGCTCCGGCTTTCACTTAATTTTGCGTTTTACGTTTTGAGCCAAAAATCATACTATTCATTTCAAGACGCTCTGACATTCCAAAAAGTAAGGTTTATTTCCTCCTGTACGGTTAAGCGCAAAATTAACTGCGCTTTGCTGCCACGCAATAGTGCCAGCTCATACAAAAAGGCCTCTGTTATGTTTAACAGAGGTTTATCGATAACCAAATCCGGAAGAAAGATCCGAAAGATGTTCGGATGAATCCATTGCATTTACGCATATAAAATACTGACTGCCAGGCAGGATCCGGTTTTCACTTTCGCAAAAAATTTACGATCTACTTTTCAAAACGGAAAGTTAGGCTCTCCCGCATTCGTAAAACGAAAAATGTTTATATCCGTAATCAAAAAAGAGGTAAGGGGTATATTAGATTTGTGCTAAAAGTGGATGTGTGTAACGCAGAGAAGGAAACGTTTCCGACCCCATAAAGTATATATATTCTTGATCAGCATCAATAGCCGAGTCGATAGAGCCATGTCTGTCTGTCCGTCTGACCGTCTGTCCGTCTTGTTTGACGCCTGGATCTCAGAGACTATAAGAGCTAGAGCAACTAAATTTGGTTTCCAGACTCATGTGATATTACATTGCTACAAGTGTATTTCAAAATTTCGCCCCACCCCCTTCCACCCCCACAAAGAACGAAAATCTGTGGCAGGCACAATTTTAAAGAAACGATAAAACTAAAAACGTAGTATCGTAGAGAATGCCCAAACCTACCAGATTGCCGAATCTGAATCAGATCGGATCATAATTATAGCCAGAATGAAGAAATTTTCAGTGGCTTCCCCCGCCCCCTTCCGGAAAGAGAACCGCTACTCATTCTCTTTCTCGCTCGCACACTCTGCCGCGTTCAGTCCGCGAGCAACCCCTAGCGGATGAGATGTAGAATATAAATGGTACATCTATAATCTACATGTTAGATGTAAAATATACTTTGTAGATGTAGATGTAGATAACAGATGTAGCAAAGATGTAGCGTCCCCAAAAGCGACTCACACGTTCCTTCTCGTTTCGTTTTCCAAACGGCAATAAAAACTCGACGAAATGAAAAGTAAACGACTTTTTATCAATTGGTTATCAACAAATCTCTATTAAACATAACAGCTGGCATATGAGCTGGCACTAACGCTTGGGTAAAACAGCAGTATATTTTGTGCTTAACAGTACAGGGAGTAAACAAATCGACTTTTCTGGATTCCAGAGCGCCTTGATATGAAAAGTATGACTTCTTGCTGAAAAGTAAAACTTAAAGTGAATGTGAAAGCCGGAGCCTGCCGGATTGTGGACATTTCTGTTTGTCATTTATGAAAGGTGTACCTTAATGTGTAGCCTTCTACTTATCAGAGCTTTGCTGAAGCTCATATGCAGTATTATTTTCTAGTAATTTGGCGAGAACTTGGAGTTTAGCGGAATGTCGTGTTTCTTATAACACTACCCAACACGATATTTCCTCAAGGAAGCAAACCAACCTTTTCTGAAAGATTTGGAGATTAGAAATTGTTCGATGATATTTTCTTTTTTTTTCTATAGCAGAACTGTTTTTTAAAATATTTTTAAAAATTGTTATTTTTGTTTATGCTGTCTGGGAAATATTAAAGCCGAAAAACAGCACGCGAAGAGAATCAGGGTTGATATTCGTATGAAACCGATATGAACTTTTTACGGGCACAAACTGTTTTCTAGTCTCTGTTCTCAGATCAACAAAAATAAACATCGGTAGATACTAGAAAAGTATCCGATGGTATTCGTTGGTAGGTTGCTAGCCCCAAGAAACAGATATACATTTTATATATTCTGCTAGCAAACACGAAGCAAACATTTTTTATTAATTTTTATGATTATAAAACAAATATTGTTTCAAATCACATCACAGACACATTCCCTTGGCAATAAAATATTGGGGAGCCCAGGATACGCCTGGGGAAGAGCGACCTCAGCCGAAAAAGAGCATTTCATTAACTTTGTTTACTTTAAACCAAACCAAAAAGCTGTCTGAGCAGTGTAACCGTACGGAATGCAGTGCACAACTCTGGTCACACTTATTGCCGCTAGAAGAATATATGACATATTTTTGTTAGCAAACAATTTTTGGATCTGATTACTAGGCTTAAACTTTCAAATGCAAAAAAATCATAACTCTTAAAAAAAAATTAAAGTGTCATATCTATCAGAAAAAGTCGGTTTGGATCTTTGAGGAAAAAAAAGTTCGATTTTGTCGAGTAGTGTAATCAGCGTGCTAATGCATTTTCTCTGCAATTCGGCGAAAACTGTACAAATGTTCACCAACTAACCCAAAGAGGGTTAAAAGAAAATTCATGGGTCTCAATTAACTGTAATGGTACGACTGTTTTCTTCGAAAAATTAATTCAACAAAAATTACCAAATAAAGAGTGTCCGAGGGTGTCGGCTATGCAAAAGGCTTCCAGGCTTCTGGTTTAGTGGAAGGAAGGGCAGTGAATGTTAAAGAACAGTCAGGCCATTTCCCAGAAAGCAGGGTGGCTACTAAAGGCGACTCTTACCGGCAGAGAGACTAACGCAGCGCAGGAATCCGGTCCCACAGTCGAATATTGGATATTCTCGGAAATAGATATAAGAGATACTTCTTCCTCCCTCGCTTGCGAAAAATTTCTGTGAATCAGCGCTCTCTCTTGTTAATTTTTTCAGACTCCTCTCTTAGATATTGAATATCAGCCCCTTGTTGGCTTCTTACTCGCTTTGCGGTCGATCTCTAAAGAAACAATACTCGACAGCCATACCGACCTTTTCTGATAGATTTTGAGCTTACCATTTTTTTTAAGAATTATGATTTTTTTTTCTACCGCAGACCTTTTTTAAAAGAATTAAATAAATGGACATAAGGATCTCAAAGTCAAAATTTTATAAAACATCGCAAAATCCCAGACCGTAAGCTGAAACCACAAAGTTATTTCGTCCAATTTATAGCTGCTTTGATTAGTTTTTAAGAAGGACAAAATTCATTACAACTAAATGTAAGTTTCTTAAGTTATGGGAAAAAAGAAGCGATACCTCTGAAAAAAGCATTACAAAAATCTCATTACTAGGAGAACTTGATCAACGATCAGTGATGAATTTCAAGGCTCCAAACATATCAGAAATAGTGGGTTTGGTTCCTTGAGGAAAAATCGTATCGGGTATTGTAATTAGTTGATTTTGGTGTTATTTTTTACCACAAAACTGAAGTTTGCTTATCACTTTCGAAACAGTTGGTCAAGGGATTTGAAGAGAAGGCTTTGGTACTTTGGTACAACTCCATAACCGTATAAAATATGTATATAATGAGCGCAAACGTTTCGAGACGCAACAACTAACCGGGACTCAGTCAGTATACATATATGTGATATTATAAATTATTTCGAACTAAAATAAAATCGATCTGTATCCATTTTTTCGCTACATCTGCCTCTCTCTCTCCTCACACTATAACACTGTTTTAACTAGATCTTCTGCGCCATAGGTCACACACTGCACGAGGCAGAGTGTGTGAGAAAGAGATATAATGAGTAAGTGCTTGGAAGGGGTATGTTAGCCACATCAAAGTAATTTGTTCATTCTGGCAAAATTAATGATCCGATCTATATCAGATTTTTCTATGATTATGCGTTTTTAGTTTTCTTGTATCTTTAAAAATGTGGTTGCCAAAGACTTTCGGTTTTTTGGTTGCGGAGAGCGGCGGGGCGAAATTCGGAATTGCGCTTTTAACAGTCTGATATCACAGGAATCCGTTAACACAATTTGTTTGCTCTATCTCGGCTCAGCTGATGCTGATAAAGAATGATCGAAAACGTTTCCTTCTGTGAGATACACACATCCATTTTGACCATAAAACGAATCTATCCCTAAAATCTTCGAGTAGCCGAGTAAGAGTAAGAATTTACGTGCAAAAACTATTTATCGGTCGAATATGGTTTTTTTTTTCAGAAAATATCAAAGACTCGGTTTTTTCATACAAAATGTTAAAAGAGCAAAAAGGTAAACAAAATTAGGACTTTTGGACCACTCTAATGTACATGCATAAATACATTCTATTTAAATTTAATTTCGTATTTCTTTTAGCCGAAATTACCGAAAAGGCGTTATCATAATGAAATGAAATTACATTATTAAGGTACATACATACATGTATAAGGTGGTGTATTCCCTCTCTTTCGGGTCATCACTCACTCTCATGCAATTGCAGCGACGTCTGCTCTTGTACAAGCTAAATAACAGTCGAAAAGTGAGTGTGTTGCGGTAATACACAGCCGAGTCGGTATAGTCTGTCCAAAGATTCTATAACACTAATAGAACATATATATAACATATGTTATAGAATCTTTGGTCTGTCTCCTGAGTGAGAGTACTTATCTTCAATATTATGGATACATTTAAACCAGGGGTCGGCACAGCCCTATCTATTGTGCTTAGGAAGAGACACTGATATTGTGTGCGGGCCGACCACCGCACATTGGGCCAGACAGCCGATATTTTGGCATAAATTCGAAAACTTCTTAGAAACAAAATCGTTTTTTAATGGTACATTTTCCTAGTGCATACCTTGGCTAGAACAAATGGATACATATTTTCGATTTTAACGCTACACTGATATTTTTGCAGCCCATGAAAGTCAGATATTCGGTTAATTACTAGTTGGTATACGAAAAGCGGGAATCTCTTTCTTGACTTTGTGAGCTTGTAAGTTTTGTAAATTTTAAGAAAAGGTGAATATAAAATATGGAACAAAAAGGCCGAGGTATGTAAAAATTGTATATAAAAACAGATGTTTTTCATATGTGTTAGTTTGTTTTTTGTGCGTATTAATTTTAGCTTTCCAAAATTACACACAAATTAACCGCGGCAGCTAGCGGCAAAATCGAACTGTATCAAATAAAAAGTACTAATGTCAATTAAATTATTGGCGACCGTTTGCGACCGTAATACTTTTACGAGTATTTTCATCTTGTAGGTTAGGTTGAAATTTTGTATGAAAAGCTGTTTATTTGGCTTGATAACAATAAAAATGCTTGCATTAATTCAAGATTGATATTTTACAAACTGAAGACGTATTTTTACCTCAAGAACCAATTTAAACGATGAAAGAAGTAAAAATAACTGTCTTTGACAATTAAATCAATCTGGTATATATGGGCATTCTCTAGGATACTGTGTTTTTAGTTTTATCGTATCTTTAAAATTGTGCCTGCCACAGATTTTCGTTCTTTGTGGTGTCGGAAGGGAGCGGGCCGAAATTTTGAAATACACTTGTAGCAGTGTGATATCATATAAGTCTGGAAACCAAATTTGGTTGTCCTAGCTCTTATAGTCTCTGAGATCCAGGCGTCAAACAAGACGGACAGACGGACAGAAGGTCAGACGGACAGACAGACATGGCTCTATAGACTCGGCTATTGATGCTGATCCTGAATATATATACTTTATGGGGTCGGAAACGTTTCCTTCTCTGCGTTACACACATCCACTTTTACCACAAATCTAATATACCCCTTAACTCTTTTTTGAGTACGGGTATAAAAAACTAATTAAAAGTGCACCTTATATGGGCGGTGGGAGTGGGCGTGGTCGGATCGGTATCTCAGTTTTTATATATGTATATCACTAGAATCAACTGTACCTAGTTTCAAGCCTCTAACTTCATTTTTTGAATTTACGCCAACATTTTGGCTTTCTGGCCCAATGTGCACTGATTTAAACGCTTCAACTAAACAGTTCTTACAGAAATATACCTATGTACATTTAAGTGATAGCTTAAATCCCTTCGATTCACTACCCTTTCAATGCCTAACTAGTTAAAATATATTATTTACCGTTTTTTTGTGTTTTTATCTGGTTTTCTTCTTTTTTAGTGGCAGCATATTCGTTTTCAAGAATTAGGCAAGTGTTATTTTTGTCTACTGCTTCCTCCATATGTATTGTGTTTTGAATAAACTCCTCAGAATTTGTATTACCAAACTCCTTGTGCGCACAGGTCGATTCGGTAGATAGGAGTGCCGTCGACATAGAATTGTATGAACATGTCTCAGAACTAATGTCGTTTAGCTCCTCACGATTATCTACAAGGGCAGGCACATTTCCCTTGAACCTCCGGTCATATACCATCCTTCGAAATGCTCTTTGAATAATTATAGCTGCCGTCACTAAGCCGAAAGAACCTTCTTTAAATTGATTTTTCTGACGCATTTTTTTCAAATATCGACGAAATTGTCGTTGGATAACAATAACTGCTTTTATATATTCTCCAGTTTTATGGGTATCATTGTGTCGGTTTTTCTTATCTGAATCCTTTCGGTTTTCAAATCTCTTTTTGGCCAAGTAGCTGCGAAATAGCCTTTGAATCATAAAAACTGCACGAAGTATTTCTTTGTCGTATTTTTCTTTGTCAGCAATTATTTTCTTTTGCTTTTTATACCCACGAAAATTCCTTTGAATAATGATGACTGCATTCAAATAGTTGCGACCGATTTGATTTTCCGGGTCTGCACCAACTATTGAAGTAGAATTATTAAACGGTATAACGTTACTTGAAATGCTGTAGGTATTCTGTACTTCTTCTGGTGTTTCAGCAGTTATTTTACGACCACATTGGCAGGTTACCTTTGATACAGATGGGAATGGCTCTTTGTCCCTCAATGACTCTTCGTATTCAATATATTTAGTATATTCAGTGTGTATGGATGTGGCCTCCGAAAGCTTTTGAAAGTATTCTTGGGCGAATATGTAAATATTGTCTGGGCTTTCTTTTAGGACTGCCTTAATAAATTGTTTTATTAGTTCCGTGAGATTTCCCGGAATTATATTAAATACGAGTGATAGTGGCACCTGCTGTCGAATACGATTTTTTATGATTGTTTCATACGTTTGCATTGGTTCGTATTTACGCATCCCTCGGTTCGATTTTTCCGTAACAATAAAATTAAAAAAATCGGCAGAGAATTTGTATAGGTTTTCAGGCTTTTCACGTAAAACTTCTTTAGCATACATCTTCATTAAGTCCCGTAGTCCCTCAGGTACTCTTGGTAAACTTTTTTCCGTCATATTAAGATGATAGTGTCTAACAACGAACTATCCACATAAAACATTGAAGGAAAACTAGCTGATGAAATATCCTTGTTGTGGCTTTGCTTAGTAACCTGAACAGTCATGTGTTTCCATACCAACAGCCATTTCCCACACCATACACACATACTCGTATGTATATGGAAAAGTATCTTAAGTGGCACAGTGCACAATGGTCCCAAAGTCGTTTTTTTTGGCATAAAGTCTAAAAATGTAGATACAGACTTGAAACTTTGCACATTTGGTAATATTGTAATTAATATTATATAAAAACATCTTCGGACGAATCGGACCACGCCTACTTCCTCCGAACCAGTTTTCCCCGAATTGTTTTCACGACCTTGCCTGATATTCGGCTACCTGGAGACTGTATTTTTTATCCGAAAATAAAGAAAATTGTATTTTCTTAAAGATAATTGAATTGTAACTTTGTGATAGAGATTTTTGAGGAGTAAAAAATTATTTACCCACAAGACAGAGTTTTAAACAAAGGTTTTCGTTTTTATATATTCTTAACTTTTCAGATCGGTAAATCAACTAGAACGCTATGTGGAAAAAATCTATTCAATTTAATTTCATTTTAAAGTAACCAGTTTCAATTTTATAAACTAAAGGTTACATTCTAATAAAAAATTTTTTTTATTTAAATAATAGTTTTTTGCTTGCTTTTCAATTGCATTCCTGACATTTCTTTTTTCATGACTAATACAATATTTAACTTGTTTTTTATAACTGGAATATGTTTTCAAACATAAAATCAATTACTTCATCAGCGCTGCGATCGTTATTGCAGGGCTTCACGACGAAATTTATATGTGACTGAAAACAAATTTTTTTCCAAATGGGGCAAAAACGGGCAAGGGAGACAAAGTAATTATTAATCTGAACACTTTAGTGAATAACTAAACGTTTTAGTCTTGCCTTTACCTCTGACGTTCTACTCTAGACAACTCAACTACATTTGTTAGACTTTTTAGCTAAATAAACATATACGCAACGCTAGAAGACAAACCCATGTACAAAGAGAAGACACTTACTCTTTGTTATGTATGTTGTACATACCTTGACGTTTATTATCAATTTTAAACGTTTATTTTCTATTAAACCGTTTCTGAATAGGAATAATATAAAGTCTGGCAAGAAATTGCTGCCATTGCTCACATCCCAGGGTTGCCATAGACTTTGTGACGCCGCCAAAAGTACAGGGTTGTCACAAGGCTCAAGAATAAAAAGGTTCCTAATTTTAGGGGTATCAACTTTCCGAAAATTTCGTTAAATTTTTTAAATCTTTTCATACATTTTTGGACTTTATGCCAAAAAAATCGAGTTTGGGACCCTTGTGCAGTGGGACAATGCCCGAATAACTTGAAAAAAATAAAACGAAGACAGCTAAAGCTTTCATAAACCGTGTGTCTGATGTCAATTATTGTATTTTTTTGTATAACACTACCCTACACAAATTTTCCTCAAGGAACCAAAACGATTTTCTGATAGTTTTGATGCTTTGAAATTGTTCGATAAGATTTTTTTTTTGTATAAGAATTACAAAAAAAATATTAATGCGTAATCATCTTTACCATTCTGGAAAGCTGTCTGGGAAATATTAAGCTTTCGAATGCAAAATTTATGATTTTTGTGCGCTATTTTTTTTTTTTTTTTTTACTTTTATAATTTGGTTTAAGTCGAAAAACGACTTGTTATTTACACATCAATACAAAAAAATATAAGTTGTTAAACTGAAAATTTTTGATATATTTTTTCCTAACTTGAACTTCTACAAAAATGGAAATAAAAATTGTATTTGATATGTCGAATGTCGGTATATAATTTTTATTCTGTATTTTTCTTGTGCCTGCGGCAGCGCTCTTTGTTTGCTATATATTGTGCGATGTTGTAATAAATATCGCTCTTAACGGCCCTGTTGCGCAAATCTGCGCAGATGGGGACAACTATAAAAACGTACTATATATAGAAATATTAATAGATAGTTTTAAGAAAAGCAAATAAGCGGGAGCAATACGGAAGTTGAACTACTAACAAATCAATATGTATTTAAGTTTTTCTTTTGAAAACTGAACCAAAAAGATAATCAAACGATAAATAGTTTACTTCTTATTCGATCTGCAGTAGGTGAATAGAAATTAAACAAGCTTGCTGAAAAAATGGTCCACTTTGTATACATAACTCCTAAGCGAAAAATCTGATTTTCCCAAATATTTCATGCGTATATTCAAATTATCAATAGCCCTCACCCAAACACTATTTCTTCACATCATCTTTCTCATCCCTCCAACGCTGCAAGCCTATTAGAAAACCGTTTTCTTGGTGCCAATAGAAATGTCAAAATAATGCCATCAGAAGTAATCATGTACATTAGAGTGGACTGAAAATGCAAAATTGTTTAATGTTAAGTCGGCTCGGGATATAAAAGTTGTATTAAGGGATTCTAAGGCGAGGGAAACAAAATTTTTGAAATCGGATTACGGACCCTTGCGCATCGAAGTAAAAATTCGCTTTCCACCAAGTTAATCAAAATTTAGGTATATGTGTAATTCAGGAGGCTGTACTCCTTAAAAAAAGCCGTTGATAGACCGTGAATTATAACAAAAGTTGGCGCAAAAACTAACTAGCCGAACTAGCAAAACATTTTTTTTTTCAGAAAATTTCAAAGTTTTGTGTTTTTTTATACCAAATGTTGAAAAGAGCAAAGAGTTCAAAAAATTATAGCTGTCGAAGCGATGATCAAAAAAAAAAAACCGATATATCGCGAAGATTTTGTCATCTGCTTTACATCGATGCATATACTTATTTATGTACGACAATCAAAGCTGCCTGTTTGGAATAGCCTAGGAGATCCAAGGAGATATCACCGCCAGCGACTTAAATGGTAGGCCTCACCAGCCAACTTATCCTATCTTAAAACGAGCTTCAAAAGCTAAAAGCTGGACCAACACATCACCCAGAAAGTCGGATTATAAACTCTCTCCGAAAAGAAGGTCGATTGCCGAGCCTTAAAGAATGTATGATCGGCTGAATTAGTTGGAATATTCCAATCTTCTATATCGGCTGTTAAACTTATCAGACTATCTGCAATTGTGGAGAAAAGAATAGCAGTGCTATTGGGTGCATTGTTCGATGTTTTAAAATGTAAGCGAATGTTCATGCTGGATCCTAAGCAGAGAAGATCTGAGGAAAGAGTTTTTCTTTAGTTGAGACAAGCGAAGAGAATGAACACAGAATTGATGGTTGCGAAAGATCCTGCTGGGGAATTTTACTCATTAGTCAGTGCTACTAGCCGCAACGCAACTCCGCGATACAAGCTTGAGTCTGATTCAGTTTTCTGGTGGTGCAGTGAGGGTGATCGCTTTTCAAAACATACAAGCAAATAAAATTCCATTGCCGGTACCCTGCCTGGTTTAGTCAGCAACAAAACACTTTTCTGCTATAATTCCGTGTTGTATGTGCTTTTCTGGCAAAGCGCTCCATTCCAAGATTTTCTATGATCGAATAACTAATAACTACAGCAACACTCCCTTAGGTCATCGATGACGAAAGAGTACCGAACGAACTACGAGCCTCGAGTACACGGCTTAGACAGTGGTGGCTACGCCACCATTTTGCTGGGTACTGTGTCATACTCCGCTCGATTCGAGATTCGGTCTGCCCCACCATTAATACTGTCGCAAGAACTATATACCAGCATCTCCTTTTTCGCTGTTGTACACGTTTGGGAAGGTGCATGCTACACGCAGAGGAAATAGCTTAGTATAATGAAAGACACCCAAATTTAAATTAAATATTCTGTTATTAAATCCGTCTGTATTTCGAGAAATTAAATAGAATTAACTTTGATTTAAACAAAATAATACAGCTCATATTTAATCTAAGGAAATAATCAATTGGTATATTATTTGATCTAAATGTAGCGTCGGAATGGTCTCGAAAACCTTTTTAATCTGACCACAATGATCAGATTTGCCTCCAATTGACCTTAACCTCGTTCGAGAAGCCCAATTGATCGTTCCTAACCTAACACAATATCATGTTGGTGGTCACCAAATGTTAAATTGTCAAGGTTTTTCTTTACCCGAGATAATGTTTGATCTCACGAGTTCTTAGCTACTATATGTTATGAAGTACGAGGCGTTTCGACCCTATAAAGTATATTTTAATGGTCGATTGGGGCATTATTTAGCTATTGGAATACTTGGAATTACAATACCCGATACCATTTTGCCGCTTCGAACCAAACCTATTTTTTTTTTATAGATTTGGGGCTTTAATTTAATTTTGTTTTTTAGTGCAAAACAGGAATTACATACCAAGTAATCAAACATTGCTTTGTGATATATAAGTTTGGGTAAATTTACTAAAAAATCGTACTGTTGGCATTCTTTGAACAATTTTATTAACTAGTAGCTTATTTTGTTAAGAATAGATGCCGTTAAAAAGTTCATGTCTTAAAATAAAAACATAAACACAAAAATAATTTTTTTAGCTTTATTCTAAAGGCGCAGAAACTGTAAAAAGGTTAGAAAATTTCAACTTAGGTCTTCATGTATGTATTCTATCACACGAATCAAAATTCCTGTGAAAGCTGGTACCATTTTCTTGTTTAGATAATGTTTTTTTTTGCTGTTATTTGAACTTCAGATTTAAAGTAAAAATTATGAAAGGGGTAGCAACTTTTCAATCGGTAAAATGTGATTTTTGGAGGTTTGGTCAACCATTTTAGCTCAGCCGTTTCTCCGAAGATTAAAAAATCATAATTTTTGCATTTGAAAGCTTTATATTTCCCAAACAAAGTGTTTGAGTCTAGTTTATAGCTGCTATTATTAGCTTTTCAGAATGGAAAAACTCATTAAAACCAAATGTAAGATACTTATGTTACGGAAAAAAGAAGCGCTACTTCTAAAAAAACGAGAAGGAACGTGTGAGTCGCTTCTAAAGACGCGACTCTATACCCGACTCAGTCAGTATTACATTTTGAGCATAGTTTTTTATTTTAGATTAATTACATTTTACATTTGTTTGCTAATCGTTATCTACATCTACAATGTATATTTTACATCTACATGTAGATTCTAGATGTCCATCAGTTCTACATCTCCCGCTAGGGGTTGCGCGCACTGAACGCGGCGGGGCGAGCGGGGTGAGTGTGTTGTCGTTGGCGGGGGGGGGGGGCATGAATTCATTTCTTCATTCTGGCTATTTATGTCCGACTGTCAGATTCAGCAGTCTGGTGATAGGGTCTCTCGATCTGGTTACGTATCTTTAGTGCTTGCCGTTTGGTTCTTGTTGGGCGGGGGGGCGGGGCGACACACCGACAGTGGGTATCACATGGTCTGCCATTTGGTTGCCCTAGCTTTATAGTCTCTGAGTCTGGGCCATCGAGACAGACAGACAGACAGACGACGACGGACAGCAGACATGGCTATATCGCTCGGCTATGATGCTGTCGAAATATACTTTATGGGGCGGACCTTTCCTCTCTGCGTTACACACATCCACTTTACCAAATATACCCCTTAACTCTTTTTTGAGTACGGGTATAAAAAGCTTTAAGAGAATAACAGTTTTCAAAAATTTATAAAAAAAGTTCTGCCATAGAAAAAAAAACATAAGAATTGAAAGCTCCCAAAATATCAGAAAATGTCGGTAAAAAACGGAAAAAAAGTTCAGTTTTGTCGAGTAGTGTTATATTCATTAGCTTCCACAATTCGACATATAATTGGTATATCATCATATCGAGATATAAAATTTACAGACGAACTTAAACCTTTTTGAATAATATCGTATTTAAATTTTTTCCAATTACGACATTTAAGGAAGTGGGAAAACAGAGATTCCCTTGAAGGTATAGTAAAATCTAGATAAAACAATCGGCGCTGCCAAATGTTTCCTGGGTTTTGCTTTTTTTCTAATAAGAAAAATCTGGGAAGCAATAAACACTGAACTCTGGTTCGTGCCATTATTACGCGATGCTGCATGTTCTCTCCCAATCCAAATATTGCTCCAAATGTAAGTTTTCCAACATCAATCAAATGACTTTCATTTTGTTTAGCCTGCAAAAATATAATACCATCAAATGATTATGATTATTTTAAGATATAAGATATACATCCACCATTAGTGAAAATTCATATTCTCGTAATTCGATTTACATGTATTTAAATATACGTAATGAATGAAAAAATATTTGTATTAAAATTTATAAAGCAGCTTTCTTAAAATAAAAGCAGTCGGATACTTTTTGACGAGGCAGAAGGGCCTTAAGATACAAGGTACTTCGAATGTTTATAAACATACATACATATTTAAATGTACAATGTACATATGGTATATACATGTATGGAAATACATACATTTATGTATATACCGAAAAAAGAGTCAAAGCTCGGACTTACAAGGTAGTATGGTAGTATGGAGCGATTCAAGACTTCACGAGACTCACTGTAAATGAGAGATTGGTGAACGGAGGATTGAGATGAGAATATTAGTGGAAGAGAGAGAGAGGCCATCGGCCACGCTTGGGACTTCTTTTTCTTATTTCCGAATTTATGGATGATGAAAATATGGACGACATTCCTGTATTAATGGGATGTCTCACAGGACCCTGTCACCTCAAATGTCACCTCAAGAAATTTGGGGAAAGGATCAGTTAGTTCTACATCGAAACACATTCTATTTGTTTATAGAAGGGAGATCTTAGCAGTTTGGGGGCCGCCCCTTATAGGATATAGAAACAAGACCCATCGAACTTCGTTAAAAACGTAAACATACATAATCATAATCCTTTCACATAATCCTTCTGGCTGGTAAAAAAGGTCAGTACATATAGTACGTATGTCAAAGTGCAATAAGGCCCTTGTCATTATTTAATGACGTGCCCCAAATTGCATGCTGTTTTTTTTAAATGATAGCCAGAGAATGTGGCATGCTTTGCACTTTCTATAAATAGGTTCCTCAAGATTTAAAAATTAATCTAAAAAATCTAAAATTTGGTCAAAAAGTGTGTGTTTGAACGCCTATTTCAATTTAATTTTTTGTCATTCTGTGGAACAGAACAAACATTTTATGATCCAATTTTTTTTTTTAACTTTTTGATTGAAAAATTTTTTTCTGAAAAATTTCAATTTATGTAAGTATATTTGTTGCTTTTGATTATCATTGTTTAATTTCGATGAATTCCTAAACAATAAATGCATTTAGTAAGCAGCGAAGCGCGCGGGTCTGCTAGTATAGTACACTTGATAAGTATACATATATGATTGATCGACTTACCACAGACTTGAGAGAATTGTTAGTTTTTTTTTCCTCTATGCCAGAGCTCAAACTATTTTTATTTAAAGCACATTGTCCTGTCAGCTGATTGGGGGTTGAGTTTGATGAGACTTTCATAGTGTTCATGAAAGAAATACCTCCTTCTGATGCATCAGTCAGATGAAAAATCTTTTTTCCATTTTTTAAGGTGAACTAAAAAATGCACAAATAAGGAATAGTAAAGTTTTTAAGAAAATTTTGTTTTAATATGATACCGTCATGTTAAGGCATTGAAGTAAAAGACATTCTCCACTAAGCACAAAGTGTACATTTGTTAAAGTGCCTTTATCCTCATGATAGATTGTCTCCAACGGATCATATTGCTTAATGGTTCCGACTTTGCAAGCATCAACGATCTACACGAAACATACATACATACATATATAAGTACGTATATAAAACGTTTTTATAATATAATAACATTTTTTCACTTGCTTGATCATTGTCCAGAAATTTGAAGTAGTCCAGGGCCCTTAGGGCTCTTTTCTTCTCATCCCAAAGATCCATTAATGTGGTAATCACCATTAGGTCATCGTAGAATATTTCAGAGTGCTCGCAATGCGAAACAAAGTTAAACGTTCAATACTCGTAGTTATTAGCGACTGGAGGCATGCACCCATCCAAAGATTGGCAAGCGGCATACCAGCTAAAAAAAATAAAAACACAGTCAGCCAAAACGCTTTACACGTGCATCCGACTATCAGATACCTGTCTTTTTTACTTTTTATTGAAATATTTAAGAATGAGTATAAATGCACAACAATGTTTTCAAAATTCATGTAGTCTGCAAAAGTTGAAATATCACTATACTACTGATGAATTTGTTTCGTCGAAAGTGTTTTCGATTAAGATGAAGCTAAGAGATTCACAGGATTTCTCCAGCTAAATTGTGTGGAAAATATTTGTAGATAAATTTACTTTTCGTAGACATGCCAACAGACATGCAATTTTTCACACGGCTATGGAATTCTGATAATTCTTTGTGTATTTATGGGCCCACTATCGTCTACTTGTGTACGTCTGTTACAAAAATTTGAGCAAAAACATTAAACTACTAGTACCTGGTATAAAGATACAATAGAAAAAAACGAAAGCAATGTTGTTTGGGGCAACCTATATTTGACGGAATAGGTTTGTAGTCACGCTGGCACGTGATGCTTCCACTTGTAGGCGACGGGGTATTATTGAATCGAATTAGGACCTAACGTTGTTTATTGCTGATTAAATTGACGGGTACATGCATTTGTAAATGAAGCAACAGAAAAACAACAGAATTCTAAGTAGTATATTTGTATATGTATATCGCGTGCTTAGGTTAGACATTTCCCATTCATTATGGCATGCTCCACAAATATCGTATTTACGTATTCATATTCTTATAGTCTTTAATTCCCCTTTATTGGTCCAGTTATAATTGTATTAATTAGTATTGCGGGAGACACGTATTCATACTTGAAAGTGAATAGTTTTAAAACTTCCTTAACAAGCGATCGTGCTGATTTATAGTAAACCAAAAGATTGTTTTCCAAACAGCAGCTACTTTCTGACTAACTAACTTTTATCGAAACAGAAGCAGAGTGGCTAAATCGGGTAAGCTGTTGATGCCAATCATAAATTTACATAAATATATACTCGTTAAATTATCTCTAACAGTTTTGGTTGTTACGTTGCTTAACCAAAGACTGACCAAAATTGAAGTACTCGGCAGAAGAAAAAAGGCATGTCAAATTTGTGCAATACAAAATATATTTATTTTTTTACCCCCTTGAGAAGTTAGCTAAAAAAAACTAAAACTATCTACGTGGAGCAGAGGGTCCCGTCAGCTATTGGGGCTTTTGGCTGCAATTCAATAAATTCATAAACACGCGATATATAGGAATGTGAATACAATTTTTGTTTTGTTTTGCCTTATTTGTAAATGGCTATGCCCGTCGTTTTAACTAGTTACAAACATCGTTAAATCGTTATTCTATTCAATCAAAATGAGTACATAAATACACAGTAGGCTATCAGTACACTAGGTTGCCTTGGCGCATTACGTTCCACCGCATACTTTTAAGTAGATTCCACTAAACATGTCTTGAACTAACTGATGGGGGTAGATCTTGGACCATTAATATGACCAGATTACCGTTTCGTATGCTTAGATACAGACATACTGCTGCCAGGACTGGACGATCATACTGTGTTGAATGTTCAGTTTCCATCCACCCGGGGTTAAATACTAATTTTGTAAACTAGCCAATGTTCTCGCCACACGCAATGCGTGCACCAAATTGCATGAGGTTTTTTTTAAATGATAGCCAGAGTATTTGGCATTGTTCCTCGAAAATTAAAAATTAAACATGGTCTAAAAATGTGTGTTTGAACGCCTATTTCATTTCATTTTGTGTCATACTGTAGAAAGGAACATTTTATGATATATAATTTTTTGTATGAAAAATTGTTTTCTGAGAAAATTGAAATTTATGTAAATATATTTGTGGCTTTTGATTATCATTTTTTAATTTCTATGAATTCCAAAACCTTAAATGCATCTAATAAGCAGCGAAGCGCACGGGTCGGCTAGTTTTTAAATGAAATAATTACACTAGTCAACACGATTTTTCCTCAAGGAACAAAACGAACTTTTTCTTAAAGATTTGGGGCTTAGAAATGGTTTGATGATTTTTTTTTTTTTTTCTATGGCAGAACTTTTTTTTAAAGAATTTTTGAAAACTGGTATTTATTTTTTAAGCTTTTTTCAGAGGTAACGCTTGTTTTTTTCACATAACTCTAGTATCTTACGTCTGGTTGTAAAGAACTTAGCTATTTTGAAAAGATAATTGAAACAGCTAGAAGCTGATGCCAAACACTTTGTGATTTCAGCTTACCGTCTGGGAAATATAAAGCATTGAAATGCAAAAATGATGATTTTTGTGGGGTATTTTTTGCGAAATTTTGACTTTAAAAACTCAGGAAAAGTCGAAAAAAAATTATATCCTGTGTCCTCTATTTTTTTGTGTATAGGTGCATTAATTTGGCGTCGTTCAAGGTATCGCTCATTAAAATCTATGGAGAGACTTTGGAGCTAAAATTCGTTAACCAAACCTAAAATATGGAAAAAATGAACAAAAAATACCTTTTTGATGGTTGCGGGCCCAACTGCCAATTGGGAACAAAGCAAACGAACAAGGGTTGTACATTTGGTACCTGATCGCGTTAAACATGGTCTAAAAATGTGTGTTTGAACGCCTATTTCATTTCATTTTGTGTCATACTGTAGAAAGGAACATTTTATGATATATAATTTTTTGTATGAAAAATTGTTTTCTGAGAAAATTGAAATTTATGTAAATATATTCGTGGCTTTTGATTATCATTTTTTAATTTCTATGAATTCCAAAACCTTAAATGCATCTAATAAGCAGCGAAGGCGCATCGGCTAGTTTTTAAATGAAATAATTACACTAGTCAACACGATTTTTCCCTCAAGGAACAAAACGAACTTTTTCCTTAAAGATTTGGGGCTTAGAAATGGTTTGATGATTTTTTTTTTTTCTATGGCAGAACTTTTTTTTGAAGAATTTTTGAAGTCTGGTATTTTTTTTTAAGCTTTTTTCAGAGGTAGCGCTTTTTTTTTTCACATAACTCTAGTATCTTTCGTCTGGTTAAAGAACTTTGCTATGTTGAAAAGATAATTGAAACAGCTAGAAGTTAAGCCCAAACACTTTGTGATTACAGCTTACCGTCTGGGAAATATACTGATTGGGAAATGCAAAAATGATGATTTTTGTGCGGTACTTTTTACGAAATTTTGACATTAAAAACTCAGAAAAAACATAAAACTGTGTCCTGATGTTCTTTGTGTATAGGTGCATTAATTTTGTATCGTTCAAGGTATTGCTCATTAAAATTGCATGAGGTTTTAAATGTGCCAGAATTCATTGACCAAACCTAAAATATTAAAAATGGACAAAAAATACCTTTTTGAACGGCCAATTGCAATTCGGAACAAAGGAACCGATCAGGTACCAAATGTACACCCTTTTATGTTCGTTTTGTTTTTATACCTCTTTGTCCCCCATGAAAAAGGTATTTTTTGTTCTTTTCCAAATTTGAGGTTTGTGTAAATAATTTTGTGCTCTTAATTATCTTTTTTAATTTCTATTCTTTAAAAAAATTTAAAGTCCCATATCTATCAGAAAAAGTCGGTTTGGATCCTTGAGGAAAAAAAAAGTTCGATTTTGTCGAGTAGTGTTATCGATACATTTCAGAAATTGAGTATGGGCATCTCCAAGAAACTGCAAGGAGTAAGACCTTGAAAGGGAAGGAAATCTCCTCTAAGCTTTGTACTGGCAGGACTTTCCGGCGCTGAGGTACACCATTCAGTTGGCTCAACATGGCATTCGTGCCCACCAGGGACGGTTCTCGGGGCGATTGACTGAACACAGATATCTCGTAATGGAGCACCCGGTTGGTGCATGTGAACTGGAGGCAGGCGAACCATTTCCGCGCAAGTGCGGGCTGTTGTTTCGCGAGTGGTGGAAGTCCTCCAGTGGTATCTCCTCAGAACTGAAAGGAAAACAAGACCCACTAGGCGTCATTTTTCGGTTGAATCATTGGGGATTGGGCATCCTTGGTCTGCTCTCACGGGATCGATTGCCGGAGCTGCGTGGCTGAGAGTTTCGCGACGAACTGTGGCTGCCAGGACTCACACTGGGCGATCGCTCCCGATCTGAGTGGTCCGCCCGCAGAGTCGTCCCAGAGCTGGCGTTGGGACTTTGACGGCGTGAGCGTCCAGCGCTTTTATTTCGAATGCTGCAGGAGATATGTACAACAAATGAGTTCCACTCCTGATTCTGTATGTGGTAGTCTTACGCCCCGATGGAGTGATTCTGGGTCATTTGTGTGCAACTAACACCAGCTGTGTTGTCAGTCCTCAAGACAGCAGCGAATCCGGTCACACGATTGGCCGTGGAGAAGATGGGGCGATGATGACAGCTACGGGAGCTGCTCCCACTGCTGCTGCTACCGCTGGGCGCTGCCGTTGTGCCGCCCACAGCATGAAATTGATACCAGTAAGTGGCGTGCCCGTGGGCGGCAGTAGAATGTCGGAATCCATGCACAGGCACTCTACGTTAAGCTAAGCCTTCCTCATCTCGTTTTACTCGTACTTGAATATGTCCAGGAATATATCCTAGCATCGACTGGTTGCGAGCACTAAACAGCAGATCCTGCTGTCCCATGGGTATGCAACGCGCCTCATCCGAACTGGGCTTGGTGAAGGTGACAGGCACCTCCAGGGCAATCACCACGGTGATCAAGCGTACGCGACAGACTGAAAAAAGGATTCGGGCATCAATTAAGATGGTGGAATGATGGAGTAAGATAGATCAGATACTTACACGGTTGACTGGACTGTGTGATTATACCCAACAAGCGCATGGTACCACAATGTGAAATTTCTAGACACAGAATAAAATAAATGAAATGGAGCATGGATTGGATGATTAGAGCAATGAAAAGTTAGCCCACAGATAACATTGAGAGAGAGAGAGCTAGAGCTGAAGGAGACCTTACCTCAATTGTGCGAGATGGCATAGATCAGGCAGAGGGACAGCAGACCCAGATAATCGTTCTCGGTGCAGCCCTAGGCATGCAGATCTGTGTCCAGAAACGGCTTCGCCAGCTGCCCAAAGTCCGCTTTACCTAAGCCCGAGGACTTTTGCAGCAATTCTTTTTCCCCGCTTGTGTCACCACTTCTGTAGTGGCTGGCGACGACGACGCTACGCCACTGTCCTCGCTCAAGGCATAGCTGGAGGCGCTGGAGCAGCCTCCTCCTTGAACACACTGTGATCACCATTGCGGATGACCCAGGCCAGGGCATGCACCAGTGGGGCATGCGAGACGACCTGGAAGACCAGCGACAGCAGAAAGAGAGCCACAATGGAACTAATGCGCGGACTGTGTATCTCCTGGATATTAATGTCGACATTGCGATTCAGCACAACCGCCAGATTCTAGGTGACCAGCGCCAGGGAGGGCGGTGGTGCCGCCGGCGTCAGGGAGAATATATACAAAGGCACAAAGAGTTTGTGTAGCAGATGCTAAGTGAGCACAGCATTCAGATCTTTGATATCCAGCAGCAGAATGTCGCTCAGATAGTGTAAATGATCCAGATGCTCGGCCACCAGGTTCGAAAGCTTCTGGTTGGATTGGTGGCTAAAACAAGAATAGAGAGAAATTAGTACGGATCTGAGAGCAGAGATCCTTAATCCTTAATTCGAGGATGTGCGTGCCAATAAACCACATCAAATTACTGAAATAAGGAACTGCCGTTAGACTCGGGATGCTTGAAGAATTTAATAGCCTCCGTATAGAAGGGAACATCATCAAGCGCTGGCCAAACCTCATTGTAAAAGAAGTGAATGGTGTGGGTGAGAGACTTCAGCAATAGAATATAGTAGCCCATAACATCCTCATCGAAGAAGTCAAACTTTTACACCATTATGGAATTTACATGATTATTGCTCAACAGATAATCTAAGGGCTAAGGGACAAGGCTTAGTCCTGGAGTCCTGGCAGAGACATTTACGAGGGAGGCACAACTTACACAGAGACGTCTCGTTGCGTATATTCTCGAAGAGAATGTTGAGCGTTTGCAGCAGTTGCACACAGACAAAGCTCGAGCCATTGGTCATCTGCCGCATTATGTGCAGGAAATACGAGAGCATATACTTCTCCAGAAAGAAACTGCAAGAGTACAAGCATTATCCAAGGTTACAGTCGACGGCTAGGCGACATAATCAAACACCAGAAAGTTAAGCTGATCCAGCGATTCCACCAAAAGGCAGCGGTTGTTTCCGACACGGTTGTTTTTTTCTAAAAAAATGCTATATATGCAGGCCGCCAGCTTCGACTGCAGAACATTCCATTGGCTAGCTAATGGGCGTTGGCGGGCGTATTGTTCAATAGCACTCAGCTAATAACAGTGGACGTCGCTGCTTTCATATCAAATTATCAGCATCGAAGTGTCCGTGTCGCGTTTCTACTGTTTTATGCAACAGGTCGTAACAGTCGGGCAATGGGTTCAGTGCTTAAAAATATCCCACTTTATCGGCAAGAAACAATGTCATGTACACGGCATGTATTTTGTTTTTGCATTCTAGTAGAAATAGTACAAACAAAGAGAAACTTGAATTTTTTGTGAATTTTTGTATTTTGTAAACAAAAAATCAGCTGAATTTTTTTATATATCAAGGGTACCTGTGGTCAGACCCTCAGAAATATACCGGAATATACCGTATCGTTTTCAAAATATACCGATAAAATAAAAGCATTTTTATCACAAATTAAAAAAATGATTACAAATCACATTGTACGTTGCAAGCAAATCCTTGAGTAATCGCGTAATCAGGAAAAGCGGATTTAGCGTTTCAGAACACACACAACATACCGTGCACTGCGGCTGCAAAATGCGACTCATTAAAATAATATTGCACGCCTTGCAATGGAATCGACTGCATTTTTGGTTCTGCAAAGCCATGTCTTAGTATCGGGTTGAGACTTTCACTCTTGTCTATACTTTTAGTTAAATTCCTTACTTATTTTGATTCACTAATACCGAAAAATTGATTAAATTTACCATTACATACTGATAGATTAAATTTCGACGTCAAAATATTCCAAAAAGTAAAAAATATACCGTAAACGGTCACACATTATGGGCTATCAAATGGATTTTTCAAACAAATTAGAGGTGGAGACACATCGATAGAAACATCGATATTCTGTGGCGACTATCGAAGAAGGTTGGGTAAAATCATATTTTTATTTTGAATATTGCCCATTGAGTACCACCCACTAGAATTTCGGAAAGTAAACCAGGATGGAGTCATGCCTGAAAGGAAATTCCCATACTTCAGAATCTATAGTAAGTATTGTATTCATAGAAGGGGTATTAGTCGCAAACAAATAACTTTCTCTTTTTTAGATGGCCAAATATGCTGATGAAAGACCTCCAGAAAAACCTAGGTACACAGGCAGTACTACTGCCTTGCGACCAGTTATGCTATTCTTAGCAGCTACAGCAGTAGCTACTTCCGTATTAGTCGCCCTTCCGCCACAAGTCAAAAACTTTATCTTAAGTCGACAGAATACTTCAGAGAGTATCTCGAAAGATTTGCAATCCTACCCGCCTACATATGCAATTTTCGGCAAGAGTCGTACAGAAGAGCACTTGGTACATGTAGTGAATGTTCTTCATAAGTTTGGATACGAAAGAGTTCAAGTGAACGAAAGCTGGAATCTCTTGTGGGCCCACGATTATCCATTCCTTTCCCTTCCTAACTTAAAGAACCTTGGCCAGCATCAAATAGTCAATCATATTCCGGGCTGCGGGTACTTAACAAACAAGGTAGATTTGTGTACATCTTCTCTGCCATTTCTTCCCCGTGCATTTAGACTTCCAGCACAGAGAGACGACTTTTTGGCATACGCGCATGCACACCCAGATGTACTTTTTGTGGAGAAACACAATGAGCATAGACATATCAAAGTTCGCAAACCAAGTGATATCGATCTCTGGTCAAATGATTCGTTCGTTCAGGAGTTCATACAAAAACCATTCTTGGTGGACGGCCATAAGTTTGACATAGGCGTTTACGTGGCGATAACTGAAATGAACCCCCTTCGTGCGTACATCTACACAGGCGACGTTCTTTTTCGCTACTGTCCTGTCAAGTATTATCCGTTCGACAGCGAAAACGTAGACAAGTACATAGTTGGCGACGATTATTTACCCACTTGGGAAGTTCCTTCATTACGGAAGTATTCCAATCATTTTGGGGGTAGCATGCGGACTGTTTTTGAGGCATATGTACGAGATCAGGCCATGGACCCTACAAAAATATGGCCTCAAGTAGAACATATCATCCGCACAACAATTTTGGCAAAGGAAAAAGATATTGTCAATATTCTTCACTCTTACAGACAGCATAATTTCTTCGACTTAATGAGATTCGATCTTTTTATCGACGAGAATCTGAAAGTTTATCTAATGGAGGCAAATATGTCACCAAATCTTTCATCAGCTCATTTCAAGCCGAATTCGCTTTTGTATGAGCAAGTGCTATATAGTGTATTTAACTTAGTAGGAATTCGCCAACTACATGGAACAGGTGCCCCCATGTGTGTACAAACTGTTCAAAAAAATTTTCAATTTAAATATAATATATTGCATTTTTATAGGTTTTCTGAAATCAGTGAGGTTCTAGCATCTGATAAAAATTTGGCAACTGCTTTAAACTCATGCTCTTCAAATTGTGATAAAAACTGCAACAAGGAAGAGTGTAGTCTTTGTATTCCTTGCCTCAGTGGATCGCAATACAAGATGCTTCACCAAGCGTACCAGGAGCATTTGCATCGGATTGATATGAAGCGGATTTTCCCAAAGCCCATTGTAAGGCAAATAAATGTTTCATGAAAGCTATCATCTTAATTAACATCAATATATTTGCAGCTAAATTTGCAGAGTTTCAATATAATTGAAGAAACATCTAATATGTCGAAGAAAAATGCGTGGATGACCCGTTGGTTCTATAACAAATGTCAATATGAACGAGCATGGTGTGTCTAAATTTAAAATGATTACTGATTAATTTTCACATTTACATACAATTAGACCAATCAGATTTACCGCTAGTAAAAATTAATTTAGATTTTATATTTTTACAATTTAAATTTGTGTATATTTAAAATGATTACTGATTTATTTTCACATTTACACAGACCAACCAGATTAAACGCTAAGAAAAAATTAGTTTAGATTTCATATTTGTACACCCCTTGCAAAAAGTATTATGATTTGACCAGATGCTTAAAACGAACCGAGTGAGGCAACTCCGACACCATATCATATAAAATTTATATTCCTGTATGTACATATATAAGATTTTAAGATTTCTTGTATTAAAACAAAATTTAAGCTTACTTTGGGAATTTTCTGAAACAAACAATTTCTTTGTACCACGAATTGTTTGATTATTTTTTAAAAACTGCTATAACCTAAAATAAAATAAACATATGTATGTATGAGTCATTTTGTATATGTTGCAGCCAAAAATATAGATTTTTTAGCTGTACAGGGTAATACTCTGTGTAATTTTGGGTTGACCTGTCATTATTTTCAAATGAATATTAAGAACAGAGATATTAAATTTTTATGTGTAAGAACTGTTTAATTAAAAACTCTTAAAAACATATTTTCCGGTCCTTTTTTAAGGACAAGGCTCACACAACCCCTCACACATTGCGCCGTTTTGACACATCAAGTTTTTCATTGAAATGGCAATGAAGGGCATATACATACAGTGGGGAGCAAACTTCCTAAGGGCGGCGGGGGGGGGGGGCGGGGGGGGCCCCGGGGTCGCCAACCGCCCGGGGCCGCTTTCCCGGCGGGGGGGGGGGGGCGGGGGGGGGGGGGGGGCTTTCCGGGGGGGGGGCGGGGAAAAAAAAGGAAAAAAAGGAAAAGTTCAAAACTGAGTACAGGGGGCCGGCCGGGGGGGGGGGGGGGGGGGTCGCCCCCTGTATGTAGTTTTGTAAGCTTTAGTGAAGGAAAATTCATACATGCGTCGGAATCGGATGCGCTGTAGTTAACATATTTTTTGTTGGTGAAAACACTACTCAACAAAATCGAACTTTTTTTTCCTCAAGGAACCAAACCGAATTTTTCTGATAGATTTGGGGATTAAAATTTTTTTTAAGAATTATTTTTTTTTTTCTTTGAATGAACTTATTTTTCAAGAATTTTTGAAAACATGTATATTTTGTTTATGCTTTTTTCAGAGGTAGCAGTTTTTTTGTACATAATATAGTATCTTACATATGGTTGTAAAGAACTTTACCATTCTGAAAAGCTAATTGATGCAGCTTGAAACTGAACCCAAGCACTTTGTGGTTTTAGCGTACCATCTGGAAAATTCAAAATTATGATTTTGGCGCGGTATTTTTAACCAAATTGTAACTTTAAAAACTCAGGAAAAATCGAAAAAAAATGATATCTTGGGTATTTTATTTTTTGTGAATAGGTGAATTAATTCGGCGTACTTTATGGAGAGACGGCGGATCTAAAATTGGTTGACCAACCCTCCGAAAATCACATTTTACCGTTGCTGGCCCACCAAGCAATGCTTGTTTTTTCCCAGACGGTAGGTTAAAACCACAAAATTCTTTGGTCCACTTACAAGCTGCAACAATTTTACAACCATATGTAAGATACTTAATGTTATGTACTTATGTGAAAAAAACCGCTACCTCTGAAAAAAGTATAAACAAAATATAACAGTTTTCAAAAATTCTTTAAAAAAGTTCTGACATATAAAAATAAAGATAATAATTTAAAAAAATTTTAAATTAAATTTTAATTTTTAAAAAAAGCGATAGCTCTCTATGTCTATATATAAATATATTCAAGTTTAAACTTATTCTAAATATCTTTAACGAGATATTTGAATGTCAGAATAACGAAGGAAATACATAGATCAGCATGGGAAGTATTTAGTGACAGTGGAAAGAAACGAAGAGCATGACACAAGCGTGACATCGCTAGCTAAAGCCATAGCCGGAGCTACTCGAGAAATTCAGGTTTGATAATATATTGGCCTGCATACATTCTTACTCAGATGTACCCGCTGATGGCTACAGCTAATGGAATGGATGGATATGGACAGATGGAACTAGTGATGAACGGATGGGGAGTCCCATCAATGTATTTTTTTTGTACCGATGAAGAGGCAGACAAGGACGCTTTGTCGGCAATTACTTGTGTCGGTGTGAAGCGATGGATTTATCGCTTCAACAGCTAATAAACAAGCTGAATTTATTGTTATCTCGATCTCTATTCAGAGTCTCTATATACAGTGTGCAAAAGCTGTGATTGTGACTATTGGCCATGAACGTCAACTGAGGTTTGTCGGTCACCATCATGGGACTAAAGTTCTGGCGAGCCAAAGCATGAACTTCGTTAATGAAATAGTACAGGGTACTAATATTGAGACTAGATGCGAGATGATTTAGACAGATCGAGCGACTAGTCCTATAGTTTTGACCTAATCCAGCTAATCAGGCAATTTTTCACCAAGAAGCATTTAAGACGTCAAGATTTGACACACTAAATCATCGTGAACAGTAGAACGATAGATCAAAAATGTTCTTTGTCGATGTTGGTTCCATGGCAGATACCTTTTTGAAAAACTGTAAAAGAATCGATCAGTTTGGAGAAATAATAGTTTTTGTTTCTGAAATAAATCAAGCAAACGTTGGAAAGGATAGCTTCATTTACAGAAATTTAAAAATAAGACTATAACAAATAAATGATACTATTTATTTTAATACCCAGTAATCAAAGATAATATGGGTACATTAAATTCATTTAGATATACATATGTAAGAGCCAGCAAGAAGCTAATCGCCATGTCCGACAAATTTTGTTTGCATATTCCAGTGTTATTACATTAAACCATCTCAAATCACGAAAATCTTTGGCATCCACAATTTTAAAGCTACTGAGGATCATCATGTATTTTATTATCTTCAAGATTGGTAGACAGAATGGAGAAAACGATTTCCTGTGGCTGATTTCTCTGCTTTGCTCTCCCTCTTTTCGTCGTCCAGTGTAGCATCCAGTGGCGGAGGGATGTGGATATAACAGCCAGATGGAACTTCGTTGCTAGGAAATTAGATATACATAGATGTAACGAAAGGTGCGCTAAGGAAACATCTAGATAATTTTTGATTAGGTGAAAACTGGCAAAAATTAGTGCAGGATTGAATAAGGTTATCAGTAAGCAAGTAATCATAAGATGCATCATGCATATGAACATAAATATTAGAAGAAAGTCTAGAATTCCCGCTACCGGCTGTTTTAATTCAAATAAATTAAAATTTTTACCTGCTATTTTACTTTGAAAAAACCAAGATTGGGTTCGGCCACACTGCATATGTTGCTTTATTCAGAAAAACTGTTTCCAAATCGGGAAACTATCTATGCAAATGTTCCCATAGGTATGATCAATATTTATAATATCCGCGGAGTAGAATTCGTTTCACGAGATCGATTAAATATTAAAAGAAAGGGAAAACGCTGTAGCAGTAGGTACACCAATGCTGCTAGTTTGGCAATTTGTCCTTTCAAACAACCCACTTTGGCTTGAAAAGCTTGTGCCTATTGACAGAATATTGACAGAAGCTATTTCACTTTTCGGGGCGTGACAGACATGTCGGCGCTACCGTTGCCGACGGAGACTACACTACACCGACGCCACGAGCACCAACACCAATACCAATCCCAATACCAACCCCAACCCAACCAACTTGTGGCGAGCTGTGAAAAGGGGCTGGGTTTCCGTCTGTGCCAAAAGTTTTGACTGCGATTCAATAAACAAACGGTATTATTAAATAATGCTCTCTCAGAGTCATGAAGGCTAGGGGTCGGTTCGCCGATTTGTCTAATGCTGAAATAGGAATGCATGTGGATTAAGAAGAGGCCACCGGCGGCTAAGCACCTCACCTCCGAATTCGGCACAACTCTTAAAACTCTGCGACGCTGACGCTCCAAGTTGAGCGAAGCTCGTAGGTGTTTTAATGAATGTTGCCAGGATACAGGTGCCAGGCGAAGCCATTTTGTTATTTTTATTTGCTTTGACAGTCAGTACTTGAACACACAAAGGTGAACGCTGCGGAATCGCATAGAGTCCAGCGTGATTTTACCGTAATTATAGCAAGGGTCTCGAATGCGAAGTGACTGCGATGAAAAGACAATATAACTGATCGGAAATTATTCAAAGCCCGATACGCAATGAGGAAGCCTTTTGTGAACTTCAACTTCAACTTTTCCCCAGGCTGTGAGTGCCCAGGGACCCTCACTTATGTGTATGTTTATCGGTATGGCGCCGCTTGCCACACGCTCGTAGCCATCATTATTTATTGTGTAAAACAAAACATACTGTCGGTGGTCCTCCAAAGTTTAGGTGAGATTCCTAAATAGTTTGTGCGACAATACAAATTCACTCACAAAAATGATTATACACACATGAACATATATTCAATACCCTATAGCAGCGATCCCATGCACTGATCTTAAATTGGCAATGATCAGTAGAACAGTAGAACTGCCTGAATCCGATAAATCGGATTGTATTGCATCAAAAGTGTACAGAAATAAACACAATTCGTACTAATCGTAATTAATTTTTGATTGGCAATTTGACCTATTTTATAAGCATGCTTGAAAAACTGATTTTTTTACAGACCAATCAAATCCAGCCGAAAGTAAATTCCACTAAATTGTAATTTGATTTGCTGGTCACTTGCGTGGATTGCGTGAATATGTTAATAAAGGTATGAACGAAGGTTGGGAATAATTAAGTATTTCAATATTCCTACAAATGGTGGTGTAGTTGAGGTTGGGCCGGACCTTGCATGCAAATAAAACCTCAACAAGTCAAACCGGAAACCCAAACATTTCGTTCAGTTTGCTTTGTTTTACAAATATACGAGTATAACAAATATACACAAGCTCGCATGAATGCACAAGTAGGCTTAGAAAAACTCTCAGTTCTGTCCCTTACGAGCTGGCCACCACCTTATACCATGAGTATAACACACTGAAGATTCATACCACATTTCTACCTGTGGTATAAATTAATGGAAAGTCCAGTCGCGTGTTTTGACCGGGGTTCGTTACCATGGTAGTATACTTAAAGGTGAAAAATAGAGAGAGGTCATTTTATGAATATATATGCAAATAATATTAGGGTGTCCAAAGGATTTCTCCGAAAATACATTTTACCAGCAAACGCAATGGATTCACCGATATAATTTGTAAGCATACATATGTACATACAGGTATGTACATATTTGTGTAAACTTATGACTAGGACTCTTGGGCTAAATCACTCTGACATTGTCGAGCAATGATTTTATACGGCTACCGACAACTTTCCAGAAATAGCCTCCCTTCCGTAAGAGCTACCCGCATGCAAATCAAATTGAAAGGCCTTAGACGTGGTCAAGCGTTCAAGCCCAACGGTAGCGCGCGCATTTCGGAATTTTCCGTGGAACTAAATAGGGCGCGTCACATCTTTAACTTGTAAACCTAATACCTACCAAGCTATTTTGTTATTCTTACCATTGTAATTGTTAAAGAATTAAATAAATTCTGATATAAAGCGTGAAAAAGTGAAAGTGTGACATCAAGTGAACAAACTTGTCTATCTTCTTGTCTCTTAAGAAATGCTCTATACTATAATATAGGGCGAAACAAATTTCAGGCTGTCTGGGCCATATTTTCGCCAGATTAATTATGTTAGAGCATCACGGCTGAAGTCACTTAACGAACCATTTTTCCAGCATTATGTACATACAACATACATACAACCTCCAACTTTTATATACAAATGAGAATATGTAGATATACTTACTTATGTACATTATATTCTAATAAGAAACTATTTTTCAGTTCGTCTATGTTTATCTTTCCAAGTCTATCGAGTGATTTCAATATGCTCACTATGCTCAATTTACTTGACGTGGACAAATATGATTCTGGAATTCGTATTTATGACCACTTTATTAACATATAAAATTGATTCAAACGATTATATTTCAATGCTTAAGGACATCCCAACATTATCGAGGTAATTTAAATTGACTTGCTTTTTTATTTTTAGTTGTCTGCTTTTATTTTGTAAAAATGAAAAAAAGTCATAACGAAATCTCAAAGAAAGCTTTAATATAATCGTACTTTAATGGTGGCGTTTCCCCTCTAATGTGTCGGCATTAATGGATGTTTGACGTGTTCGATTCAATGGTAAATGAGCTCCTTTTCCTTGTCTGTATTTGGTTTGGCCGACATAGACGCAAGGTCAGAAATAATCAATCATCATCATCTGAAATACCTGTAGGTCAAAAAGGTTATATAAAGTACATTTTTGTAATTTAAGGCTTCATCAAATATTTGTAGATAATTTGGAGAATCCATTTATTTTGGCCTTATGCAGAGGAATGGACGTAAGTACATGTAAGTACATATGTATGTACAGACGGATGTGCATATTTATGAAATGCTACCAAAAAACATGGAAAGTGTGTCACCCACGTGAGCCCTCTACCTAAATCGCCATTTTCTGAGCAGATACTCTTTCACTGCAAACTTAAAAGCTTCTATGCACGTGGATTTTTATACAAGTATGAGGAATGAGTTCAACATCTGCTTGGTACGAGTATATGTACTTGTCTGGGTTTTGGCTTGGGATTTTGAAACTCGTTTAGGTTGCCGCCCGCATTGTGCTTATTTTTCCTATGTGTAACTATGTATGTATATTTGTATGTATGTAAAAATATCCTGCAAACAGCGGACAACGGCACTGTAAGTATTTTCACTTACCTTACCCACAAAAGCCGCAACTGCTACCAAATTCATTAGATGCAGGTCACAAGATAAATTGCACAGAATACAATTACATATACTGAACAAGCTGAAAACATGATTCAATTACTCCCATTTCATGTGAACAATTTAACCAGTCGACTTTATAAATTAAACTGTCCTGGGGAAGTAAAGTTCCGCGGCAACTTCAAATAGGGTGACGGGAAGAATAAGCAAAGGACATAAATATGTAAATATGTAAAGAACATACATATATAATAGTAAGGTTGCTTCGGGAAAGCTCAGCGATCATTGGTAAAATAAAGAAGTTTTTTTTGGAATTCATAGTGCTCGATGATTGTTAAACTTAAAAAAAAAACATGAAACCCAAATCTTTACTCAGCTAGGTTTAAGTGAACTATTTAAATATTGTTATATTTGGTTTACTTTACTGACAAACTTAATGAAACGGGATATAAATTTACAGAAGTTAGATTTTTAATATTTTAATACCTAAATAGGAGTGAATATTTCTATTGTACACACAACAATCGGAAAACACGGATAACATACATATTTACAAATCTATACTATAAATTTGTAGAAAAAAATCTGTGTATAAGCGGCTATCTCCGCATCGCATGCACCAAATTGCATTTTTATTGATAGCCAGAGAACGTGGCATGGTTTGCACAATCATATTTGTACTTTTCTATGAATAGGTTCTTCAAGACTCAAAAATTAATCAAAAAAATCTTTAATTTGGTCCAAATGTGTGTATTTGAACGCCTATTTCATTTCATTTCATTTCTCCGCAACGCGTGCACCAAATTGCATAATAGCCAGAGTATGTGGCATTGTTTCTATGAATAAGTTTTTTAATTCCTAAACATTAAATGCATTTAGAAAGCAGTGAAGCGAATTTTGCTATTGTGTTTATATATTTACTTAACATAGGTTATAACAATTTACTTATATATGTATATAAATAACAACAAAGACAGAAGCTCATAAGATATTATGCGTTTATCAATTCACGTTGTCGTCATAGAGCCTTCTACGGATAAAACCATTAATATAAATAAAAATCAGGAAGGAGAAGAGGTGGGAGAAAACAAAAATCGAAATACTTAATAAAGTGGACATATACATAGAAGCTGTTATTATGTATACCCCTCTACAAGGATATCAAATTCTTTAAAATCATTAAAAAATTGCACACGGATAAAATCGCGTCGGGACTCGACCATTTCAACCTTTCGACGCATTGGCGTTAGACACAAAATTCAGTTACGTATATTAAAGTTATTGGATTGTATAGACTCTTATAAGTTGGTGTCGTACACCAATATACTACTTAAATATATTACAAGTTGCAAATTTGTTTTCCAATGGACCAAAGAATCACGAACAGTTAGATTAATTACGGACTTGCTTGTCTACACCAAAAGTTCTCAGGCTTGTTCTTTTTAGGTTCAACACACATACATATGTATGCACATACTTCAATATATGGATGTTCCTTGCAGTTTTTGTTTTTGTAATCGGCGGAAAATCAAGTTTCCTACAAAATAAAAGTGTGGAGAGAAAGATATGTGTACATAAGTCGCAGCTCTCTCAAAAGTCTGCAAAACCGGCTTTCCGCTCTCTCGCGTATGTTCTCACGACAGCCTCTCCAGCGATCCGCTGCGTCTTTACGGACGATTGGCGGCCAGGGCCAGAAACTTTTCAACGGTGGCGCGCAATACAACTAATTCGGAAAAATTATGGCACGCGGAACAGTGTTAGCTGAAGTTTAACTTAGACAGAAAACTGTTTGCTGTTTCTATTTTCAATTGGAGGAAATTCTATTGATTTATATGTGTTTCCTTTAAAACCGGTGTAGTGAACCAGTAAAACTCATGCCTACATAACGTTTAAAAATGTGAGAGCTTCAACGGAGACACAAGTATACTATGCTGAAAAAAAATTTGGCTAATATGTATGTGTAGCTAGTTTTTAAAAGGCTTGCACAACTGTTACTAAAAACAATTGTTTAAGAAATGAACAGTGAGTGTGACAGGATGAAAACGAATGCTTTGAAACTGCTCTGCGATAAATAAATACGGAAGAGTTGGCTTTCAGTTTAATCGGGTGAGCTTGTCTTTGAAAAAAAAAGACAATCGCTTAATTATAAACGATTAAAAAATCAGTGAAGTGTAATAATTATTGTTTGGTAACAATTCAAAACTTAAAATGTTATCTAAATGTTGCGATGGATAACACACGTTGCAGCTGTTCTTAAACATTCAACAGGTATATATAACATACATATGTATATTATGTACAAATGTACAGCATAATATTCTTCTATAACAACAAAGAGCATTTTCTTATCGTTCTCAAATTCTCTGTTGTTTTTTGTTTGTTATTTTTGTGGGTGCCAGAACTGGTGATTTCTCTATTTCTATCGCACTTTAAAGTTTAAACACCCCGTATTCGGTATTTAGCGTAAATAACAAACAGCTAAAGATCGAACGCTTCTTAATTATTGGCTAAGATTGCTGCTAGACATGTGACATAACTATATGTAGTATTAATCATTACTTACGCAATTTCATGCGTTCTTCCTAACTGTTAAAAATTGGTAAGGACACTGTTCCACATTAAATTTGTACCCAAGTTTGTCGAGCTCGAATTAAAAAAATGTAGTCGAATTCTCATCCCTTATTTTACTCAGAATATTTTATTGCAAATATTCCTTCTATCTATTTATTGTCCTTTTTTTTAATTAACCAAACAACATTAAGTGGGAAAGATTTGAGCCCCGAAGCTAGCCTTTTTTATTTGTTTGATCTCATCCGGAAACTTCTCCTGCTGTTTTGTAGTAAGTGAGGTCTCTTATGCATACATCCTTTAAAAAAAGGATGGAAAAGTTGTTATTTATTAGTGCAGATAGATCTCAATTGGTTAATCGATTAAATAAAATCTCGAAAAAGCATGATAATCAGAGTCGTCAGTGTGTGTTTATACCTACACATGTACAATGTACGAAGCTACCGGCAAGCGTGATGCCAAAACAAGATTTACTTGCGCGTTTAAATGGATACTCGTACGAATGTACATGTATACATACATACAAATGTAAGTACTACAGCCGCGCTTATGAGTTTGAAAATAAAGTATGTAAAAACACCACGAAATCGACCTTGTCTGACCCACTTAACTTTGAGCTGCGGCAAAAATGACAGCTTTGCGGCACTATTTATTTTCAGTATTTATTCTGGCGCCTCGTGCGTGTTGTATGTTTCGAAAATATGTATATTTGCTTTACTGTCTTCATTTGTAGCTTAATAGGCTACGGTGCTACTACATAAATGGAAGGTGAAACGCGAAAAAAGGGATATAAATTACCGAGAGTAGTTCAACAACCGATCACACAGTTGCCCGTTTCTAGCGGATCAAAAATCTATGAAACTAAAGTATAGTGAACGTATTTTAATAGACTTGGAGAGATGCGAAATTCCTAGAGAGCTTAAAGCCATTTTGCACATAGAAACGCACTCAGAAGAGTGCTGTCGTAGTCTTTTTATTTTAATGAAGCAGCAAAGTCCACTGCGTCGGAACACACATAATGAAAACTCGTTTTAAACTGACTGTTGCTATTGCTCAACAATCTCTAGCCATTAATGTGTCACTCAACTGTATCTTAAAATACAACTTAGAGACTTCGCCGATTTCAGCGACAGCAACTACCCCGTGCATAATGAAGAACAAATCCTGTGCGAAGGCCCATGCTCGTAAAGACATTTATTTATGCTTGACGCCCACAATATCCCTGCTCTTAGATTCAAGGCTCAGCATACCATTTTCTTACCATGAGATGCAAAGAGTGAAATTTAACGATATTAAACCGATATTTTAGACCCAGTTAAGTCACAGTCTGGTACTCTGGCCCTAGACCATGCATATGTATTGCATACCCAAGTCGATATAGCCATACCCACCAAACAACAAACCAAGCCAATTTTTATAATTTATATCCCACTGTTTTTTAATTAAACATGTAAATGACTATATCCTGCTACTCGCAAAGAAACGATAGGTCTGCAAGAGTATTTAAAATACAGTAGCAGCAATGATTATACCGGAGTCAGCAGGGTAATTCATCGAATGAAGTCCAGTCTTCGTGGCCTCAACCTGGAGACCAAACTTAGCAAGATAGTGTTCTTCATAGACGTTCTATTGTGAGCTTACACTGTTCTTTGATTTACTTTACTGTCTTTTGCCCTGTAGGTGCGTTGTAAATTACTGCAAAAAAGACAACAAAGAAAACGCTGATAGCCGCTTGGAATTCTTTTAAAGAAAGACATTTTTTTTCCTCAGCTTTGATTATAATGAGAAAACCTGTGAGAAAATTCTTACATCTTACTTATTTATGTACATGCATTTGAATTTTTTGCAGTCGCAAAATTATATTTACCATATTATTCTCGAGTCTATTCATATTGGTTTGTTTCTACTGTCCTTTTAAATACACACCCATACACAAATGCCCTTTGCTGCGTTTATAGGGTTGTATGTTCGTAGTCGTCTCTAGACACGTCTTTGGCTTTCAGTTGAATAACTGAGGCACTAATTGAGTCAAAAAGATGTTTTCCAGCTGGCCACCAAGCCATCGACTTTTTCTGCTGCCATAACGCTGTCTCTATTTTTCCAGCTAGTCAGTTAGCAAAGTTAGCAAAGCTAATGTCATATGGCTATAAGGAAATTAATCGGTATCCCGAAGTGACCCTTTAAGTTCGAGGATCAGTAAATCCATCTGTTTAATACAGACTTTTTGTTAGACTGCGAGCAAGCCCCTCCTAATCATTTATCTAAAAGAACGTTTGGTTGGAATACATAATATATCCAACAACAACTTCAACAGCTTTGTCAACCACTTCATATTTGCACACATACATATGTACATACATACATATGTATGTATGCATTTGTCTGTATGTACTTCTCTGCGTTACAAATTCTTACTAATTTTATAATAACCTCTCAATAACCTACATAGTATCAAGATTTTGTTGACACGTTATCAAAATGCATCCGGATCAGATCTAATCGAAAGAATAGGTAGCTTTCTTATCCCATACCCTAGAGATAGATATTATTATAAGTAGCTGCCATATTTAATATCGGTCTGCTTGCGTCCATCAAATATTTATATAATTATTTTTATGCTGCACCAAATAAGATCAAAATCACATTAGCTTAGCATTTACTTTTTAGCCCTAAAAAACTATCCTAGGTATGGATCTTTCCAGCATGTGTATATATTTATGTATACCTACTAATAACATTAAAAATAGTACAATAGTACAATTGTAAAATTTTCAGTTAATTTCCCTGCAGGTTTCAAGTTAATTCACTTAGATATGCGGTTTGTATGCAATAATATTGCATGTTTATTTAACCTACCTAGCTAGGCGCACCCAAAAACACGCCCGCAGCTGCGACAGTAAAGGCTACATATATATGCAGATGCACATATGTACATATATATCCAAGCATACATATATGTATATGCACACGTATACATTTATGCTTGTAGGTACTCTGAAAAAATTGACTACAGACTACAGACACACAGATAGACTGAACTACAAACTAAGTTAAGAGACGGTCGGCGAAGGGGGTGAACGGGCAACCAAGCCAAGTACCAGACCCAGACCCAGCCCAGTCCCAGCCCCAGCCCCATTAAGACAAAACAGGAAAGGATAGACGGGCTTCAAGCATGGTGAAGGACGGTCGAAAACGAACGAATCACCAGCAAAAAAAAAGTGATTACGAGTCTGCGATGCTGGCTGGCTAGGCTTTTTGCTGTCTGGCAGCGAGGTCTATTGTCGTAAGCAGATTAGTTTGCCATCAGGTTCAACTTTATTTGCAACACAAATTTTCATTCTACTAGTATGTACTTTTGTGCAGCCGGAACGCAGTCACAGCCTGTTGCAGGCAGCCAAACCCGTATTCAAAAAAAGACAAAACATCCACAGCTCACGAATCTGCGTGCTAGGAGCAGCCATATCCCAACAAAAGCAAGCCAAAAAAAAAAAATGAACAACGCCCAAAATCTTGTTTTGGTCTCGAGTGGACTCACGAACTGCAGCGCGCCTGAAACGGAGTTGCAACGGAGTGCAGACTAGACTATGACTAAGATCAAAATTGGTTTAGGGTCGAAGTTTATTTACCCTTTAGCAAGGGCAATTTATCTCAAAATTCAATAAATATCATATCCGCTTTTGTGTGATTCAAAAATATGCTTCTACAATTTGTACTGCAACTGTTTGCTTAATAAATCTATTAATTGTTGTCCAATCCTTGAGGTTCAAAACAGTTTGTGAAAGATGGATCAATTCTAAATTTACTACGAGTATATAGACTGCAAAGAAACAGTGGAAGGCGGTGGGGTTGCTTATTTGCCGAGTGGTTGACTGGCTAGATTGTCCCAGAAGTTGGGACAAAAAAACTGTCAGACTTCCGCGCAAGCCGACCCATGCACACACTCCTATGTATATGTGTTAAGAGAAATTCGGTCCAATGGCACAAATATTGTGTGTTGTGTTTTACAATTGTTGCGCAATATGAGAGCTGAACCAGTGAATGCGAATCGCGGCGCTCCACGGAGACGGGCCAGACGGGATTGGGGACTGGGGACTGGCTTTTGACTTGACTTGAAAATGAATGCATTACCGGGTATATATGTATGTATGTACTCATATAGTTGTATACTTGTACCCCCACTGTACACATACAGATTCGATATATATCCGAAGCCTTTCTAAGCTAAATGCGGGCAAAGGCAAACCGAACATATTGCAACACACTGCGACCAAAAGCGAGGGTGTCGGGTAGCCAGAGCGCGCTTGCCTCGCCTCAGCTCTGTTAATCCGGTCTGTATGAGATTCGACTGACATAACTGGTCATTGGCTTGTAACTGCAGCTAAGGACTCGGCGATGCCACTTAGATGCAGCTGCATAAACTGGAAATTGGCAAATACAGCTAGCACGAACAACAGACGATCGCTTGGACGGGACGATGCATAAAAACCGGATTGGCAATAGCTCACCAGAGTGGCTTACAAAAAGTCTCGGCTTGCAATTTAAGCAGCATCAGGCCAAGACAAAAAGGAGTTGCACTCTCTGTCTCTTGGCTCTAATTACATCGAGAACTTTCGTGAGCGCTAAGGGCCTACAACTTAAGTTGATTTCTCATTAATAGTTGATTTCAAGATTTAGTCAATGATTCCTGCCTGTAAATCTGCTTTCCCAACACTCTTCAGAGTTTAAGATTTGATTATTAAGATTATGCCGACTATGACAATTCGAAAATCAAGTTATCCTTAGGGTTCCAAAAATGTTCAGACAAGGCCAATTTAATACATACAATTTGTGGGAAAAGGGCAGCATCTCTGAATAGGCAATGTATGTTATTTCTTAAGCAAACTAGCAATGCAATTCATTCTAGATAAAATACGTCCAGAACGTTCAGAAATACCACAAAAGAAAACGGCATGATAACAAGAACGACGTGATGATATACTCTTACGAGTATATTCGTACTCGGCAATTCCAGTACTCCAGAGCTCTGACCCTTTTAAACTTGTTAGTCTCAATTTATATACCCTTGCAGAGGGTATTAATACTAGTATTTTACGAGCAGGTAAGAGTCTCGATGGAAGAAATCCAGCGGTGTAGATATAGTAAGTTCTTGAAGTTTAAAACAAAACCTGCACACAAAATACGATTCGGTTACTCTATAACCACTCTATATCAGTGGTCGCCACGCATGCATTCATATGCTTTGTATTGCATTTTGTGCGTTGTGTGCGTAGACAGCAGACAAAATGGAAAGGACGACGGTATTATATTGGTACCGACTATTCTTATTCTCTGAGCATGTAGCGGCAGCACAGCAGCCGAACATTTTCCTATGCCGTGCAGGGCCGTGCGAACCAATAGATCCTAAAGTCTCCGGCTTTTACATACACCTTTCCCTATACCTACGGAAGACGTTTTTCTTGATTTAAAAAAAGTTTGAATCGATTTGTAAATCTACGCAAAAAATAATAAAGATAATTATGCGATGCAAATCGGATAGTAGAAAATAGCACTCCGAGGTATTTATTATTTTTGTGACTAGAGATTGGTAAAATTTTAAGCTAACTTGATTTTCGTATCCATCAGATAAGTGTGTTAGTGTTTACCTGGTTATAATAATTTTAAAGATCAGCTGGTGGGAGCTTTGTTGAGTTTATTTATGAGTCCGCAAATTGGCACGGACGTACATATATTTAAAATCGTAGATCGACTAGAAAAGAGCGTGGGAAAAGTTTGAAGAAAATTTAGTCTAATAGATTTAACAAAAGTAGGCAACAAAATTTGGTTGCTCTACATCTTGTAATCTACACCTATTTCACAATAATCATATATATAGGGATATATTTCAACAATTTTCACCTTATCTTAAAATATAGTTTTCTTATAGTCTTCTGGTCCGAGTCGGACCAGCTCGGACCTCTTTACCATAGCATACCATACTCTAAAATTGGAACGTGAGATAGCTATTTTTGCGTAGCTACTTTTTGATTTCAGAATCAACCTTACAAATAATATAAATACTGATTTTTACATTACAGAAATGGCTTCCAACAGTAGCAGTCAATCAGAAGAGAACAAAGCCCGCGTCCCGCTACGCCACATGGTAAAGGAACAGATCAGTAGAACTTCGAATGCGGGACCGATACTCCAAAAGGAATGCTACTACTACACCCCAACTACCTCCCAGCAACATCAACAGATTCAACAAGGCTGGCAATCGCTTTTGGCTTTTTTTGGGCCCTGGCTGAGTGCAATGACCGCATATCGATTGCTGACAATCAGCCTTCTAATTGGTATTCTATGTCCACATCACATTCACGGCGTGGATCCCAAATTCGATCCTTCGACGCGCATGCGACTGGTACTGGTACCGGCAGACGCACAAGTAAATTCAGTTATCTACCGATTGCGTGCAACTGACGAGGAGTTCGACTATCCATTGACCTTTGAATTTGTGGGTGATGCATTTTCGTCCACCGTCAAAGTGGACTCGCTTCCATGCACCAAGTACAATTCGGTTTGCCAAGCAAACATCGTGCTTCAGCGTCGCTTGGAGCCTGGGCGCTATTACGACTTCCAGGTTTCAGTGAAGGACTCAAAAGGTGGCATGGCCACTCAATTGTGCTCAATTACAGCAACCAATTTTACCACACCTCATGACCTCATATTTCCACACAAGCCCGGAATTATAATGATACCTGAGGTGAGAATATTGCTAATATGTTATTTCATAGCTTTAATCAAAACGGGTCAAATGTCAAGTAGAAGTAATATCCCTCAAGATGTTTTTTAATCGTGATACCAGATTAATTTAAATCGAAATTTTAATCATTTCTTATCAATTTTCAAAAGAGAGACCTACTAAACATGTCCGTCCAAACTTTCAGTTCCGTTTCCAGCTAAACGTCTAGCTCGAGCTAGACTCATAAATCAGAATAAGCCAGAGTGCAGATAGCGCATACGAATTCAGTATATAAAGTTTGTATGTACAGTCATGTGATTAATAACACTACTCGACAAAATCGAACTTTTTTTTTCCTCAAGGATCCAAACCGACTTTTTCTGATAGATATGGGGCTTTAAAATTTTTTAAAGAATTATGGTTTTTTTCTATGGCAGAACTTTTTTTTGAAGAATTTTTGAAGTCTGGTATTTTTTTGTAAAGCTTTTTTCAGAGGTAGCGCTTGTTTTTTTCACATAACTCTAGTATCTTACGTCTGGTTGTAAAGAACTTTGCTATTTTGAAAAGATAATTAAAACAGCTAGAAGTTAAGCCCAAACACTTTGTGATTACAGCTTACCGTCTGGGAAATATAAAGCATTGAAATGCAAAAATGATGATTTTTGGGCGGTATTTTTTACGAAATTTTGACTTTAAAAACTCAGGAAAATTCGAAAAAAAATTATATCCTGTGTCCTCTATTTTTTTGTGTATAGGTGCATTAATTTATTAATATATCGCTCATTAAAATCTATGGAGAGACTTTGGAGCTAAAATTCGTTAACCAAACCTAAAATATGGAAAAAATGAACAAAAAATACCTTTTCGTGGCCCAATCCCAGGGAATTGGGATCGCGATCAGGTACCAAATGTACAACCCTTTTCCGTTTGCTTTGTTCCCAATTGGCAGTTGGGCCCGCCAACCATCGAAAAGGTATTTTTTGTTCATTTTTTTCATTTTTTAAAAAAATATATCATCAAACCATTTCTAAGCCCCAAATCTTTAATAAAAAGTTGGTTTTGTTCCTTGAGGAAAAATCGTGTTGACCAGTGTTATTTAAATGGGTCTTGCCTCACGAATCTCATCACATTTTTCTCCAGAATTCGGAATATTTTTGATTTTTTTTCCCGTGTTTCCTCTTAAATAGTATGTTTTATTGCATTATCATTACTTTCCTTGGAAAACGTCAATGTTTCGGCAAATATTCCGGTACGAAAATCCATTTTTGTGGACTTTTTCATGTCCATGGGTATCTGGGTACTTTTAAGCACGTCCCTTCCCATCCCTAATATCTAAACTTTGTTTTATGGATGTTTTTATATCTAAAATTACAAAAACTAATTACAATCAATAGTTTAAGACCAAACACCACTTGGAAACATGCTGTTTTTACGAAATATAACATGTTTTGTTTCGGTGTCCCTATTATTTCGCACAGCCAAAAGTCGATGACGTATACAATTTTTTTCAAATTTTTAATTTAATGTTTGGGGGTGCTACCACGAAAAGAAAATACACTTTTTTGGTGAAAATCAAGAAGTTCAGCAGAGGGTGATATGTACATATATTTACTTAAGTAGTTCGAAAAAACTTATGCAGGTTTTTTACTGCTAATAATAAAAATGAAAACATGTAAATTACTATTAAATCCAAGGTAACAAAACTATGGGGTGTCCCGTTTGAATTTCGAAAAAACAAATTTTTGGCCTAGCCTTATGTATATATAATATGTATGCATATGTACATATGTATGTATGTATGAACACATAAACTTTATTGTCTGTCCGTTTGTCACAAAAATAGAAACTTCCAAATATATAATTATGCGATCCCATAATTACGAGTGGTTGTTACGGCCAGAAGAAAGAAGAAATGGATCATTGAGTTATGTTTTCTTAAGTTTTAGTTTTATACCTACTGACTTCTTAAACATTTTAATTGATACATAAAGTAGTTAGTTTCATACTCGTTTCAAATGACAGACATTTTTGCTATTTTTTAAGGATTCAAAACGCGGCACGGAATTAAATTACGTAATTGCGCGAAAGAATCCGCTATTTCAAAAACCAGTCTACCTCGAGTTATGGGTAAGTTTATGGTTAATGCCGCACTTAACAGGCATTCTGAGCTTTTTTTCCTCCCAACAGGGTTCTCCGCTTTTTGCGATAAGACAAAAAATTGTATCATCCGAGACGACAGAAGGTACAGTTTTTCTTTTGGGTCCATTGGACTTCGAAAAGCAAGCCATGTACCATCTAACGATACTTGCCAATGTGAGTATAAGCCAAATTGATTCGCGCCTGTCTGTTTATCACTACCTTCGTATAGGATGCGTACGCTGAGCCTGGCCAGGATAGTCGCAATATAGCTGGCATGGAAATTGTAGTTATCGTCCAGGATGTTCAAGATCAGCCTCCTGTTTTCACTTCGGCGCCGCCAGTTACCAAATTGCCCACTGGCATTCTCCCAGGCGATAAGGTACATTTTTGAGTTCCACTATTCAGCTATATAGTTACGATTATTTGATTTCATTAAACTGAAGATATTGCAAGTACATGCGGAGGATGGCGACAAAGGAAACCCAAGAGAGATTCGATTTGGATTGGTCTCAGAAAACAACCCATTTACATCGTTTTTTGACATCAACGATACAAGCGGTATATATCCCCAGTACATATTTTCTTATAAATATTTATTATTATTATGTTTTAACTTTAAAAAATTTGATTTTGGTTGGGCTAAAATAAAATGATAAAACACAAAAGAAAAATTCGAAAGTTTCGAGTAAAGAAAACGGGTAGTTATCGCTGGTAAAAATATACAGATTGTAGCTTTGCATAGATAGACTAGCTCTGTAAATTATCCTCCGGATATCGTTTTCTATAAAAATAGTCTGAGGAACTAAAAAACATTTTCTGTGCGACAGACGAAGAACATAGGGCACAAGTAACGCAAGCAAAATAAATTGGACAAAAATCCAAAACCACAACAATGATTCTGTTCAAGCAAAAAAATAGCAGCAGCGCAACATCAGGCAACCGATATTAACATAACTACTGGCGAACGGCAACCCGCTTTGTAGTTAGACTCGTTAGATTGCAAAAACCATCTTCACCTCTTCTCTCTTTGGCTCACCAATACCAACTTGTCCCGACCACAGCAGTAATACCCGTTCGTTCGTGGCGGCCAAGTTCTTTGCCGCAATTCTACCCGCCTCTTCATTTCCCGCAACCATAACCCATCAATGGATCCACTGCAGTGAGACTTCCTTGTTTCGTGCAAGTCCCGTCCCTTACTGTCCCGTCCCGTCCCGTCTTGACTCAAATCGTCTCTACTTCCCAGTAGCAGTTTGATGGCTTTTGCTCTGACGCCGCATTCGGAATGCCACAGCAGGCTCTTGAATATAATGGCCAGCCGTCTACCTCATCACCTTCTCGTCATCGATGTGCATGTGTGCCCATACCATCTCCATTGCAATGGGAAGCATATTTTCAAACTGTCGTTTGTGGCTGACCCTTCCATGAAGATCTTCAGTATACTTATTTATTTCAAAGTAAATATATTTCCAATAACACATCTACATATATCTGGTAATAAACTATAGGATATAGGTAGTTATATGATTATAACTTAGCGCAGACCCAGACCCTTTTGTCAGTCTTTATCAGAACAACTTTATTTCTCGAAACAGAAAGTGTTCAGTAATACGAGTATAGTATTACAACATTCAGACCTTAAACTATCAATTCCTTCTTCTTCTTCTTTTGAAAATATGGTATATAGGCTGATATTTTTTATAGCTTTAACTTTTTTCTTTTTAAGGTGAAATATTTTTAATGCGACCACTTGAAGATATTGCCTTTATAACGCATGTGGGTGATCCTGTACTGCTTACGGTAATTGCGGAAGAAGTTAAGGTTGGTCGGGACGAGCCGCCAGCATTGGCATCTACTGTTCAATTGGCGTTCTTTCTGCCAGATCGTACCAATTCACCTCCATACTTCGAAAACGATCAGTAAGTATTATCCTCCGGACTTTCCACCCTTTTATCTCCTTGACTCTTACTCCATCTATACCTCTATCGCTATTTCTTTGCTGCAGCTACGTAGCGAGGGTAGACGAAAATGCACCGCAAGGCACAGCATTAATATTCGTTGACCCATATGTACCGCGCATCTATGACGACGATACTGGAAAGAATGGAGTTTTCTCGCTGACATTGCTAAACAATAATGGAACATTTGAGATTACACCAAATGTAGCAGAGCGCAGTGCATCATTTCTAGTGCGCGTGCGAGACAATACGCTGTTGGACTACGAGATGCGACACTCGGTGCAGTTTCAGGTGCTGGCCCAGGAAGTGGGTCCAGCTACGAATCTCACGGCCATTGTGAACGTCACCGTCTACATCAATGACGTTAACGATAATGCACCAGTATTCGACCAGCCCTCCTATACAGTGGAGCTTCCCGAGAATATGACAGTGGGAACTAAGGTGGTGCAAGTGCATGCCACTGACTTAGACTCGGGATTGGGTGGCAAAGTGCGATATACTGCCATTCTGGGTTACCTTAATACATCTGTTAACCTCGATGCAGAAAGTGGATTAATCACTGTATCGACGAATAATCATGGCTATGATCGCGAGGTAATGCCGGAATATCACCTGTACGTAGAGGCTCGGGACATGGACGGTGAAGGTAATCGAGCACAAGTGCCTTTAATCATCAAGCTAATAGATGTAAACGATGAGACGCCGATATTTGACAAGGATCTATATGAGTTCATTTTGACACCGAATCTCTTGAGCTTCACTACCACGGCCGTAGTACATGCGGAAGACAAAGACGCTACGGCGCCCAACAACGAAGTACGGTACGAACTGATCAGTGGCAACTATGAAAACAAATTTAAATTGGACAAGGTCACCGGGGAATTGACAGTTCAGGAAAAGATTCAATTGCGGTCCATGACGGATGCCAGTGAACGAAGACATCGGGATCCAAGTACATCTCCATCCAGCTCTGCCGATGACAACGAAATGTTTATTCTAACTGCTCGTGCTTACGACCTGGGAGTGCCTGTGCGGTTCTCGACAACAACGATTCGCATTTACCCACCGGAGAGTCGGAAGCGCGTGGTGACTTTTGTGGTACCAGGTCACAACCCAGATAAGTCTAAAACTGAAGAGACGCTGTCTGCCATAACCGGCGGAAAGGTGTTAATTCACTCAATACGACCGCTGCGACCTGATGAGCCGGGTGCCAAAGACATACCCTTAAATAATCCAAGTATCAAGGAGCGTAGTGTCGTTACCGCAACAGTGCTGTATGGCAGCACGTCGGTAGTTGACATATCGGATATACAGCAGCGTCTATCCCAGCACAACAATTCCTATGCAATTATGCCGCAAGACACATTGCAGACAAACGTAAGTTTTTTAAATTGGTTGACTCAATGATTAGCCTACACTGCCTTAACAGAATCTAACACCACTGCAGACTCAATATAAGGCTGAAAACAAGGTGCTCTTCTGGCTGCTCATACTTCTGGCCACACTGGTTGCCTTTACCGTCCTCATCCTACTTCTTTGCTGCATATGCTCGTGGTGCCCTCTGTACGGTGCAGCAACGTAAGTAGCAAACTTGGAGACTTTACAACTCTATCTTATTGAATTATGCCATTTTGCATTAATATGTTGAAGTGTCAAGCAGTTAGTCTCGTGAGTAGACTAAACTTTAGTATATGTAAATGTATCTTTTCCTGCCGACTGACTCGTTAGTTCCACAATGGCCATCTAAGGCCACAGCTATTAAAGCTCTCATGCCTCAGTTTTATTTTAAGCAAATAAAATATAGCTATAAAATGTAAAGTCCCGTCCGACAATTATCTCCCCACGCAGGAAAAGACTATATGGAAAATTTTTAAGTGAGTAAGGCATCGATATAGATTGGATTTTAAGACGCTTGCACAGTCGGTCGGAATTGACCATCTATTATACCCGATGCTCACCTAATATGGGGATACATTTATTTTTTAATAGAAGACTAGAAAAATTTATAGAGCTCTTGGTGAATTGTTTGTTATCTTTAATGCCTAGGTGCAACGAATTCAAAGGGCTGTGAGATTTCCGTCTATTTACCTGCATTAGCAACTTTAACTGTTGTAGAAAGAATGAATCTTACGTTTTTTTGCGCCAAGTTAATTTTTATAAATAGACTAGGGGGCAAGCACCCTGCGCACTCGCTTCGCTCGTTTGCCAACCCCCAGCTCACTGACCAGGAAAACCATTTTTCGCAGTCAATCTTTCCATAAATGTTCAATGAGAGCATTTTGTGAATCAATCAACATTTTCTCCATCGCATATATCTTATAATTGATTTGCAAATGTTTCAGTAAATAACACTACTCGACAAAACTTTTTTTCCGAACCCAACCGACATCTTCTGATAGATTGGAAGATTTTAATTTTAATCTGTTTTTTTCTAAGACAGAACTTTTTTTTAAAGAAATTTTGAAAATGTTTCAAGCGGTAATATGTTCGGAGGATTGGTCAACCAATTTTAGCTCATCCGTTTCTCCATAGATATTAATGAACAATATTTTAAACGACGCCTAATTAGTGCACCTATTCAAAAAATATATAAGGTCATGGGACTTTTCCTGAATTTTTAAAGTAAAAAATTTGAAAAAATACCGCTTACAAAAATAATAATTTTTGCATTTGAAAGCTTAATATTTCCCAGACGGTAAGCTAAAACCACAAAATCTATTAGCTTTTGAGAATGGAAAAGCTAATTACGGCAAAGCTTATTTAAGTTATATGAAAAAAAGAAGCGCTACCTCCGAAAAAAGCATACAAAAATACATTTTTTTTAATTCTTTAAAAAAACGTTCTGCCATAGTTGTTTGGCTCGAAGCGGAAAAATGATGCCGGGAAGTGCTATCGGTGTGTGTCGGCGATGAACTCATGATTATTATTTCTTCTTAGAATCACAATTTCTTGCACGGTCGCCAACGCTTAACCCAGGACATGACAATAGCGTCATTGTCACTTTCAAATTTTTGCATGTATGATTGTAAGAATTTCATAGTTCATTGTTCTCAATGAGAGTATGGTAGCCGCAACGTACTTCTCACTATTGGCGAGTGCGTGTTCGTGGTCTGTACGATTTATGTCCTCATGAAGAATATTTGTAAAAATGTACTTATGTGCTTCGTTTGGCATTGGCAGCAATGAGCCCACTTGTGGTACACTGTCCTTTAATCTTAAATGTTGAATTGAATTGTTGACCATTTTCCGCAGTATTTTTTTCTATTTCTGTTGTTCCGAACGATGTCACTTTAAAGCATGAATTGAATGTACGAATGGCCTTCAAGATCAGGTTTGATTGTAGATCCATGCCGATGAGCAGACCGTTAAATAGTTCTGGCGGTGTCTCAATTTCAGGTAGTTGCACTTTTCCTAGAGCCCATGGCAATGTGGACCTTTTTTTTACATAGCACCAATCAGCACTTTCGATGGTTTGTACTCCAATGCGAGACGAAGAAACGAAGCGTCTCGCTTGTCTCAGTTCCAATTGTCTTTGTTGACTTTGTAATTTCGTACCTCTTATGATTGAGATTAACGCAATTGCGACATGCTAATTAAAAAAGTAACAAACGCACAGACAAATATTAGTATATGTCAATCAAAGCATTACTTGATCCAAAAACTCTAAAATCGCGATTAAAAGTTAATGGGCTGTGATATGAAGATGAAAATTACCTTACGACCTATTTGCAGAACTACTTTATATACAACAAAAGATTCGCTTTGCAAACGACCGGTCAAAATATTTTTTTTTATTCGATCAAACTTTGCAAAAATTAATGTTTAATAACTGACAATCTCCCAGGACTTTACTTAAAAGCTTCGGTTTCCGAAGCCTTCGTTTTTTGTTATAAATTATTTTAAGCGAAAAAAATAAGAAGCATTTATAATCATTATTTTTAAGTTCAATTTTTTTTTTTTAAAAATAATGATTATGTGTAATGTTTATTAAATTACTCAAAAATAATTATTTTCATTGAAGAAAACCGTAATAAATTCACATATAATTCACATGTAATTTTAAAAATATAACTCATAATGATTAATGATTATAATGATTATAAAAACAAATGTATTTACGTGGTACTCAAAGAGGGTAAGGTTATATTGCGGTAGTCAAAATGCATGTAACGGCCAGAAGGAAACGTTTCTGATATAATAAACTGTACTTATATATAGATTATGCAATAAATTTCCGATTCAATATAGCCATGTTCTTCTGTCCGTCCTAATGAGCCCAGCCCCGACCTCAGAGAAAATAAGAATAATGGGAAAACAGATAGAAAGCTACCGATAAAACTCCTTCAGATAGATGGATAGTCCAAGTGGTGGTAACAATTAAATGATCCGATTGTAATACAGTTTGACTTTCATATTTGGCTTTAAAGAAACTTGTAAAGGTACAGATTTTGAAGATTGGTTGGACAATTTATAAAAACCATACGATTTTGTCCACAATAATTTCGAACGAACGTTTCCTCGGCAGTTATGGTGATACATTAATTAATATATTTATTTATATTAGAAAATAATATATTACTCAACCAGAGACTATGTACTAAGTTCAACATGATTGTCTTAGATCAATTTTAAGAGAAAGTTTTTAATAATCAACATCAAAACAATTCTATGTATTATCTTTTATTTTTCTCTTGTAGCAAAAGAATAGTTAATATCAGTAGAGCTGAAGACGATGTGCATCTAGTGCATAGGGAAATGGCAAATGGAAAGCATACAAAATCTGTTCAGGTAGATTTTGATCTTTTTCGAATTCAATGGTAGTAGTTAACGTAAAGAAAACGCACTTACCCACGACAAAATGCAAACGCTCTCAATTTCAATTTCAATTTTTATATTTTTTTTATTTCAACTACGAGTACAAACAAAAGCTCGCTCCACAAAATCTGCATCTAATACATACGAGTGTAAATCATTCGAATTTATAGAAAGCATCAGTATTCAAATATGCACATGTATTATAGCACACCTACTCAAAATGACTATTGTGTGATTTGCAGGTCGCAGAGTGGATGGGAAGACGCGAGGCCTGGTCAGCGGAGAAGCCCCCGAATACCAGAACGAAACCTACCCGATGGGAGTTCCGCGACGGACGTGAACATCCTAGCGAAAATGTAGGGACATTTCAGGATGCCCGAGAGAAGCGTCATATACAATCAGCTGAGGAGCAACAGGGACGCATTAAGTATGCACATCGATCTTTAGCGAAATGTCATCACACATTAACGTGGTTTATTTTCATTTTATTTTTTTTAGAAAACAACGTACAGCCAAAGACGATCTTCATCTTAGTTTTCATAACTCTAGAACTAATCTTATTAATGACCGCGACATATACATGGAAGACTTAGTGGAAAATCGAGATATAGTGGATGACATTAGCCGTAACCGAGTAATTAAACAATTGGACTATGCGCAGAGACAGCGCTGTGAAACCGAAACCCACCAAATTGACGACGACTCTATGCGGAGACACGAAATAGATCGGGGTAGCGACATGGACTTTACCGCCGCCCAAAACAGTATGAAGGGCAAACGCGAACTGTTTATAAAAGAAGGAAACGTGGAAATTCTACAACTCATGACCAGAGATAAAATTCACGATGCTGCAGCGCTAGACGATGACAACATTTACGTAAACGTCCCACTAAAGCCCTTGGGAAACCTGTCACATCCACAACTGCTAATGGTGGACAATACGGGTAAAGAGATTCTTATGCGGAGATTTATTGAAGAGCAGCCAGATGGTAAGCAGATTATTCGCGAGCACTATCAAATAGTACCAGGGGCAACCTACATCCAATCCATGCCGAACGAAGTACAACAGGCCTCCACTTTAAAGGTTGATACCTATCCATTGGTAAAATCAGGGCCCAACAGTATTGTCTATTCTCAGATGGAACCTGAAGTAAAGGTCATACATACGCAGCCAGAGCAAGCTGTTGAAGCCACTTCAAAGTTGCGGCCTGCTATCTCGAATCACTCTCTTACCCAAGAGCTGGAACACTCTCTTAAGCAACAGAATTCGCTGCTGCGACAGATACTGCTCGAGAAGGACAAATTGGAGTCCGGCTATACGCAGGAAGTGGCACTAGAAACACAGAGTCTACCAGGTCAGTCGATGGCTATTGGCACGCAGACCGACTGTGATGCCGGAACGCAAACTGATACAGTTGAAAACCTTATCGGGCACACATCCGTCAGTTCACAAGCACATATGATATCGAAGTCGTCGCATCGTCGTGCTCGAAGTGAGAATGACGAATCCATGTCTGAAGATGGCTACGAATATGTGCGGTTTATTCCGCCAAACAGCCCTGAAGGTACGTTCTGGATCAAGCGTCGACGAACGAAGAAGCGTCGGAAACAGCCACGTAAAAGGATCGTAATGGTGGAAGAGGTGAAACGTAAAATCCGCACGCCCATTAAAGAGGAAGAAGAGCTACACGAGCGGAAGAGTCGAGTCCCACCAAAGAAACCGTTGCGGGAGACGAAGACAAGTATACTGCGGAAACAGCTAAGCGACGAAAGCCGCAAAGCTGAGGCCAATTCCAATGGAGAATCGAGGGCAGGCGGACATCTCAAGTCAGATGTACGAATAGAAGTAACCGACTCATTCGACGATAATACAAGTCCCAGAAACCACAGCACAAGAAAAATTCTAGTTGATAAATATTACAAACATTCCGATGGCGAAGGGGAATTCGACGATGGCGACGATACAGAGTATTCTTTTGACTCAGATGGAGATGAAATCGTAATCAGAACAAACGATAAGTATGTCATGGAACCAAAAGAGAAGCGAAACTTTGCATTTTCTCCAGAAAATATGGGACACATAAAGCAGAAAAAGTATTCCCAAACACAGTCACTAGTGGAGACAGTCCAAGAGGCGCAACCAAACTCAATTCCGAGATTATCAAGACGAGACAGCCGGACGCGGGACGACAATCCCAGAAGGCAAGCCTCATCGGAGCCACCCCACCACCGACTATCCATTTCCAAGTTCGATTCGATAGCTATTGAAGACGAAAATACAAACCCCGAAACAACATCATTGAATGATCGAAACTATCAAAGTGAAACTGAGTTAGGAAATCTTGAGGGTTCACGAGAACGGAATGTGCCCAAGTATATGGAATGGTACTACAATAAGAAAAAATCGTCTGTAAGCGGCCGTACCTCGACGGAGTCTTCGAAATCTCAACCAGCAAGCAAAAGAAAAGTTGGTGCATCGGAAAAACGTGTTTCAAAGACACGTGTCGCCATCCAGCCCCACGATTATGATTTCCATGATGATGGTGGAAAATATAAACCTGAACCGGCCCCACGCAGGTCCCCGCCGAAAAGCACTCGTTTGCTTAAGGAGGACAGAGCTTTGAATAAGCAGCGTAGACCAAAAAAAGAGACTGACACAAATCATCCACTACTGCAGCACTCTGAGCATCGGTTTGAGCGCGAAAGTGCTATGGAAGTTCCAGCACAGCCTACCAAACTGCCTCACTATATGTACCCAGAAACTCCTCCGTATGCAGCAACAGCTGCTTCAGACAAGGACCTCCCAACACAAAGGCAGCAGCCAAAGCCGTCCCCCATTAAAGAAAATGAAGTTAAAGTGACACACTCGAAAATAAGTCCTCTTAAGCAAGGTCGTAGCCTCGCACATCAGACATCATCGCATGCACAAAAACAGTTAAATGCTTCGACGCTCGAGGATGACCATGATTCAGGCATAGCTATGAACTCCCTTTTAAACAGCCTGGGCCGTCGCAATCCGATAGCCGAGAAAAAAAGCGTATTCTCCATTGCCTACGACGATGTCAGTCGGGTCAAAAAGATTCCCTCAGGTGGCGAGTCCCCACAATACTCGTAATGCGAGTTCTGCGAATCATTTAATGTAGCAATCAAATGTGATAGCCTCAAAGGCTCCTTACCTACAAATCATCGAACTAATACTAAATGCAATACTTGTTGTCCATAGAATTTTGAAAATGTTCAACTCGTTTCAGTTCAACGGAAATACATCCAGATCACTATTAATTAGTCGCTTTCATTACAATAATAAGCAGATAATTTTAGTATAATGTTTTATATGTAACTTAGTACTTTAGTAGAAGCTCGGAACGACATACCGTCCAATTTAATTCCATGTACATATGTTATTATAGGCATATCTTTTAAGGCATACTAATTAACTTTGAACATTAACTCATTGTAATCAGAAAATTGCATTCGTCGGTTATACCCTTGCAGAGGGTATTAAACATACATATTATAGAAGACCACTATAGCTGCCATATAAAAAAAAAACATGTATTTGTGAGAAAAGCTTTTTTTATTCTAAAGATATTTAAACCAACCAAACGGTACAAACAGTTTCATTTTTGGTTGATAACCTTGATTGTAACCGGATCAGTATTACTGATTCAGTACGTTTCATAGCTGTCACAGGAACGATCGGTCAATAAACAAGTCTTTGTGAGAACACCATTTTAGTTACATATGTATATTAGTTACATACATTTGTAAAAATATATATAAAAATATTATATATGTACCTTAAAACCTTAACCTTAAACCTTGAACCTTAAAAATTACAAAACATCTATTTTGCAAAAATTCCTAGCTTTTATCACACTGGACACAACAAACGTATAAACACACAAAACAGTGAAACAACCAAATCAAGGCTACTTCATACTAAATTGTGGGTACATACATACATCTCTGGGCTACACACTTCAGATTTTGTTACCACTCCCCGCGGACCGCGCCACGCCACCCACCCCACGCGGGGGCGAATCGTTTTTTAAATACGTATCACACATAGCATATGTGTGGTAATAAGGGTGGGCATTCGCGGGGGGCGGGGAGCGCAGCCATAGTTATAAAGTCGTTTTAATTCGACACTATGGGCCGGGCCCGCCGGGGCCGGGGTTGGGCGGCGGCTCGGGGGGCCCGGCGGGCGGCGGGCCGGGCCCGGGCACGAAAGAGAAGAAAGAAGAGAAACGCCTGAATTGTGAATCGTAATCCTTAGTCTGTATAATACTACTAAATGAATGAATAAGGAGGAACGGGAATCCGTACGAGCGAGATAGCATCCATATGCGTAGCGGAAGACGGAATGGGAGACGATCAACTGAAGATGAATGGGATATTTATCCCCTCCAATTACACTACACTACCCGACACCATTTCGCTGAGAGTGATACCCGAATACGAAGATCTCTTAAAGGTTCTGACGCCAGGGTTTTTACGTTTGTTGTGATGGCAGAGGCTTCCTTCGTCTCCCAAATTCCGCTGCAGGGTGGTGGTGCGGTGCGGTCTCGCCTTTGTTTTATGTATGTCCTATTTATGCATGAAAAACTATTCAGTCTCTGTTCTAAAGATATTAACAAAGTTTTGCAGCTCACGGGTTCCAATAATAGGTATCAGAACCGGGATAAATGTATATATATAACACAAACATGTGCATTTATAGGTAAAAAACATGATAATCTAGGATAAAATCATAAATAATGTTTCAATGGAGCTTGGAACAACAAAATTAACATCAATTAAAAGAAATAAGGTATACAAAAGTACATACGCATAAAAGAAACTTGGTTGACCAGCAACACTGACGTCACATTTAGTCAACATTTACGTTATATGCTTTGGCCGTTTTTGTTTGAACCTTATTACGTAAACAATCCAATCAAAAAGAGTTCTAAAAACTAGCCAATCCTGAACAAAATTTATGTATCTATCGGATAGAATTATTTGTTTACGGGTGAGAGGGCCAACAATCTAGTAATATTAAACTGAATATCAAAATTGACGAATTTCATATCACAAAATATCATGGTATGGCAGCCCGCAGCAACTACGAATTGCACGAGTCTGGCAGCGCCACAAAGCGACGTCATATTCGTTTTATGTTGTTTTTGTTTGAACCTTAATATGTAAATAATCCAATAAAAGGACTTCTGAAAACTTTCCAATCCTGTAGAAAATTAATGTATGTATCGGATGAAATTATTTGTTTAGTGCTGAGAGGGCCAACTAGCTTGTAATATTAAACGGAAAATCAAATTCGAGGAACATCAACGTTGAATGTTTTGAAAAAACAATCGATACTATCGTGATAGCTCTAATAATTATTAAAAAACCATTGAAACCTTTTAGGAACTTGTCCATTGTAAAAATTAGATGCCACCTGTTGATTTGTTTACAAATGTGTCTTCGTATTTTATAGTAGCCAATCCAAAAATATCAAATGCGCAACGACTGTAGCTCGATACTATCATGACAGTCGCAAAACCGTCGATAGTAGAGGCTAGCAGTAAAATATCGATACTATCGATAGTGCCCTCGATGGTTTGAAACTACTATCTAGTACAATCTTTTATCTTGTATATTTGTCCCTGCAGCTTAGTAGCAACTATCTAGTACAGACGCCTGTTTTAAACTCATCCAAAAATGTGCAAGTGCCTCGCCGGTAACGTAGCGTGCTGGTAAGTAATATACTACATATATATTGTAATTACATTTTATAAAATAAAGTGATAATATGTATGTGTATACAAATGTATTTCTTTACTGTAGATGCATATGCATGTATTAAAAAAGATACACAAAGGAAAATGTGTTGAAAGTGCGTTCAAATTAAAAAAGATCAATCCCAATGTTGTGTTGTCAAATAACTTAGCTTTGCAAGTAAATTCTGTTAAACATATATATGTACGTAGATGCATACAGTATAAAGGTATAACTATGGGGATATATGTAGATAACCAGTATCCAAAAATCAGACTGTATTTTGTGGGTAATGCGTGCAAATGTATGTATATACTGGGACAGAAAGCCAGAAAAAATTGCAATAGTTAGGGAGAGAACTACGGACATTACTATGTAGACTTGGTGGTTGTTACTGATCATGAATAGTATATGTACATATGAATGCACTTATGTACATACAAGCAAATATGTATGTATGCTGTATGGTCTCGGGGTGTTTTCTTTTGCGTTTTTCCGGTTTAGTGCGTGCGGTAAGCGGGCTCTTCAATATTATCGGTTAATGTAATTTTGTACATTATGACTCTTAAGATACCTGAAGAATTTTTATTACTTATAGTGAAGGTACAAAAAAATAAAAGTTAGTAGAATAAACCTCAGAATGGAGCTATGTATATGGGAGCTGCCCTTTAGAGTCTTTAACTTAAAAGTTAGTACAAAAAGCCACAAGAATTTCAAAAGTTGCATCTACCCAGGTTTTAATACACAAGTTTGTTTTATTATTCAAATTTGGTTTTAATTAATGAAAATGTTTTATTGTGGTGGCTCTTCTGGTTTATCAAACAAATTTGTAATATTGTATTGTTTAGTAGCTTTTAAAGCTTGATTTTAACGCTCTTTATAAGGTAAAGGTATTTTTTCCACATTTCTCTTAAACTTAAGTCATCTTAAACCATTCAGTAAAATCAAAATTACAAGTCTGTTTCGTTTGCTTTGATCCCATTATGGCTGTTGGGCCAGAAACGTTTCAAACGATCCCAAACAGTAAGCCAAAGCTAAAGGTTCCGGTAAAATAAAAATTAACCATGAAAAAAGCCGTAATTCCTTAACAATACCCCCAAAATTAGTTTTCGTTCAAAGCGAAAAAAAATTATATTTTGTTGCCTAGTGTTATTACATCCCACAGCTCCAATTTGAGATACAAAAACACACTACCTCATAATTGACAAAAAAATATATTTGTTAAAAGGTTCGTGCTGAAAGAATTCGTGTAGAGCGAGCGAGGGCCAGGTATAAATTATTATGTTTTTATGTATCATATTATTATTTGGATATTCACATATTTATGTATGTACGAGTGTTTTGATCATTGAGCGAAAAAGGAGAAAACTTTTATTAACGTTGTTTCATATGGCTCCAGACTGTCTTGGCTCCAGACGGTCTTGGCTCCGCTCAGGCGTGATGAAATCATTGTTTAGTTGTCTAGCCATATGATGCTCCCCAGCACTCGACACTGGGTCCGCAGTGGCCAGTTTCACATTTCTCAGTGCTGCCATCACTCGGGGGTGGAAATTTTACTAGATACAACATTTTCTACGCAAATAAAAAAATGTATTACGTCATATGTACATACATATGTATGTACATATTTATACTCTCTACCATAATAAAAAAAACGAAGCATAATTTAATATGGCAGACTTTAGGCTTTCAGGCTGACAAACAATGAAGAATAGTAAATAAAAACATAATTCTACCTATTGAAATTTATGTGAGCTATACTAGAATGTTTTCAAAGACTTAGTTCACATATTCACAGAAAAATTTAGAATCGCGATCTTGATCCTATTTTAAAATGGCTTAACGAAAGAGTATGAAGAAATCGCTATCTTATTTCCACATTCTTTATCTTAGGAAGTGCAAATAACTGGTGGCAGTAAGAGCACGATTCAGATGATTTATTAATTCAGTGATCAAATGGTTCAGTAAATGGTCTTTCATTATTATTTAGCGTCCTTGCTAAAGTGAATTAATGAATCCAAATTTCAAAGACTTCGGCTCATGCATAGTTTTCTGTTGACCTCGGGTTTTCTTGCTCGCTCTCAATTTTTTTTTTGGTAGATAGAACAACAGAGGGAAATTGAAAAGAAGTCGTACACAAAAACACAGATGTACATTTTTATATACAAACATACGTACATATTTAATTAATTTATGAAATGAGTCCAAGCACGCTAATCCACATTGGGACGGCAGGAATGAAAGTGAAGTATTTTTACGAGTACTTGTCACAATTGGTGACAGCTAGCGGTGGGAAGAGAGAAGGAAACTAACACCACCCTTAGACTAAGTATATGCCGAACATATACACATACCCCTTACTGCCTATCCACACTGGCAACATGGAAATGGTTCTCTTCATTCTGGCTATACAATTTATCCGTATATTGATGCTGATCAATAATATCAATGTATGTATGTATGTATGTATATGGGGTCGAAAAGAAAGCCTTTTATCTTTTACATCAATTTACAAGAATTGAATATACCCCTGCATTATATGAGCACCAGGTATAAATAGCTGGTATTTTGTCTACTGCCTGAAATAGCGATATATTTCTGTGTTTTCCTGTGTGTCTGCGCTGGGGGTGCCCACTCCCTATACTTGGGCAGGCTTTGCCTTCTACGCACGCAGCTAGAGCCCCCCACACCAACCAATGCAAAATTCATGCAACAATGCTATGCTACTATGCTCCCGCGAGTGATTTCGCTGCTGGTATGCGAGTGTGTGTGATTTCGAAAACTTTATATACAGGTACATATATATATGGATGTATATATGTATGTGTATGTATTTGCATAATAATAATATAAATAAAATAATAATGTCAACACATATGTATGTCATATGAAATTTAGATACATATTGCTAACCTAGACCCGAGACCCGATGCAAAAGGATCCATTACAAAAAATTATTATCAACAATTCACATATTTTTATCTCGACTATTATAGAGTTAACCAAACTGATTGCTTAACTAACATTAATATATATAATTTTGCCGTTTCAGCTGCTTTAATTGCGCACTTAGTGTGCTAATATCAATCATCAGTACATTTTTAATCGTTTTTATTGTGGTTGGCATAGTTGTGTACTTTGCTTACTACCACGAAAAGGAGGATGATGTCTCCAAACTCAAGAACGCGGTCACCGATAACTTCCAGTCAGGCCTTGACAAAATAAAAGATGCCCTAAGCAAGAAATAAGCTTCCGTATTAAATTTTAATGGAGTAATGTAACTATTTGTATTTTAAGCTCACCACCGGCTCATAGAATTAATAAATCTTCAACTTTTTTTTAGACTATGGCAACAACCACCTACTAACGAAGCGAAAAGCCTTAAACCAAAATGATGATAATTTTCAAGCATTTTCAATACCAGTACAAAAACACAGTGCACCATTTGCATAATGTCTAAATCCAATAGATATACATACATTTATATATGTAAAACTCAAATAATTTAATTTAAAAAAAAAAAATATTTAATCAAAAGGTGTAAAATAAAACAAAGTCTTTGTGTGAACACTTGAAGTAAATTTTCTTAGTTAACAAACTATGAATGAGTCTCAAACAAATTATGAAATAGATATTTTAATTTTTAGTATACATGATACATAGTATCATGTTGTGGAAAAACCAGGAACGCAGGGAAGAAACTCGATCTGAATAAAATTTTGATGTATACATAAACCTGTTCCCATTCCACTCTCAGTAAAATCACCGCTTCTTCATTTCATGGAAGAACAGCCTCTTACACTAGTCAACACTAGAATTAGGCTGTGGCCCAAAATATAGATTCTTATAGATTTCGGGGCTTACAATTTTTTACGAATTATGGTTTTTTTTTTGATGGTGTAATTTGTTTTTAAAGAATTTTTAAAATCTGGTATTTTTTTCAGAAGTAGTGCTTCTATTTTTCACATAACTTAAGTATCTTATATCTGGTTGCATAGAACTTTTGCATTTGAATTTGATGAACTTGATGAAATTTGAATTTGAAAGCTTAATATCTTCCAGGCGTTAAGCTGCAGATACAAAGTTTCTGGATACGATTTATAGCTGCATTTGTTAGCTTTTCAGAACTGCAAAGGTCTATGCAACCAGGTATAAGATACTTAAGTAATGTGAAAAATAGAAGCACAACCTCTAAAAAAAACCATGAAAAAAATAACAGATTTTACAAATTCTTTAAAAAGTTGGCCAGCAACTAAAAATTTATTTCTTCATTCTGGCTATAATAATGATCTGACCTGTACCAGATTCGGCAGTTAATAAATATGGTCAGTCTCTGACCATACATTCTATACATTCATGTATACTTTATGAGGTCGGAATCGTATCCACAAATCCAATATACCCCATAACTCTTCGTGTACGGATATAAAGAGCTACGGATAATCGGTATGCATGACTCAGTCATTTGCTCTTCCGTTGGTACGTATAAACACGACTTTAACCATAGTCCATTTACTTTGTATTTGGAACCTGAATAAGCGGACTAGGACTGGATATGCACCCCTGGATCCTTTACAGCAGAGCTCGCTGTTGTTGGCTTGGGAGACACTGGATTGCAGTTCGCCTTCGGTCGATTCGTCGAACTTGGCAATGGAGCATGTTACTTTCTCCCTTGCTCAATGGTCCCAAAGTCGATGTTTTGGCATAAAGTACAAAATTGTATGAAAAGATTTTTGCTTGATAACGAAATATTCGATAAATAGATACCGCAAATATTTAAAATTTTTTTTTTTACCTTGTGGCAGCGTTGCGTTATTACTATTCAGAACGGTTTGATGGAAAATAAATATTTAAAATGGATAATAAACGTTAAAGTATGTGCAGCATTTGATCTATAGCGTTGCGTACATGTCTATTTAGCTGAAAAATCTAACAAATGTAGCTGTTGTCTAGAGTAGAACTTTCGTGAAGTGCGAGGTAGGATCGAGATAACAACGTTTAGTTATTCACTAAAGTATTCAGATTAATACTTAATATGCCGCCCTTGCCCGATTTGTGCAAAATTGATTTTCAGTTTAATAAGAGTTTCGTTGTGCAGCCCTGCATAAACGTTCGCAGTACAGATGAAGTAATTGATTATATGTTGGGAATAATTAACAAAAACAGCGTTAAGCATATTCCAATTCCTGCTCTATAGCTGTTTTTCGAGCAGTCTTCTTTTTCTCCTGAAAATTAAGTTTACCTTACTATTCGCTCTTTTTCAGCTCAGCCAGTCAGCTACTCAGAGGGCTTTGCTCTGTCATTGGAGAAGTCAAATAATCCTATTGGTCTTTAGGTTCGTAGCATTAGCTTAGTCCCTGTTACTCTCAGCTAATCTACCAGAATGGAGCTCTGGATCGTGAAGAGCTGATCCGTCGTCATCATAGGCTGATATCCATTGCCAACTTATGGGATATGACGGCATCGCTGTACGATGCTCCCTTTCGCCGAGTGCCTTCCGAGGTCGTTTCTATCAACCTCATCCACTTTTCAGCGAGTGTGGTTTTTGGAAACTGTTTCATCGGCTCTAAAGACGTCGATGAGAGCCTTTTGGCCTCCATGTAGGGAATTCCCTTGGCCAGCAGAAACCAAGGTAATTTCCTAGCACCCGCAGACCACCGCAAACAGCGCTCCAAAGTTTACATACCCTTGAAGGTAGAGGAATAATAAATCTTAATAAAAACAGTCTTTGTTTTATGTTGGACAAGCATGTATTTCGCAGGGAAAAAACGAAACCAAATGGAAACCATCGTAAAGGCAATATTTAATAAAATCAATATATTAAAAACGATTTTGAAGCCATCGACTCGATGAAATTATACCAGGCTCCCATAACATGATACTATGCTTCCCGTAGCAAGCCATGTCATGTGCATGTGCCGCTGATTGCTGGAAATCGTTCGACGACTTCGATTTGCTCCCTATTGTGTGTATGTACATTCATACATACGTATATCCTTCTATGCTTCTATGAGCAAAGTTTACTAGAACCTGCGCACTGACCATAATACGTATTTTGTAACCCGGACTCTCTCTGGAATGAACTGTAATAGAATAACAGGGCGCAGGAAAAAAAGCTAAGAAGTGAGAGCAAGAGAGCATTTTTTCTTCTTTCACCTGCCATGGCATTTAAAATAAACCTATCCCAATACAGTACGCACTGTAACTTTTGAGTTCTAAGCGCCTGGTAAGAGGTCCACTAAGTTTTCTTGATGCAAAAGAGACAAGCCTTACCATGCAGACCAACAGGAAAAAATGTTTTAGTGAGGAATTCATTACAGAACTTATACTTTGAGTCGACAGCCAACAAATATTTATCTTAAAAATAAAAAAACAAAAATTTACTCAAAAATTTAGCTGCAAGAAAACATGAACACAAATTTATCTTGAACACTGGAAAAATATCCTGAAATAATGCAACAAAAATTCAAAATAGTCGAACAGAAAGAACAGGCAAACGAATCCATCGAGCATTTACATCCATTGGAGTACGAGCCATCCGCTCACCCGAAATTGCTGAAATTGCGCTCGCCGACACCGTTTATACGACTCTCTCCAATATCGGATAATTTACTGAAACATTTTCAAAACAATAATTAGATAAGGCGATGAAGAATTTGGTGTCAATAATAATACTGGCTGTATAAAATTACCAATAGATTTCTGCACAATTGTTGATTCGCAAAATGCTCTCAATGAAGCGTGTTCAACGTTTCAAGCAGTTAAATGTGATTTTCGGAGGTTTGGTCACAGTACTTTAAACGACGCCTAATTAATGCACGTATACACAACAAATATAAGGACACAGGATATATTTCCTTTTAAATTTTAAATTTTGAACAAAATTATAATTTTTGCATTAGTAAGCTAAATATTTCCCAAACGGTAAGCTGAAATCACAAAAAGCTTGGGTTTAATTTATAGCTGCATCAATTAGCTTTTCAGAATGGCAAATTTTATTACATCCAAATGTAAGATACTTAAGTTATGTGAAAAAAGCGTTTAATCTATAAAAGCTTAAAAAATAACAGTTTTCAAAAATTCTTAAAAAGGTTCTGCCATAGAAAAAAAATTATAATTATTATAAAATTAATATATATAGAAAGCCCAAAATCAGAAAATCTGGTTCTTGTCTTTGTTCATTTCGTAATTCTATTGATTAAGATTCTTGCAATTGCGACACGCACATTTTCGTTATTTTCTTCAATTCGTTCGAGTGTTCTCTCTTATCTACTATGTTCTTTTTGTTCGACAGTGCAACTTTGCCCCCTTGCGTCTAGCTGGCATTGTTCTCTGTATAAAACACAAAATTTACCAAATTAAAAAAAAACATTAAAAACACACAGAAAAAAATTAGATCGAGATGCTCCGGTTTTCGTAAATTTTTGCGATTACGATTTTTACGCTCCGGTTTTCGTAACTTTTTTCCTACGATACTATTTTATTATACCAAAACAAATAATTAGAAATAAATTTATTAAATATATTAGGATATACAACATTTAATTTTTGTTACGAACCTTTTTGGTGGTGGGGCAAGGCCGGCTAGCCAGTCATCCCAGGGCTGGGTGTTTCCCAAGCCCACAGGTCGCACAATAGAACCAACAAATCGGAAATCTCAAACAAAACGACAATTCAAAACGGACTCGACTCGACAAACTAACAAACACACTCCGACAGAGCCGTGGACCAGCTGAGATCTGGATCTGGACATTCCAGATCTCCCTGCTATGTGCAGCAGCCTTTCTACCAAGTTGCCGTTGTGGTTCCCCTTTCCATCATACGAAACAACTAGCAATTCATTTCTTCGTTATAGTTCTTATTCATATCCTAATCATATCGCCGCCACCGCCAATTCTCGCTAAGGAGCTTAATACAATGGGGCAGATAAATAAATAGGATTAAATAAATAAGGTATAAATATTATTAACTACATATGGCTAAGTACGGATAAATAAGTATGGACTGGCTGACGAAAACAGGCAGAGAATAAGTGCACAGGTATAGGGACAGCTAACAAATATTTATAAAGACAATTTTTCTACAACTGCAAACACGAGACACGAGATTTTTATATATATAGAAGATATATGTGTAGATATATATATCTAGTGCATCCTTTGTATGTATGAGTGAGCGGAAAATAAAGTAGAAAAATAACGTGAAAAATAACGTGAAAAATCCAATCCTTTTTATGTGGATTTTTGTATTTTTGTATCACAAAGAATCAGCTGATTTTATAATAATCGATATATACTTGAAGCATCGATATGTCAAAAAACACATGTAAGTTGATGTTTTCCAACACCTTTCAGCCTGTTTACACTTTGCATTGAATATTTTAATGGAAATTCTGAGGGCAGGTGAAATATAATTCATAAACATTGTGAGTGGAATTAAATATTAACAAATAATGTAGCAAACTTGTTTTAAAAGGTGCATTCAATACGTAGCCATTGCAAAAGAGCTGCAACGTTTTTGAGAAATTC